TCATCTTAAATTGCAACACATACATACAAGAGGATATGAACATGACAAGCGCTGTGCGATATCACGCGGTAAGTAAAAATGCGCGACGGTTAATTTTAAGATTACTTTTCATTAGGTTTTTTTGTTGTTTTTTTTTTACAAGAAAATGAAAATCCACGAATTTAAGAACCCACGAAAATGCCCGTTTTGATAAAACCACGAAATTTCATGCCCACGAATATAAGTGAATTCGCAGTATCATACAAGCATGACCTTGACCTTTGAAGGAGAGACCTAATTCTTGTGTGAGACATGTCATTATGAACACATGTATGTATAATAGTTATTCTAAAATCACATCCAAGAATAAAATAATTGATGAATGGATATACATGAAAAAGCATTTAAGCATTTAGCTTTCTGAGGCACTTTTAGCTTCACAAGGTTGAAGCGTACACAGACAGGCAAACAGTCTGCTTCAGTACTAAAAATAACAATATTTACATACACTGTATATCCAATATTCAAATTAATGTAACAAAAGAAAAAATCTAGTTAAGGCATTAACTGGTTATAATACTGATGGATTGTATAGCCTAATAAATATACAAATAACATAATACGTGTATATCACATGATAATAACCTTTACAGGTCTCTTTGATTGCTTCACATAAAACAAAGAGAAAAGTATTGGAGAGAGATTCATGAATTAACAAGATACAATAATTTTCACAAAACCAGGTTTTCTGCAATAATTGATGGGGACACAGGAGAGTATTCTTAATTATTTACATATATAAAAACAGCGGCAAGTCAAAAGACACTGACAATTTGTGCTAAGGCACTAGGTGACATTAGTCCTGCAAAAGTTTTAATGAAATCCCCCCAAAAAATGTAGAAATAGATACACACAAATTAATTTAATGCATGGAGTGAAAAATGGGCCATAATTTTGCCCAAAATGATAAAATCATTAGACCTGGGCAATGTCAGGGAACTTGGAGACAATAGTTCTATGAAACTTTGGTGGAAATCCCTTTACGGACAAGTTATTCAGAGCAGAAATTGTTCATGCAGCCCACCAACATTCAAAAATCTAATAACCAGGAATTATGAATATGATAACATAATAATTTATGAACATGATAATAACATTATCATCTATGAACATGATAATAACATAATAATCTATGAACATGATAATAACATTATCATCAGTAAACATGATGATAACATAATCACCAATGAACATGAAAATAACATTATCATATATGAACATGATAATAACATAATTGATGAACATGATAATAACATAATCATCAATGAACATGATAATAACATAATTATCTATGCACATGATAATATGTTAACATTATCATCAATGAATATGATAATAACATAATGATCTATGAATATCATGATAACATAATCATCTATGAATATGATGAAAACATAATCATCTATGAACATGATGATAACATAATCATCTATGAACATGATAATAACCTATAACATGATAATATTCTATAAACATGATAACTTTATTGTTTGATTTGGGTTTTTTACGTCACACTGACACAGTATAGGTCATTTGGCGATGTTCCAGCTTTACTGGTGGAAGAAGACCTCAGGTGCCCCTCCGTGCATTTTTTCAGGTACAAACGGGCACCTGAGTAGAACTACCGATGTTCCGTAAGCAAGCTGGATAGCTTCCTCACATGAAAGAATCCAAAGTCCCTGTTGGGAGTCGAACTCACAGCGGTGAGGGGCAAATGGTTTGAAGTCAAGGACCTTAACCACTCGGCCACGGAAGCCCCTTAAATAATAACTTAATAATTTATGAACATAACAATAACATAATAATGATCTATGAACACAAACATTACACTTTTCAAGTGATGTTTTTCAAAATATATTGCTGCCTAAATATTATACAGTTATTTATTTATGGCTCTCTGTCAGACTTTGTTGTAACAAGTAACAACTTGTCTTAGTAAATGGAAAACATTATAGTTTTGAAGCAACAATTACATCATAATTTAATTTATTTAAAAAATTAAAAATGATGCCTTACATAAAGGGAAAATTTTTTTAAGTCAAAACCATATTTTAAAAAAGAACCCTTCAATGAAATGTTTTTATTTTTTTTTGGCCTTTCGGAAAAAAACATTGGTTTTTCATTTTTCTCAGCACATTTTTTTGTGCGGGGGGTTTTTTTTCTATGAAGTCCCTGGTTTTTTTGCCCAGCTAGAGAACTCTTGTTTACTGGGGGACGGTTTATTGTTGAAATTTCCACCTTGCCTCAAATAAACCCTCCTTCCGTCGGCAAAACATCCCATTATTAAATTTGGGCGGGTTTTTTTACGGGGTCATGAATGAAAAAAGCTTTTTAATTTCCCAAAAACTGGAATTTTACTGGGGGCCCTAAAATTTTGTCCAAAGACATAAATAAATCGTGTTGAGTTTTCTGTGTAAAGTACATTTCTGAAATGTTTCAAAGTTTCATAGTCTAACGTAACTTTGATAGTAGTCAACATTTATATGACAGGAAGTCACATGAAACTGAAAAAGTATTTAATGTTTGAAGTGATTAACTTGGACAGTTCTTGAGAAGTGACCTAAGGAAATAAAAATAAGTCAAGGGGCATAGCTTAAATATGAATTGTAGAAATATCTGCTTAACTGAAAAGGTGTCATGTTTTGAAAGTTTATTTGACAGTTACTCAGAAAATGGACCTTAATAAAAAGGTTAACCAGGGCTAAAAAACTAAGTTGAACAAGAGGGCCAAGATGGCCCTAGAACGCTCACCTTACCAATTGAACTCATCAGAGCAATTACCTGACCAAGTTTGATGAGAATTGAGTCAAAAATGAGAACCCTAGAGTGTTAACAAAGTTTTTTCAATATTTGGGCAGTGTGACCTAATTTTTTGACCCCAGGGTTACCCATAACAACTTGCAAAAAAATATTAAAAAAATTTAGAAAAATTTACAGAATCTGGAAAAAACGTGCCACTAAGGGGAAATTTTTTCCATTTTTTTGCTCCGTTCCCTTTTTTATTGAGATGACCTGTTCAACTCATCGAGCAAAAAAACTAGGAAAGCTCTGACCAATTTTGATGATAATTGAGAAAAAAATGCCCACTGGATTTAACAAGGTTTTTCCAAAATTTTTGGGGGGTTTTACCTATTTTTTACCCCCGGTGACCCATTTTCGAATTTGCCCAAAAATCATGAAACAAACTTCGACAATTTCCAGGAATTGGATCAAAACATACCCAATAAAGTGTAAAAAAATTTTTCTATATTTAGCCCCTGTGACTAGTTTTCATCTGAGATGACCCATTTTTAATCATCCAAGCAATTCCTAGACAACACCCGAAAAATTTTGATATGATTGAAAAATGCTCTAGAGGTAACAAAAAAAATCTGGACGGTTTAAAGATCCAAAAAGCCCCCCTGAGCCCCGGTGAGCTAAAGGCAAAACTTTCCAAAAAAAATTTAAAATTATCTGCATTTTTGAAAATGGATCCTTTTAAAAAATTAAAACACACAAAATTAAGTGAAAAACTTTTAAAATTTCTGAGAAATGGACCCTTAACGAAAGATTTAACCAAAAGGGGTCAACACTAAAAGAGAAAAGTGAGTTAAAAAAAAAATGATACAAATTTAAAAAAAGTTACTAAATTTTTAAAATTTTCCTTGTTCATTTTGGTCGAGGGGATTTTTGAGAAAAAGCTTCTTTTTATGGGCCCGCCCTAGGTTTACCAAACACATGTTTACTTCTTTTCCATTTAACAAAAAGTCTCCGAAAACCCCGAAACAAAAAAACTTGGGAACTTTTTTAAAAAATATACTTCACCCCTCAAACCCGGGGGTGATAAAGACTTATGATAAGTTTAAAAATCTTTTATAGTTCAAAAAAGTTCGAACTTATAGTAAACATTTTTTTACCCATTCTGGAATTAATCATAGTGGATAGTGGTTCATTAGGACATAGTTTTTACCCCGAGGACCAAACCCTTACCCTGGGGTTTAAGGATCACCTTAACATAAAATCAACCACTCCCACCCAAATGAGCGAGTATGCAGTACCCAAAGCAAAAAAGGCTATTAAATTTTGGGCATTCTTGAACCTATCCTTTTATTCAGTTTTACAAAAAACCCCCATAAACAAAAACTTACATTATAGTTGATTTATTATGGTACAACTGTAGACCGAACCCCCAGTTTTGACTGATTCTACGTTAAGTTTCTACTTTCCCTACAATTTAAAACCCGTCCCCCCACCAGATTACGCCACTCCCGTGGGTAAGAAGAAAAAAAGATGCTCAGGGTTTTTAAGCCTGATTTTAATGAAAAATGCTAATAAAGGGGAATTCATTCTCTAGTGGAAGACATAAAGGCCCCTTGCATTATTTTTATAAATTCCCAAATAAGGTTTAAAACAACATTTCATGTTTACATGAAAATTTTCCTCTGCTTGACATCACAGGGACCTAATTGTATCCAAAAAACCCGATTCCTATTTTGAAAATTTTTGGCCCAAATATACTAAACTTGAAAGCCCCGAAACGTTTTCCCCTACCTAAATTGACCGTGTTTTGAACCTGGTCAAAGTCAACAAAATACCCTTTTATGGTGGGGAACGGCATATTTAGTTTTCAAAAAGGGTTCCCTGAATTAAAAAAAATGGAAAACTGCCTCCTGCCAGGGGGGAAATACCAAAAACAACCCGTATTTTTAAATGGGGGTAACAAATCAGCTATGCTTTCTATAAATTCCCCCTGTAAAAATTTTTTCTTTGCCCAATTTTAGTACCAAGACAATGTTTTTAGGGGTTTTTTGCAGGCATCAACACCCGCGTACTGAAGTATCACCTCCCCCTTTTGGAAAATCAACTGTGGGTACAATACCCAAAAAGTTACAAAAAAAAAACTTTTTAAATTACAATTTAAAAACAAAAAATTTTTTTTTCTTTAGTTTTGGGGAAAAAAAAACTTCAGAAATCATGCATTATTGAAGGAACAAAAAAGAGAACCATTAACCTGAGTCTGGTTCTCTGCCTACAATAACATGGTAACAGGTGCAGGTAATCCAGACTACCATTAACCTTCGAGTGAGTCAGATAACTGCCTCGAGTGAGGTAATTCAAACTTTTTGCCAGGATTCATACTCATAACAATTGAGAGTATACTGGAGGTACTGTAACAACAATTAGTTGTCTTGTATACAAACTTGCAGAAGGCTCAACATTTAGGTAAAAACCCTGCACACAACTTATGAACCATGTTTGTGATAGGACTTTAAAACATTTAGAATACATCATTACTTATAACTCATTATTTTTTTCTACGTTTTCAATAATATACTTTTTTTCCTTCTAAATTGATAATTAAAAATCTGAGAACAGCATACGTTGTATCAAGATAAAGACTATGTATCCTTATATTCTGTAATGGTGGATAATTCTCCATGTCCTGACTAGCCCTGAAGTCTCCTGTGTGTAGGAACACTTTTCCTGACTTCAATTTGAAGAGTATCAAAACAGCACCTGGGCAGCTGAAATTATAAATGGTAAAAAAAATAATTATCATTGAGATTTACGCTTAATTGGTACACTTTTTTTGTAACTTTGAAACCCTTGTTTAGACCTAGCTTTTTTCCTCTGCTCAAAACACATTGTAGCCAGGCTTACAAAATTTTGAAAATATTTGCAAAGAATAGTGGTAAAGAACTAAAAATGTACAGTATATATGAATTTGTTTTAAACTAAACAGCGAAAAAAAATGTAAGTCTTCCCCAAACAAAATTATGAATCCGATTAACAAAATTACTTTGCAAACTGTCAGTAAAACATGTCTAGTAGAACTAAGAAAACAGAAGACTTATAATTTTGAACCTGTTTAATTTTGTGAATGACCTTGCCCTACATAGAATTTAGAACAGTCCATTTATGTTTTAAAGGTCATCAAACTCCTACAATTAAGTAACCGCAGTAATTCTAACTCGCTTCACAATATTCACCTATCAAACAGCATAAAAAAGGAATGCTTACACGTTATATGACATCAGGTATGATGTCAATAAACCAAATGATGTCAGGAGAAGTACTTTTATGCTCCTGTAGTTCAACATATTTTTAGCAATTATCTTTTTTATCAGGATGTTAGAATGGAAATACATATTAATTTTCAGTGCATTATGGTATAATTAGGCACAGTTTTTTGTTCAGATGCTTTATTATTAATCACTCAGGCCTATCAGCCCTCGGGATTATATTCCTACGCTTTTGAACTCAAACCGTGCATTATTCTACAACAATGCACTCAGAATTGATATCTTTTTCCTAAATGAAATCACAGCCATGTCTAAATATACTCACTGATTTGCTTCTAAAAATGTAATCTCAACATTTTCTACCACAGTAGGTGTATTAAGGGGGATGCTGTTTACATATTGTGAATCCACACCTATCTTCTTCCTTACAAGGTTTCCAGTAATCTACAAAATAAATATCAACATTTTCTTTCACATGTTTCCCTATTTATTGTATATTTAATATGAAATCATTGCCATTTATAAATAATAGACATACAGGAATCAATGTTAACCAATTTTTTTAATATGGCATCAAAATTTATTAGTTTGAAAAGCCAGTTTCAATTTATATTCCATCTTTTAGATGTGAAACAATACCCCCAACTTCACCACATCTCCAAAACAAAGAAATCATCATTCTGGTGATACTAGCTTACTTTTTACAAAATATAATCACTAACTAGCTAATTAATATGAATAAATAACTTGAATGAAGTGAAGTTTGGAAACGATGTCTATATAAAGTTTCATAAACAGCAGGATGAGGTTATTAAATAAATGTATGAAATCAAACTGTGGCAAATTCAACTGAAAATGTTTTTTCCAATATTCAACAGGATACAGCATGAGTTGAATGGAATTCAGCTCATATACCGGTTAATCATTTTTAAAATATCAATTAATTTGTAATGATAGAAAGTAGTTTTCACAATTGCACTAAACATGTAAATTGCACTTGCGTAAGTTTCTATTGGGATATCATCACTAGTGAAGTTACAAATTCACTTCAAGATTCACTGTTAAGAAAAGAAAGCAGGAGGCTCTCTGTACACTATCTTGACCTTAAACTATACAACTCACTAGACAGCTTCCTCCTGCAGAAAAATTCAAAGATTTTGGCTGAATTCAAACCCTACATTAGTGAGAGGCACTAAGTGACTAACTTTATCTGGCACTGAAGTGAGTGGCCTACTACTATGACATGAAGGTTTCCCAGCTCTCACCCCCTCCCTGGCCAGGGCTGGCAAAATCTAGTTACCACAGTTGTCCCACAGGCTGTACAGACAAGACTTTGTGTAGTTTTTCCAAACTTCACATTATAGATATCATGCCGAAAAGGTAAGAAATGCTTCAGATAAAACAAACATGATTTTTACAACCTCCAACCTCCCCCACATCCCCCTCTTAGCTAACTTAGTTTTTGTGAGGTAAAAATCTAAATACAAACCTTGCTACAGTATATAGGATTTTTGAATTGTTTTGTCAGTCCCATATAGTGGTCATAATGGAAGTGAGATAGAATATAAGCTTTACAGTCTGGAATGTTACCATACCGGAATGCATCCACTGTCATACAAGTGTCTGTAAATAAAGATAAACGATCATGTTAATCAAAGAATGATTAATTACAAATGTATCTTAATAACTAATGTTTCATGATTAAATTTTTTTGTTTATACATCTTTTTTAATAAATCATATAATTGGATTCTCAGCATTGTATAAATAATTTGTCTTTTATCTAATATATATCATAACTATGCAAAAACAACAACATACCAGGAACATTGTAAGACTATAAAGTTTAGAATTTTATGTCTGAAAATAATACTCAAAACATGGAATTAGGTTTTCTTCAGTTTGAGTTATACATGTACATTGTATAATAAAGGAAAATAATGCAAAAGAAGAAAATTGCATGTAACCCATTTTCCAGTTAAAAACATTAAATGAAATTTTAATATACCCTTTTCATACCCTTTTCAAAATCAGTTTAAAATGGGCTTACCGGAAATAAATTCAACACGTCACAAATTATGTACATTTTACCTGGTATTTTCTTATAAAATGGGCATTTTCTATTCACATTTTTCCCATCTTCAGATGTTTCTGTACTGGTGGTAGAACCCCTGTTCCTATTCCATGCCCTTTTCCGTTGAGATTCATTTTCAACTGGCATTTCCACTGGTGTTTGCCTTTCACTGGTTTCAAAAGTTTTTTTGACACTTTTCTTGTACAACAATCTACTGCTAGCCATAAGTATCTCAGTTGCACTTTTTCTGATTTGTAATATAGATTCAACTTCTTTCTCTGACATAGAACTAGAAGTATTTGCACTGCTTCCCACATTACTACTGGTAGTGGAAGGCAAATCACTATCATTCTGACCCGAAAGTTGCGGAATATCAACACGATCGCCACTGGTCTCTTCATTTTCCGGGATAAATCCACCTCCTAAATTACTGTAAGTATTTTGGGATAATGTACACACATTTTCTATGTTAAATTGTAGAGTATTTTGGGAACATGAACTGTTTGAGCTACTATTTAGACTCTTACAGCTATTAATATGCAAACAATGTTGAGCCCCACAATGACTTAGACTCTTGTTGATGAAAGTTTGACCTTGGTTTTTTCTAGGAAAGCTCTGACATTGGCAAGAACATGTCTGAACGTGGCTAAAGCTGGATAGGGTTTGACTTTGGTTTTTGTGAGAGCAGCTCTGACCTTGACTCTGGTAGTAACAACTTTGAACTTGGCTTTGGTTGGAAAAACTCTTATCTTGACTATGGTTGGAATAACTCTGACCTTGGTTCTGGCAGGAAAAACTTTTACTTTGACTTAAACTTTCACAACCGACTTTGTTCCTGTTGCTCTGATGCTGAGATTCATCTTTCTCAGTTTGTGAGGAATTCTGACAATCACCAGAAATTGTAAGTTTTATAGAATTTTGAGAGTCTCTAACATCCTTACATGAAGCAGCTTCAGAAAAGAAGTCTGAATCATTATCCACTTTATCACGACTACAAGAGCTTACATCACTTGGTCTACGGATTGTCACTTTTTCTGTGTCTAAAAGTCTACTATTATTGTCACCAGAATTAGATACATAATTCCTAATACCAATGCTTCTGGGATAATTTCCCTTGCAGCTGCTTTCTTCGGTACATTTTTCACAACATTTTACAAACTTCCCTATTTTATTAAATCTTTCACAATCACCACTGCTTTCACTGTCTGTTTGAATTGATACTTGTACATCCTTACAACCTTTCTCGAGTTTGAAAAAAGACTCAAGTTTTGGGTAAACCTTCTTACTTCCTTTCTTTTTAGAAACATTAATGTCTTTCTGGTCTTTTCTGCCTTTCTTCCTCTTGGAAGGAGTTTTTGGCTTCAGCTCTATTTTTGGTTTCTTTTCAATGACTTCTGTTTTATATGTTTCCACCTTGTTAGGTGTTAAATGTCCTTTTTTATCTGTCTCTGGAACACATGCAGAAGCACTCTCTAAATTTTCAGAATTTTGATTTCTAAATTTTGCTGAAAGTGGTGCCTTCTGAGATACACTGTCAATATTTATTTCAAGCTGATCTGTTGATTTTCTTTTTAAATGTGAATTCTTTACTTTATTTTTGGAATCTATATCTTCTGTACACATTTTCTGTCTTTCATATGTTCTTTTTTCTCTTATGCATTCTTCTTTTAACTGATTACTTTCCAGTGAACTATCATCAGACCTATGTATGTCATCTTTTCTTTTTGAAAGTTTATTTATACACTTGTTATTAGATTTATTCTTGTTGGCATTTTGAAGCATTTTTGTTGCAAAGAACCCTTTCTTTGGAACTTTACTTTCTTCAATGTGATTACCGTCTATACCTTCTTTATCTTTGTGCTGATTGGTTACAGCTTTATCAGAAGTTTTAATTGGTGTTTTAATTGATGCTGCATACATTAGTGCAGTGTCTTCTACTAGATCAACTTCAGTATCTATCTTGTCTTTTAGATCATTTTCCTCGGTATCAGTCATGTCTTTATAATCATTTTTGTCGGTATCAGTCATGTCTTTATAATCATTTTCATCAAATAATGGTTGAGTCAAAGTAGTTTTTAATATCTCCCAATCACTACTTGAGTCTGAATCTTGAAAATCTTTAGGTGTTTTCTTAAGTCCAGAAATGGTACTTTCTTTTGAACTTTTGACTGAAGTTTTCCTCTTATCTTTGTCAGTAAACAAACTTATCAAATCATCCTCTTCATCATCATTATTAGTTTGCTCCCTGTCTAAAGCTGTATCATTTTCCGCATCAAATTCATTTCCATATACATTGGTTCTTGTACTTTCATATGCTTTAAGGCTATCCACATGCATGTTATCATGATAAATTTCACTGCTATTAGAGACACTTGCATCATCAGCAGCTAGTGCATCATGTATCATATCAGAGACACTTCTTGTTTCATCAACTAATGCATCAATGTCCTGCACACTACCACAACTATCATCTGAAACATTCACTATACCAACATGAGTACCCATCTCTTCTAACTCAGCATTATCATTTTCAAAGTCAATTTCAATCACTTGTTCTTCATCTTCAGAATTTGTCCCAAATAAATCATTTTCTAACTCTTGGTGGGCATCATTTTGCAGAAAATTTTTGTTCTGATCAAAACCCTTTCCTTTTAACTTTTTACTCTGTGACCCTTCTCCAGATTTCGTGTTACCAAATGTTCCACATGATTTACTAGTATATACTTTGTCCTCATCAATGCTCATCAGTTTCTTCTCTGTTTTATCCTCCCTAGGACTTGGAAAATCTTCATCTTCAACATCATGATTTGAACGTTGTGAAAAATTTGAATCTTGGCTGGAATCCAGAATAATGATGCAGTCTGAGCTGCTTCCAGGTAATACAAGCTTTGTGTCATCAGCTGCACCATCAAAACTTAGCTTTGTTTTTGCACCTTCAACATTTCCTGCAATATTCAGATACAAAATTCACTCACAGTCGTAATTTCTTAAACCAAAGTTTCCCTAATTTTTAACCATAAAAAACACCAATTTGAAAAGAAAAATATTGTTACATATAGTGTTTTGTTTGATAACTTTAAGATTCACCCAAAATAAAGCACATCAAAGAATTAATTTCTTTAAATTACAATTTTTGATTGGGGACCATATTTTATCCAAGACTCATGATTTATATAATTTTAAAGAACAACTTAAAAATTCAAATTTAAATTTTCTTTAAATAAAAGGTAAATCTCCTTGATGGTAAAAAAAATAAATAATAAGTATGAAACTGTTAGATCAAAAAGATAATATAGAAAAGATAGATTTTCTAAGATAATTAATCTTAAACACATTAAACATGAAGATATTTTTTTTTTGACATGACAGGTCAGAAGAAAAAATTCTAAAGATTTCTGTACCATTTCTGTGCCTTTGATATATAGTGGAACCCCAATGGTTGGTGCCGTTCATTGTACAATGTGTACATGTACATTAAAATCTTAAGATATTTTGCAAAATGTACCACCTACCAATTTTTTTTACACTTAAAACTGTGTCATATGATTATCATACTTTTGCTTTCTTTGATTGCCATATAAATCATTAACAACATGTTTAGAGTGGCAATAAGTAACCTAAATTTTAATTTAATAATTTTTCACATATTCATAAACATAAACATCCATAGTTACTAAAATTACTTATTGTCTCATGCGTCTTTCTTTCTTATTGACTAAATTTTTTAAAATCTTACATAAAGATAAATCAAGTTTTCCATATTTTGACTCATTGAGCATTTCTAACCATACATCAATATACTTGCTCTACATCTACATTTGTCTAATTTATAGACAAACACATGTTAACTTTAAACTATGAAAGTTTAATCAATTTAAGGAACTAACTGGCATGGCATAATAAGTTATACATAGAAGGAGCAAGCATTTAATATTGGTAAAAAAACAGCCACTGATCAAAGAAAACAACCAAATCAAATGTTGACAGGACCATCCAGATTTGATGGTTGTTCAACTTTGCTGGTCCAGACCAGTTAACAATTTTAACGGCCCCAAAATCAATTGTGCAAATTGCCTACATTGTCCCATGGGCAGTACAGACAGATGAAAATATTCAAGAATTTATTTTTTGAATATCAAAAGGACAAGCAATAAATGCTTCAGATAACACAGACAAGTATGACAAAGATTTTTAACGGCCCTAAATTTAATAAAAGTCATAACTTTATACCCAAGCATACCTTTTTCATTTGTAACTTCATTTTTTCTCCTTGACCTAGCTATAACCTGATGTCTAAACTTTTTGTAGTGATTTGGGAACTCACTGTCACAATCCAAACCTTTAGGACACTCTGAAATATTATAAAACAAGCTATTATCATAGTATTGCAAGCAATCCATAAGTCCCCTACCGGTAAGAGCCAAAGCAACATTCTGAAGGGCCATTCACTTATGTTTCTATTTTAAGTAAATTTGTTGAAAAAGTTCTTTAAAAGTGATCACAGTGAACAGTTTTTATGTACAGACAGACAGACGGACTGAAGGACACTCTAAAGTTATTTTTTAAACATCCCTGTTATCAAAATATAACATTTTTAAAAGCAAAATTTAAAAAAAAGGAGATAACAATGTCATACATGATGTGAGTGTAACAAAGAACAATTAGTAATGAAAGTATGAATATTGAATGTTTATTTTGAATTTGAAATAAATGAAAGTTAAAAGAACGAATAGGAAAAATTAAAAGTTTAAGGACGAGATAATTCTGGAAATATGGATGCTAGATTTATAAACCTTGTCATATTATTATGATGTGGGAGTTTGAAGAAAATCCTATCATGATTGAAGAAGTTAGAATAAAAATTACCAATTTCTCAAAAAAAAGTCTAAGTTCAAAAGGGGCATAATTCTGGAAATAGTCTTGCTAGAGTATTGAACACTCACAAATTTTGAGTGATAATAAGAAACATTTATATGAAGTAGATACGTTCAGAAAAAAAGAAGTTATTAAAAAAAAAACAATGTTTTTTTCATGAAAATTTTAAGTTCAAGGGAGGTAATTCTGATAAATTTTGTGCTAGAGTTGTAAACTTTGTCACATATGATGTGGTTGATGACAAGCAACTTATATTTAAAGTTTGAAGAAAATACATTAAGAAATAAAGAACTTATAGTGAAAAAACTTAAAAACTAGAATCAGAAATCTTGATATTCAGTCTATTTGTTGCCATAGCAACCAGAATTTTCAACATAGGAAGAAAAGAAAAAGACGTGTATAATCTCCAGACTGCCATCTACACATATTACAAGTTTCATAAAAATATTTCTATTACTTTTTGCGTTAACACTGGATCCAGTTTATGTGTAAAAATTGCCATATTTTCAGTCTATTTGTTGCCATAGCAACCAGAATTTTCAACATAGGAAGAAAAGAAAAAGACGTGCATAATCTCCATACTGCCATCTATCCATATATCAAGTTTCATAAAAATATTTCCAGTACTTTTTGAGTTATCACTGGATCCAGTTTATGTGTAAAATTTGCCATATTTTCAGCCTATTTGTTGCCATAGCAACCAGAATTTTCAACATAGGAACAAAAAGAAAATGACGTGCATAATCTCCATACTGCCATCTATCCATATATCAAGTTTCATAAAAATATTTCCAGTACTTTTTGAGTTATCACTGGATCCAGTTTATGTGTAAAATTTGCCATATTTTCAGCCTATTTGTTGCCATAGCAACCAGAATTTTCAACATAGGAAGAAAAGAAAAAGACGTGCATAATCTCCATACTGCCATCTATCCATATATCAAGTTTCATAAAAATATTTTCAGTACTTTTCAAGTTATCGCGGGATCCAGTTTTGTGGACGGACGGACTGACGGACTGACAGACAGACGGACGGACGGACGGACAGACGGACGGATGGACAGACGGACGGAGGGTAAACCTAAAGTCCCCTCCGGTAAACCGGTAGGGGACTAATAAGTAATAATATATAAAAGAATATTTTAAATGTTTTACTGTAAAAAAAGCTTTAAGACAATAATGATGGTCTTGTATGAACTAGACAATTTATAATGACATTGTATTAAAGTGATTTGGTCTATAATGGAAGGTCTGTGATACAACAAATAATTATGTTGAAAGTATTTAGTATCAGACATAATAGATAGATAGATAGATAGATACTTTTATTTCCTCCAATATTTGAAGAGCTGAACAAACAATAACAGCAATTACATACAATGCACATGATGTAACAATACAAATATTCGTGACATCTAAATATATGAAAAGAATTTATATAGCATACTTGTGAGTGACTGTAAAGCTTTTTTAGAGTGCGAGTTCTAGACGAAACGAAACTCTAGAAACTTCTCTCTGGTTAATGAATGATATATAGTTCACTTAAAAACAACGCTTGTCTATTAGTCGAAAAGTTAGACAAGTTATCTGAATATAAGTGACCATGGACAAATTGTATATGGATTTTGTTGGCAGGTGTGAAATACATAATCCTAGTATATTAGATCTACACATATTTATTTAGCAGATGATAAAATGCTCTAGAGCAAAATATTATTTTTCAACATTTTATGTTTTAACCAAATCACTAAGACCTTAATCAACATTTTTTTCAAGCACAATATGAATATCCTATAAGAATATCCAAATGATACATCTTGATTGTTTTTATTAATATTTAAAATACTTGTAGACCAATTCATTTAAACTTCACATAAAAGAAAATTCTTAAAGGAATTTCAGATGCATGCGTAAATAACTTGAAATATGAAAATTACCATTTTTACTAGAATATGGAACATCTAAACATTGGTCCACATGCCAGCTAGGTGTTTCAACCATACTTAACAACAGGAATGGCATCTGACATACTGGGCATCTCCCTGATCTGTCAACATTCTGTTTGGCATTTGGTGTACACTCAGGCTTCACTTCAACTTTCACCTTTGTCTTTCTCTTCCCTGTTGCTTTCTTTTGTTTTTGTGATTTATTTACAGTAACAAAGCCACCGTCTTCAGTTTTGACTTTCTTCTGTGTTAAACTGTACCTTGATCTACCCGAATTCTTGGATGATTCACTTTTTCTTTGTAATTCACTTACAGTGGATTTTTTTGAGTCCAAGTCATTCTGAAATGTATGTAATGTTTTTATTATACAATACATGTATGTGTGTGTTTGTGCATCTTTGACATAAGCATCTATATTAATATGTATATTAGTTACATTGGTAACAATGTCTACTTTTAAGAAAGCAGTTATTAGCTGTATTACTGAAATACTTTGATTGGGCAACATCATAATTTTTCTGTAAATTTCATGCAAAAATTAACTGTTATTCTAAATAATACATATCATTGGAAACAGACAAATGCCCGCATGTACATGTATGTTCCTACAAACAATTTAAGATATTGACAAATAAACATAATATGCTGTAAGAGCAAATTAAAAGCATAGATGGCCTAGATCTTGACAACCGAGGCCCTAAGCTCCATAGTAGAAGTGTAAAAATCTATTTAGCACCTATGGTATACCTTATTTATTCCTCTTCAATATTTACAGACAAAATTACAATATATAAATTGCACTCAGGATTGAGTAGAAAGCTTAAAGTTTATATGAAACTCTCTCCTAAGGTATTGATAGCACTTGATATTAAACTTAATTGTTTTGACTTGCCCAATGCTTATTCAATATCAACTTAAAAGAATTGAAGGTTGCATTTTCAGGAACATTTGTCTATTTTATATTTGAAGGCTATTGAATAGCCGAGACGTAGGTCTTAAATAAAATTATAGAAACCTGACCCACTTTGTTTCGTGTGTTTCACTATCCTTATTCGTTTTATTATTTTATATTTGGTTAATTTTTTCTTATGTTATTGGATTGGGCGTTGATGGTACATGTAGCTTGCACTTTCCAGTACTGTCCATGAACAGGCTCAATCAAACCAAGCCTGTAACATTTTCAATTTGGCCATTTTGTACGTTCTTTAGATTCTTTATTGTTTAATCTACAAAAAGTCTCCAAGACAATTGAATATTCATACTGTCAATAGCTAACCAGTCCAGTAAATCTTACTATAGTATTCCTTAACGTCTGCAAAATTTACTCTAAGTTACAGTAATTTTTTTTTTCTATGTCATAACTTTTTTTACAACAAACTACTTTTAAAGTTATATTATAATAACATGATTACTTTTCCTTAAACTTGTTTGTTACTAGCTCCTCCAATGTATGTTCAAAATCACAAATAAAGACTTATAATGCATTTTAAACACATTCATGGCATACATATCTAGACTACTGTATGTAATAATATTCTCTAATATTATTGCCTAAGTCTTTATTGTGTCATGATGACTCATCAACTTTTTATTGTGAAAGAGCCAGTGCTACATGTATATCAATATCATATGCTATTACCCTGCTGGTGTACTATTTTTATCAAGACATCAAGAATGGCTTGATGCTATCAATTAGACCAGTTCTGGTTGCATTTCTTTGATAAATGCAATCAATGGAATCTTTGTTACAATTAAAATGCCAAAACTTGAAAAGTGACCCTGTCTCTTCATAAGGCTGGTCAAAATGCCTAAAAGGCTTATGACTTAAAAGTTATGTATTTTTTTTTAAATAATTTATAAATTTTTTTCAAGCATGGTCCATTCATTTATTTATTCAATTATTTTGCTTTTTCAGGTTTTCGTGACACATAATTCTTAAAGTCCATGAAAAATTATACACAGAATTGCAAAGCATAAAACAAATAAGGTCCAATAGCTTACTTCAATTTCAAATTATTGTGCCATTACAGTGATTAAAAAAAATTCAGAGCTTCCAGTTTCTACTTGTCTGTTAAGCCAATGCAATAGACCACTAGAATTCTCATTATTTGTTTGTTTACATTTAACAATGGAAAACTGGAAACAAATCTTTAAGTGTTTAATGTATATAATTTATAATATATAATTTAATGCAATGTATAAATCACACGTAGAGCATTGTCAGGCAATTTCCAGTCATACATGTTACATTGTATCCCATTTTTAAAATGTGTGATTTATACTGTGAACATAACATTAACCTAAAACACAAGCTTTATTTCCAGTTTTCCATCATTAAATGTAAACAAACTGATTATGAGATTTCAGTATTGCATTGGTATACTACAAATTTCAGATAACTGCCTCAATATCTACTCATATACAGGTGGACAAGTGGAAGTTTTTATCACTGCAATAACTGCAAGCACACATAAAGTTAAGTTTGTGTCAATTAGGTTTAGACCTGTTCTCTATGTAGAGGTGAAGATGTGTAAGCGATCAGATCAGTCAGTAGAGCAAAGGAACATTATTCCAAGAGTCAAGGGTTTGAGTACCGGTCAGGCTGCAGATTTTTTTTTACCCTGCGACATTTGGTTCCCAACATGGGGGCGTGGCATATATATATCCTGTTTTCTCGTATTATCATTGGGCTATGGACTAAACTTGGTTGGATAATTTTTACAAAACATTTTACTACAGTATCTTTTAATTTCTTAATACCTTTTTAAGACAATATAAAGGAAGAAAGATCGTAACCGAAAGCAAAACAAAAGATATTTTCGCTTGTATATATTATATACTGACCTTCACCCTCTATGTGAAGCAGGTGCTTTCTCGTATTATCGTGAAATTTGATTGGTTGTTAAGGCTGGTCGCTATGTGATGATTGTATTCTACACACCAGTTCAAATCATTAGTGCAACTCCTAATTAAGTGTTAAATACTAATTATAGCTTAGCTCTGTAATTTTTTTGTGTTTTTACTTTAATAACAGCTTGGTAGGCCATAATCAAACTTTTTAGGATCATATTGAAGCCTCTTTGGTACCAAATGATTTGGTTTGTTCTAAAAATAGTTTGAACTCAATTATGTGTTGTTGTTTACATAATCCCTCTAAAATATATTAAGTTTATGTTTACTTATTAGTTATATGAGCATTTAGCAATGAATACTACAGTTTTCCATTGTAGGGACACATGTTTTTATTGTTTTGTTGTCAAAAATAAAAAGTGATAAGGATAAACAATGTTTCATTATTGGTTTTGAATTGGAGTTCATATGATTTGTATATTATCTATTTGTGGAACAAATATTTTGAGCTGTATTGTATATAAAGTAGTGTGAGACCGTCATTTGTCAGAGACCAGCTTAAGGTTTCTGCAACATGGAAAGAACTAGAATTGATGATTTTGGGAAAATAACCTGATAAATTTAATGTTTTTCTCTGGATTTTACGCTAATTTCCACAGTTATTTTGTTTTTTTATCTGTTTTTGTCACATTTCTTTCATTATTTTTGACGGAGATAAAACAGCTCTGCTAAATAGACAAATTTTCGGATATCAACAGAAGTCGCAAGCGTCGCTTCCATCCATTTTAATTATTCCACGATAATACGAGAAACAGGGATACATGTACATGTAGATATACACATGTAGCTCAGAGATTTAGTCACATTGCTCTGTAACCCTCAGAAATTCAAGGCCGAATTTCAATACAGTGGGGCAGTATATAACAGTTCAGACTGTTCACTATGTAAGGAAGAAGATCAGATAGCTCAGTCACTAAAGCTGCGGAACAGTATTTCAGATTCCAGTATTTTAAGCGTCCTGGGTTCGTACCCCACGCCTTTACCAAAATAGTACTTCTGTTTGGACTACTAAACCTTGACAACAACCTAAGCAAAGCAAAGGACTGTTTGCGAATTGCCATACTCATGATGCCAAAGAAGAAGTAAAAAAAATATATTGTATGTTCGCGAAATATAATGACACTTCAATTTTACCTGGTTTCTTGCTTTTTGAGTCTGTGACCTGTAATCCCATATATCATCCTCTTCATCACTACTTATTACTTCTATTTTTGGCATGTTGCATTTATAACTTTTATGATATCTTTAAATAATAATTTTTTTCCCTCTAATCCGGAAGTGTTTTTTCTATTGTTGTTGTTGTCGTTCATTGGTACCCGATCTTTCATCAGTCACCTATACTGTCGCCTTAAATTATACAGAATAAGCGATTGTTTTGATCGGGTGATGTGTCAGCTTTTACTGTTAGCGACTATTTAGACATCTTTGAGACAACAACGTTTGTATGTCACTTGTTATTATAATTATTCATTGTTAAAACAAATTGTAAACTTTTTATTTGCACAAGTGCTAATTGTCATGTAATGAGTTTTGTGCAAAAAGCTGCAATAACAAGGAAAGGTTGGACAGGTTAGAATCCTTTCAAGATTATCATTTTTATTTTTCAAGTTGTGAGATTTAGATCTTTGGATTTATCTTTTGATACACACACCTAGTCCAAAAGTTCAGATACAATCTGTCAAACTGTGCTAGTGTTAGTTCTATTCTGTTATTGCCTTAAGTCCCAGGATGATAATATCTGTCATTTGATGATGTGTTGTACTTGTAGTCCTATATATCAGACGTTACAGGCTTGTTGTAGTTTGTTGGTCAAGCCTGTTGCTTTGCCTAGAAACAAAAATATCTGACATAGCGACGTCATATACAACTAGATGTGTTGCAGTTTAGATTAAAAATCGAATATCTAGCCTGAGGGTACTCAGGTAATGAGGCTTGCTGAATTGTCGGTGATAGTAAAAATATTTTGATGATACAAGAAAATACAAGATACAAGAAAATTTATTTTATGTCGGATACATATAAACAGAAAACATTAGCTCATGAGCTATTTTCCGACAAACAATAGTATATGAACTAAACAAAAGTAAAGCAGCTAAAAGAAAATATAAGCATAAGCACAATTAAGTACATGGAAGTAAGATATTAAAGCAACTAAAAATTATAAGCATAAGCACATCTAAATACATGGATTTAAGTTATTATAGCACCATGCATGCTTAAAAGTTACAATAATTACAAGCAAGATAAAACAAATAACTGATAATATAAATAATGTACATTCCTGTAAAAGAGTTATATATTAGTTAAAGACAGACATGTATAAAAATAAGCATAAGCACATCTAAGAATATGAAATTAAGAAAATAAAAATTTAAGATAAGTTAAAACTACAAAAGTTACAAGAAAAAGAGTACAAAAATAAAATATACATATACACCTATGTACATACCTGTAAAAGAAATATAATAGATATATATATAAAAAGAAGCCATGCATAAGTAAAAAAAAAAACATAAAACAAAACAATGAAATTACAAGGACTATCACATAATGCAAATAAAAAGTAACATTAAACATTTATTGGTATAATATTTGCAACATCTAAAGACTATACATAAAAGCACATATAAAACATGTTAATCACATACAAACACATGTTAGACACACATGTGTTTAACAAAAGGCTACAAGCGGCACATTGAACACTTACATTTTGGGCCTGTCCAGGTGCCAACCAGCCTCCCAAATTTCTTTGAAGTTTTCTACTCTTCTGATGTCACTGGGGAGGCTGTTCCACACCCGGGCAGCCTCAAAACGGAAGGAGTTCTGTCCATACCTGGTGGTTCGAACTGTAGGCACTTCTAGAATATGATCATACCTGCAATTGTAAACAGAGGTCTTAAATTTGGCTAAGTTTTGAATATATTTAGGTGATATATTGTGTAAGCACTTGAAAGTCTCGATTGCAATTGTTTTTAACCTGCTTAGATGGAGTGTGGGTAATTTAACCTTATTAAGGAGACTTTCATATGATGATGTAAAATCATTGAAAACAATGCGTAAGGCCCTGTACTGGAGTTTTTCAAGTTTGTCTGTGTTGGCTTTACTACAGAAATGCCACACTATGGGACAGTAATTGAAATTGGACCTGATAAAAGATTTGAATATGGTAAGCCTGGTAGGTACAGAGAGGAATTTACTTAATCTTTGCAGGACATTTAACTGTTTTGCGGCTTTTTGGCAAATGGCTGATACCTGGGCATCAAAATTTAATTGATAGTCAATATCTACTCCTAGTAATTTGACCTGTTCATCACATGGGATAGTGCTGCCGCTTATATCAAATGACTTAATTTCAGTATGTGACTTGACCCCCACTGAGATAGCTTTGAAACTTTTCAGGGTTTGCCTGCATTTGATTACATTTAAACCAATCTATGAGTATATTACTTTCATCCTCAAGGGTAGATTTGACAACTGTAGCATTTTTATGCCAGAAGGACAAAGTGTTATCATCAGCATAATTATAAAGGGTGGATTTTTCTATGAAGTAAAATATATCATTAATGAAAATGTTGAAGACCAGGGGCCCTAATATTGATCCTTGAGGGACACCCTTAATAATATTATCCCACTGGCTGGTATAATCCCCTAGTTTAACCCTTTTGTTTCCGCTTTTGGAGATAACTGCTCATAAGTTTACAAGCGTTATCAGACAGACCATATGCCTTAAGTTTAAGGATAATTAAATCATGTGGTAGGCAGTCGAAGGCCTTTGATAAATCCATTAGTATTGCTCCGATGAACATGTTTCATCAAGGGCCTTTTTCCAGTCTTCCACTAGCCTTAGTAGCGTAGTCTGACAGCCATATGATTTACGGAAGGGCTGCCAGATAAGGGTGAAAAATTTCCTCAAAGTAACCCGAGAGTTGGTCATGGATAACCCTTTCATATAATTTGGACATGGTGGGTAGAATACTTACTGGCCTATAATTTTTTTTCTATATAGGGGTCATCTTTTTTTAAAAATTGGGGTTACTTGGGCAAGTTTTAGATTTTCTGGGAACTGACCTTGACTTAACATAGTATTACATAAATCTCTAATGGGACGGGCCAGGGAGGGTTTGCCTGCAATTATGACCTTTGGTGGAATTTGATCAACTCCAGTAGCCTTTTTTTGGATTTAACCTTTTTATGGACTTAGATATATCTTGTTCAGTGACCAGATTGAATGTAAATTGTGATTGTGGGCAGTTGTTATTTATTTTATCTATGCTTGGGTGTATAAAGGTGTCTTGTTCATTTTCTTCTATACCAATGTTTTTTGCAATGTTGACATAGAAAGAGTTAAGTGTGTTGGCAACTGTGGCTTGGTCAGATAAGAGTTCCCCATCTGACTTTTTCAGTATTATTGGGTTGTCTGTTTTATTAGTAGGTTTTTGTGATAAGAAGGGCTTGATGGTAGGCCAGAAATCTTTTTGATTTTGGCCCGCCACCACACCTTTCGTGAAAAATATGTAGTGATTGAGTCCCTTTTTAACCTTTGTTTTCATATTTCTCATTTTCTTGTATTTTTAACCAGTTTTCATTACTTTTGTGTTTGAGAAAAGGTGTTTTTTGCCTGACGTGTATTAAAGATGACCTTTCTGTAATTTGAGTTCATATAAGGAGGAGGGTTACGTCTGGGTTTTTTTACTTTCACAGGGGCATGATCATTAACGACCTGTTTAAGGAGCATCTCATGGGCCCAGTAGACGTCATCAATGTCGTCAAAAACATGAGCAACATGAAATGGTACCTGTTCCAGGTCGTTATTAAAATCTTCATGGTTAAAACTTTTATATGATCTAAAATTTATTGGTTTGGTTTTGAAAGGATCACAATGTTCTCTTATGCTAGTACAGATCATGTTGTGACAGTCACTTAGTCCAGTATTGAAGTTTATTGTATTACAAAGAAAATTTTTGGAATTTGTAAGTATTACATCAATTAAAGTAGGTGAATGGTTTTTTGTAAAGCATGTTGGTTCTTTTACTATATTGGCTAAATTAAAGTTATCACAAATATTACTGATACATTTTGACTTATCTTTGATGTGCCAAAGGCAAAGCTAGATTCTGCATGAGATATTTTAATTCATTCTACAGGCCCGTCACCGCAATTTTGTGATTCATGCAGCCAATTTGGTGGTTCTAGGGGGTACAGGGCATGCTCCCCCAGAAATTTCTATTCTAGGATGCTCTCAGAAGCTTTCTTGTGTCTTTTGCTCATTTTACAGCCGCTAGTACTCGTTATTTTGGCATATATCAATGATGTCTTTACAAAGATCTAAATCATAAGTTTAAAGAGAAAAGGGTTGACTACCCATCGCATACTGGACAGACAGTTGTACATAAAATATGAATAATTAATATATTACAGATGAAAAATAAACAATAATTGATGTTGTTATAATTCTTCATATTTATCTGTTTATTATAAATAATTATAAATAAATGCAAGAAATATTACATACAAGAACAGTAGTACGTTCGTAGATTGTGTTCACAATGGTTTAAGCTTAATTATCAATTGATCAGTCTCATTTTATGTGAATTTTCCAAAAACACATCGCCATCGTTCATTTTGGAGATAAAAATAATTTTGGTTGATTTGGTTCTGACGTGACTGTGTCACACATCATGAATTGATATCTTAATATTTTAAATTATTTGTATTAAAATACTTGTATGTGAACAGCAGTAAAGTTTAAATGTGATGTTATATTTTGTATATACACATGTATATAAACTGTAAACTGTCCGAAGCCATGTCAATTGATGTCATTATCAATTAATGTGAATTAAGACAACTTCACACATAGCTTTGTAGAACCCCTTCATGTATCTAGTCAGATAACAGTATCCAGTTGTTTTGCATGGTGCTTGTATAATAATTACCGCACATAAGGAACCAGTGTCGAATTGCTAATCAGCGCTGCATGTTTTTGTTTTTATTTTAATGTTGTTTTTTTCCTTGCTAAGAACTAGACAATTTTTGGACAAAATATTGATCCGACCATCAATGACAGCCCTTTCTAGCGGAGAGATATTACCAATAGTTTCACAAAGTATGGTAGCTCAATATCCAAATGCATAGTACAATTAGTTGGACTACATGCACATGTAGCTTAACTAATTATACCCCCAACACATGTTGTTGGGTTTATACTGGTCCAGTTATTGGAATCACTTTGTCCCAATGGGGACAGTCCATGCGGGTCTTGCGCCAGCTAGTAACTGTAAAGAGAATTGAAGAACAAAATAAGATCTATTCCTTAAAAATTGTATAAGGGGCTTTGACCCCATCTACAAAAAAATTAAGCAACAGTAGATTGTCCCCTTGTTTCCATTCCCTTTGCATGTCAGGGTCAAACCTTTGAAGGATTTTCTTCAATCTTATTTCAATAAGGGGATGTGCAGAACTGATGACACAGCTGCGCTGGTTTGAGACCACTTTTTGTCATTCCCTAATAATTTGTATGGTCTTTTGTTTGTTAGTCATATAGATATGAAGATAGGAATGGTTAATCAATTCAAATATTTCATTCCATATCCAATTACTATTATTATCTGACCAAATAATTGGAACCAGTGATAGTTTATAAACTACTGTAAAGATAAATGGAGTTGTTTATAAAAAAAAAAGTCTCCTTTAGGGTAATACATTTCACCATAAATGTGCTATTGAAAATGCTAAAAATTCGTTCACCATTTTGCATCTATGTTGTATTTCACTGAATTATTTAAAATGATTAACAACCCCTACATAATTATGAGAAATTCCAGTTGAATAATTGAACATGAATTAACAATCAATAAATTTTCTATATTTCAGGTACCATGGAGGTTGAAGAACTAGACCCTGAAAAGAATGCTCTCAGTCCGACTCCGAGACTTGTTAGCAAGAAACACGATGGTTCAGCATGTAGACTAATTTTCGCAGCTACCTGTGCTTTCTTGGGACCATTTTCATTCGGTTACAGTATTGGATATAGCTCACCAGCACTTCCTGAGCTAGAAAAGCTTGGAATATTGACCAGATCTCAAAGTGGCTGGTTTGGGTCATTGTTGACAGTTGGAGCTCTGATTGGTGGACCATTTGGGGGTTTGTTGATGGAAAAATTTGGAAGAAGAACTGCAATGAAGTTCACTTCAATACCATTCTTTTTTGGCTGGCTTTGTATTGCTTTTTGGAGTGGAACACAGGGCTTATTTTTCGGCAGATTCTTGTGTGGGTTTGCCAGTGGACTTGTAACAGTAAGTGTGCCTGTGTATATTGCAGAAACGTCTACAACTTCTCTACGAGGAACACTTGGGGCAGGAATTCAGCTGTCTATAACAATTGGAATTCTTGCGTCTTATTCAGCAGGAATGTACTTCCAGTGGTCTGACATGGCAATCATTGGAATGATACCTGCATGCCTTGCATTTGTTACATTATACTTCGTTCCAGAAACACCAAGATGGCTGCTGTTAAATGGTAAAAAGCTAGAAGCTGTTGCATCGTTACGTCAGTTGCGTTATGAGCATGCCGACTGCGAAGATGAATGTAGAGATATAGAGGAAGGTCTTGACCTTAAGGAACAGTTCACATGGTCGGAATTCAAAAAACCAGAATTGTCTCGACCTCTGATGATATCGGTGTTTATCATGATTTTTCAGCAGTTTAGTGGTATAAATGCTATCATGTTTTATACAGTGACAATATTTAAGAATGCTGGACTGGGTATAAGTGAGCTGGCTACAGTACTTGTTGGTGCTGTGCAAGTTGGTGGAACGTTCGTATCATGCCTGCTGATGGACAGAATGGGAAGACGTAGATTACTGATAATTGCTGGTCTATCTATGAGTCTGTCTTTACTTGTCATGGGATGGTGTTATCATAAATTAGACACTGGGTCATCTCCGGCTGACGTAGGAATGATATCCGTTATCTGTGTTGTGGTCTATATTCTAGGATTTTCACTCGGTTGGGGACCAATTCCAATGCTCATTATGTCAGAAATCTTCCCATCAAGAGCGAGGGGTGCTGCTAGCAGCATAGCAGTCTTTACCAACTGGTTCTGTGCATTTGTGGTTACAAAAGAATTCTTATTTGTACAGGACGTGTTTGGAGCTGCAACTACATTCTGGATGTTTGCCTTCTTCTGTGCATGTAGCGTAATGTTTGTGTGGAGAAAAGTGCCGGAGACTAAAGGAAAATCTCTGGAAGACATTGAGCTCTTTTTCCTGGGTAAAAGCACCTTGATTGTGTAATGGAAAATCATAAAACGAGGTTTTATAGGGCTCATAACATGGATGTTAAACTTTGGGTTTATATGTAGATAGGTTTATACTGTATGTAATCATGGGTCATACTATCAGGCTGATTTGGAGAAGTAATATCCTGTTCATTTTTGTAATCATTGCTAGAATATTCGATGCCATATTTTTGTGGAAAATTCCAAGATGTATTCATTGAAGGTCATCAAAGAAAAATTCTATTACTAATTAAACATACTGCAGAATATTCTGCCATAATGAAAATGTGTTGTTTTGAAAGATTTATATTTAAATCTTTGATATAACTTTAAAGAAGTATTTTTGTTGCAAAAAGATAATAACTAGATAGTTCTAGAAGATGAAATATTCACTGCCAATAAGACCTCATTTTTGACATAGTCATTTTACAATATAATTTTTGCAATTAAGTGACCACACAGTGTATTAATTCCATTATTTATTTTTCATTTGTCTTGTTTTGTATATGTCAAAATGAAAATTTTATCCTTTTCTTTTTTTCTTAAACCCCCCCCCCAGGATATTTTGCAAAAAAGCATATTTTTATTGAGCTCCTTTTCGTGTTTGACACATGTAGTTAACTGTGGTTAGACCTCAGAATACAATGTATACGAAAATGGATACAAAGAAAACCCCTAAGCTACTTATAAAAATGCTCATAAACATAATTTTTCTCCTTTTTTTGAAGTAAGAGGGGTTGATAATTTAAAATGTTTTATATACCATTAGTATATTGATTGAATCATGCACAAAACAAATGTCTGTGGGAAAGTTTATTATAGCCTTAGCTGTAAGTAATTGATCCCACATCTGTTACATATCCTTTTTTATAATGCTGAATGACATGTATAGTGTGTTCAATGAAGAATTTCTTATTTTATAAGGTTTTTTAGTTTTTTTCATTAAATGAATCTCATTTTTTGCTATTTCCACCACTGTATATAACTACGTACACAAACTATATAAGATAGACCTATTTATGTGGGAGGCAACTGTGACAGAATGATTTTTATTCACCTTGCTTGATGTGCATTCTGTTCAGATCTTTTTTTTTCTTTTTTTTGTAAGAAGCTGGGTTGCATTTCATTGAGAGTCTTAAGGTTTATAAACAGTCCTAACTTATGACTGCTACATTTACGACCAAAAACATAAAGTCTAGGAATAAGTAAAGGTATCCTACGGTTGTCCTAAGTCAAAACCACTCGAAATCCAAGATTGCCGCATTCATCTTACTTTTTCAAACATGGAGCCCCCTGTGACAGGAGGGTTTTTTCATAACTGATCACAGGCGCTTGACATCTAGAATGATGAGAAACTTATAAGACCCAACTGGTTCATCTTACAAAGTATAGGACTCTTGTGAAACAGTCTAAAGTGCATTTCTCCCACAGTTGATCAGAAGTCCTAGGATTTAGGATTAACTTGGGACTCTCCGTGAAATGCTGAACTGCAGTCCTGTTCATTATGCAAAAGGGACTTTCACAGTTTTTTTCCCACCTGTTAAAGCTGAAGAATATGTATGTTTATTGAATGATTAATGATATGTATATTACCTTAATGTCTTAAAATAAAAAATATTAATGACTTCTGCAAATCATTTGAATGTTGGTTTGATTTTTTCAAGTGACAAGTGTTCCACCAACCATTTGAAATATCAATAATGCTTATTACTACTGTAAATCAATTGTGTGTAGTTTTAGTGATGTATAAAATTAACTTCCCAATTTTTTTATTTATTTTATTTTTGTTTAACTGACACATGTGTTCCTCCAACCATTTGAAATATCAATAGTGCTTATTTAATGTTATTAAGATACAAATTTACAGTACCTGTCTATTTTTTTTTCAATTTTGTGTTATATTTATTTATTTTACTCTGAAACCATTCCATTAATGTCGGTGCTCATTAATGTTAATATTACAGACCTTTCACAATGCTCAAATTGAGAGAATTTTTTTGAAGTTTTTAAATTTCTTTTCCATTATTATATTTTCATTCTTATTTCGTTATCAAGTTGTATTCTTTAAACATGACAGAGTATGTATACTTTAATATCAAAAGAAAAAGATAAAAAAAAAATCCTCAACAAACCAATCAATGTGAAGAGTGAATGTCTTACATTTTTGAAGGCAAGTTCAAAGGATTTGCAATTCAGTGGGGACTTCTTTTTGAAAAAAAAAAATTGTGCTATCATAACAGTTATTTTCTAAAAGTTTTATTACATAACAATAATTAAGTTTATACATGTACTTCCAGAAATCCATAAATGATGTATTGTGCAGGTTATTGATATGATTGGCTTTGCAAGTTGTTTTAGTTTAACATCCTCTATTAGTTGATTCAAGAATGTAATCTTAACTGAAAATAAATGAAAAAAAAATTCTTCCCTGCCTTACTTGGTTTACTGCTGAAAAAAAACTGTTAAGTGAAAAATTGTTCTGAATTTGACAAGAAATCTCAGTTGTGAAGTTTAAATTGATTTATCAAATGCAACATTAATCTTTCAAAAGATTTTAAACTTTTGAAACATTTCATGCAAGTGAGTGAATTGACTTTTATATTAATCAAAAGAGTTGAACTGTCAAAAGTGGTGTTTGACAACAGTTGATATTAGGAAAAAGTTTAGATAATAAAATTTAAAATTCTGCCTTTAAAAATTTTAAAAAAGGGCTTTTCCCCCTTACTGCTTAAAAAAAATAAGCCTTTTAAAAAAACGTTTAAAAATTTTAACGGAACCCTTTTTAAAAAATTTAAAAATTTTGGATCTGTTTTGTTAAAATTTTTGTTTTTGCGAAATAAAAAATTTTAAATTAAAAAAAGGGGTTATTGGCCAAAAAAGGGAAAAAAAATATTTTTACTTTTTTAACCCCTTTTTACTCACTAAAATACCCTTGGATGGGGATAAAAGTTTACTTTTAAAATTTAAAAGGGGAGTTTAAACTTTTATTTTTAAAAAATTTTTAAAAAAATGATAGTTATATTTAAGGGAAATTTTTAATTTTTTTCCTAAAATTTTTGGGGATTTTTTAAAAGTTTTTGGTGCAATGTAACTTGTAATGGATAGTAAGAGCCTAAAAACCTGTAATTATTTTGGTTTTGAATATTGGCAGATTTCATATGCATTTGTTTTACTATGTTGTTAGTTATTAAAATTGTTGTTATGTTGTCTCTAGAAAAAAAAACTTGCTGCTTCAGTATATTTTACATTTCATGAAATATGCATTATTTCCACAATTTTTATTGTTATACTTTAATAGCTTAAATTTATATGATTTATGATGTTTATAATTGTACTTTTTATTATTTTGTGGGAATATTTTATCAGATTAAAAAGTGGTAAAATCAGTTTTGAACTCTTTTTTTTTTAATCTCCTGCTAAATTTGTTTTAATCTATTTTAAGGACAGTTAATTTCCAGAAATTTTTATATAATACTTTTGCATTGAAAATGATAACTCAGATTAATCAGACTGACTTAGTTACTTTAAACAAACTGTACAACATCAAAAACTTAAACTGTTATACAACTGTAACTTTCATTAAGATCAAATTGAAATAAAAGATTCATACAGAAACAAAGAAAAATATGACATCCCAAGAAATGTTTTTCTGTGGTGCATAGAATGTTGCAGGTAAGTTGTGCAGCAAAAATGAATAACATGCATGAACTTTAAAAATGAGTGATGTTTTATGAAACTGGGCTTCATGAATTGTCAATGAATAGCAAACAATCAATTTTAGTTTTAAATTACATTTAATTAAGAAATTAACTTACATAAAATTCAGAGTTATATACAATATATTTACATTCCAATGTACAGCATGTTCATTTGATTTACAGTACATAGGATTTACATTACATTATGATATTTACATAACATTCACCAACGAATTTACATTACATACAATGATACAGTGATCAATTACTCATTTAAGTAACCTTTAGTTTTCAACTTAATGAATTACAAACTTATTAAATACTACAGCATTCTATAGATTTTTTTAAAAACACCTTTGCATTAATTTTATGCATTTTCAGTTAGATTAAGAAATCCAATGTAGCTTGAATTCTTTGCATGGCATTCACATTTATAATTATCATCTTAATTCTGTCACGTGTCCTTGACTTGCAAGCATTTTGACTACCTTGGTGGTGTTTCCATGTTAACATCAAATCCAATAGGGTGTGGAAGGCCGAACTGACCTGAAATATATAGAACTAGATTATATACATGTTGTATTATTTAGCTGCAAAGGAAGAACAATACTCGACAACTTGGTCACTTAATAATGACTGGATCTTATAATAATGACTATAATAATGACTGGATCACTTATCGTGCATTAAGTCGGTCTTACCTATTCCTGGTGGTAGTCTTCAGCTCATTTTATACCTCTATGTTGGGATTGGTGTCAGATTCTGAGTTATTATTATTTATGTTAAAAGTAGAAAACAAAGTAAATGGGACATAACTATGTAAAACAATGGTGCTAGTCCTCCTATTCCTCTTATACTAGAACTAAAAAACAAACTTCAAAGCTTTTCAATCTCTAATAAAACCAAAATGGTGAGCACTTTGAAAGCATCAGCACAGGGATGAAAACAAGCATTTTGTTTTTCTGCCAAATTTAAAATTGACTTGCATTTTATGGTTTGAAATACCATTTCAAGCCATAGCCTCATTAAAGCTATATCATCTGCAAATCATGTTTTTGTTAAAACGCAAAGTGTAAAAAGGGGCCATAACTACATGAACTAGAAATGTGTCCAAAGGACACGGATGCCCCCACTGACAACATATAGGTATATAGTGAAAAAATCAACAAAGGGCCATAATTCTGTTAAATTTGGTCGCAGCAAAAATTCCTTCCTTTACTTCCATCTACACATTAAGGTTGTTCATCCCTGTAAGTTTAAGCAAAATCTGCCATCCGGTTTAAGAGGAGTTGGGTTCACAAAATTTCTACATGGTATATAGTGAAAAAATCAACAAAGGGCCATAATTCTGTTAAATTTGGTCGCAGCGCAAATTCCTTCCTTTACTGCCATCTACATATTAAGGTTGTTCATCCCTGGAAGTTTAAGCAAAATCTGCCATCTGGTTTAAGAGGAGTTGGGTTCACAAAATTTCTACATAGTATATAGTGAAAAAATCAACAAGGGGCCATAATTCTATTAAATTTGGTCGCAGCGAAAATTCCTTCCTTTACTACCATCTACACATTAAGGTTGTTCATCCCTGGAAGTTTAAGCAAAATCTGCCATCCGGTTTAAGAGGAGTTGAAGTCACAAGACTTCGGGATGTACGGACAGACGGACGGATAAGTGCAACGCTATATGCTCCCCACTTTGATAAAAATTAGTTGTCTGAAGTCAAATTAAAACTAAATCAGTATTTTATGTTCCCAGGTACATCTGTGTACCAAGGACCATAACAATGTGTTGTCTTACTGAAGAGTCATAAGCCGGAAATAATAATTCTTAACTTACTGACCAACAAGCTCATTTGCATATACATCCCCTAAGCTTTATTTGTGGGGCTATGAAAATAGTATACCATTTAATGCAGATATTAGATTTTGTCTGATAATATATAGCTAGAAAGTGTGAAAAATTTGCAACATTCATTAATAGTCTAAAACATTTATAAACATTAGTCATTTGAAAACTATATAAATCTTAAGAACAATAACATGCACTGAATTCAGAACATCTGTATTGGAATCTATTAAACATACATGAAATCTATCATTAAACTTTCTAAAAGGAAAGAATTGATACTCAAATGTCGCAGAAAATATACATGTCATTACATACTTGGACTGCTGTTACACACATTTTGTATTAGAAACACGCATCACTGGTCAAATGTCTTAATTTTATAACAGCTGGACTAGTGTATTATAAAGGTAAGCATATCAAGATGTGTCAAATAACATTTATTTCATAAAGTCAGGTATGCAAAATATGGTAACACAAGCTCTGAAGTGCTTTGAAAGCCCACTTATACAATCTACTGGTTTTGGAAAAAAAAAAGTGACATAAAAATTTATAAATTAACAATGGTCATCTGAACAAAACAGTTCTGAATTGAAACCAAACAATGACAACATTAATAACATATACAAAGGTAGGATACTACATACTATACTACTACATCCCGCACCTACAAAATGCTCCCATTCAGGCTTTTTCGTGTCGTTTTGAAGGTAAATTTTTTTTTATTTTATTAACAATTTCATAGAATAAAAACATACTTTACCTTCCACACAGGGGATGTTTACAAAGAAAAATAGTCATTTTGCAGGTGCGCCATGACTAAGTATCTTATCATTGATAAATGTGGAGCAGTTTATTGTAATATTGCAATATATTTACATTCCAATGTTCATTTGATTTACAGTACATAGGATTTACATTACATTATGATATTTACATAACATTCACTTACGAATTTACATTACATACAGTGATCAATTACTCATTTAAGTAACCTTTAGTTTTCAACTTAATGAATTACAAACTTATTAAATACTACAGCATTTTATAGATTTATTTTAAAACACATTTGCATTAATTTTATGCATTTTCAGTTAGATTAAGAAATCCAATGTAGCTTGCATTCTTTGCATGGCATTCACATATCATCTTAATTCTGTCACGTGTCCTTGACTTGCAAGCATTTGACTACCTTGGTGGTGTTTCCATGTTAACATCAAATCCAATAGGGTGTGGAACTGACCTGAAATATATAGAGCTAGATTATATACATGTTGCATGTATTATTTAGCTGCAAAGGAAGGGTGTCTCTAGATGTATACTACTACATCCCGCACCTACAAAATGCTCCCATTCAGGCTTTTTCGTGTCGTTTTGAAGGTAAATTTTTTTTTATTTTATTAACAATTTCATAGAATAAAAACATACTTTACCTTCCACACAGGGGATGTTTACAAAGAAAAATAGTCATTTTGTGGGTGCGCCATGACTAAGTATCTTATCATTGATAAATGTGGAGCAGTTTATTGTAATATGGTGGAGAATCCCATCAATACTTGTACAGAATCCAGGAACACTGTAAAATATGACTGAACCTAAATCTGCAGGACTTTTATATCATATCTGATCCATGGAATTATGTGAGGAATTGCAGCATGTACCACCAACTTCAAAACAAACACATATCTTTTCAAGAAGCAAACATACATGTTTTTGCTTATTCTATTCTAACTAAACAAATGAAAAACAAGAACATAGTTAAACTAAAGCAATCCAGAACAAATGAAAATTTGTTTGAATAATAAAAAAAAATCTTTTAATTGGGGAAGAGACCAAAGCAAGAAATTTGTCTGAAAAATGTTTAATGGGAATTATCCTTATGATACTATATCAGTATAATGACCCCCAAGGTTGAGGCATGTTTTACCCTAGATACAGGATTCATAAAACTTTTATAGAGATCCACAAGGCAATGTTATATGCTAAATATAGAGGCATATTATAGTATTTACCCTAAAAAAGATGTGTTTTCTTATACTTTAGCCAATATAAAGCAAGTAATTCCCGGGGCAGGGCAAAATTTAACCCGAGGGTCAAGATTTTATTTTAAATTTAATTTAAATTTTGTAGGAAATCTACAAATTGAATTGCTACATGATGTAAGCTCTGGACACAATAAGAATTAAATGTCTTTTCCTTTGTAAGTCTATATAAATCAAGTGATCCTGAGATGGGCCAATATTGACCCAGAGGCATGATTAATATCAGTTTTGCAAAGGACCACAAGGTATTTAATGCTACATGCTTAATATTTTAGCTCTTGGAATTGAAGTTACACAATTATAAGACTTGAATGTTTTTGGGTTTGTTGTTTTTTTCTATATAAGTCTGAATAAATTAAGTGACTACCAGGGCAGGCCATATATTAACCAAGGGGTATGATTAAGAATAAAATCAGTTTTGTGCAGGTATGCAGGGCTCATGGGTAGTCAAGTTATTGGTCATAAACTGTTCTGACATCCAAAGTCAATGTGACATTGACCTTTGATCCCTTGACCAAAAAATCGATAGGATCATGTACTGGCATGAACCAATGCACCCATTAAGGTTATGGGCAAAGGGCCTATTGATTGTTAAGCTATATGTGAGAATGTGACCTTGACCTTTGACCCCTTGACACTCAAAACAACTTGGATCATCTACAGCCCAAGACAGATGCACCTGTGAAGTTTGACAGGTCCTATGAGTGAATGGAAACTGTTTTGGCATTCAAGTCAGTATGACCATGACCTTTGACCCTGCAACCCAGAAAAACATTAAGGGTCAATCACTTGCCAAAACTAATGTACATTTGAAGTTTGAAGGCCGAGGACCCATGGATTGACGGGTTATTGGCTGACATACAAACTCAATGTGACCTTGACCTTCAAACCCTTGGCCCCAAAATCAATGTCTTCTATTTTGTAAGACCTATAAATTTTTAGGGCAATGGGCCTATGCATTCTCAAGTTATTTATTGGAAATAATGTGGGAGACAGACAGACTGACTCTTCAGACATCATGCTGCAAAACAATATGTCCCCCCCCACCCCTCTTTGAAGGGGGACATAGTTACTGATATCACACCATTTCTTAAATATGACTTACTTTGGGGTACATTTTGAAGTATAAGTCAATGGGGATGGAGTACTTTGAGGTATCACACCTGTAAAAGATAGAAACATGGTATACATGTGAATCACATGGTCTACATTAGTAAGCTTGCACAACAATTTAAAACTATTGGTGCTCCACACTGACATTACCATGAACTCTGTATGCATATATGCATTTGATAAAGATGAAATGAACCATTTTTCTTTCTTTTTTTCAAAAGCTCAACAAGATTTGTATATCTTCATCAAAACATAAAACATATTATCTATACAAAATTATTACAAAGACAAAATTCATGAAAGTGTCATTATTTTATCTGTTACTTGTTGTGATATATATGAAGTTAGTTCATGGTTTGATATGTACATGTATAATTTTTTGACTAAACATACAAAAAGAAAAGTGATGACATATTAAATACAATGCACATTTTATATGATCTAAATTTACACAACCAAAACCTGCTACTTAAGACCTCTTTCATTAAATAATGACTTAAATTTGTAAAACCTACATGTTATTATCTGAAGTATCATAAATCTGATACCACATAATGTACATTTCTAATGTCACACAATGTACTTTATAGAGTGACCATTTTTTAATAATTTCTCAATTTTGTATTTATATATAGAACTAATTATGTGATTAAATGTATATCATTTATAAGAAGTTTTAAAATATTACCCATTCTACCGCCACTTGGAGGTGTTCTGACAGAAACTCTTCCAGATGTTACCATCGTCAACTGTTGAATACATAATCATTAATTTTAGCAATATCAAATTGATTCTTAAAAAAAAACTAAAAATAATGGAAAAATAATGAAATTATCAATGTCATGATTATTCAAACTCGCAAAATATTTTATTCAAGCCTTTCAATACAGTCTGAGTCAAAAATAGCCGCTAAATACAAATTGGTCTTTTAAAACAAAGCATGAGAAAAAATCAAAATTGGTTCATAATATATTTTCATTGTGTTGGGGGAGTTTCTTAACTTCATTTATGTAAATTATGTTTAACCCTTTCACTGCCATTTTCGGCGTATTTGCCATATGGACGGCTTTAGCCGTTTCTATAATAATAATAGTAATAATAATAATATTACTATTATTATTATAGAAACGGCTAAAGTAATAATAATACATGTAATAATAATAAAAATAATAATAAAGATAAAGAAAATTATATCATCGACAATAATTATTATTATACTCGCAGATTTGGAAACATATATAATTATTAAAATACTAATAACAAATAATAATAATTATGTTAATTAATAATATAGTAATTTCTTAGAAAACCCTCTTGCAAATAGGTGATCAATAAAACAATAACCCTCTGGCAGCGAAAGGGTTAATAATTATAAGCACCATGTACCTCCTAAAGTTATTTGGAAAATCAATACAAGCATTTATATAAATAAAACATTATGAAATGTAAAGTATGACATAATGAAGCTGTAAATGTTAGTGAAAAGAATGCAACAGCTGCCAGTAATATAATTATCTATAACGAATTTTGACAAATTATATCAATATATAGCCCAGTTTAAATGATTGTAAGTTTTGAACAGACTGAAGCTCGTAAAATGCATATAGTATATAACAATTTAGTGTCACTGCCTGATATTACCTGTTGAATCATAATGATGAATCTATGATGCTACAAAATTGAAACAAAATATCAAATTATGAGCTTAATAGCAAATGGGTAAATTAATACATTTATAAACAGCCTGACTAGGCAAAGAAATTGCTGTTCAAGACAAGCACTGTAAGTGCTATAAATCATCAATAGTTCTTACCCCTGAACCAGGAGATATTTTCCTGTGAATTGAGCTGAAAAGATAAAAAGAATTTAAGATATTTTGTTGTTCATTCTAACACTCACGCAGCTTTTCCAAGACAATGCATGCCTTATTTCAATACAGTCACTCAGTATTCTTATTCTCTTCATTAAGTAACAGTTCACTCAGAATCCCTTATATTGGGACTTCCCTTGTGTAATAAATTTTTTGATGTATTAATTCTTTAAATACATTTGTATTTGCATGTATTGAAAATGTGTTGACAGTTTTTACAGCAGATTGGAGTAGCCTACAGTTCGACACTTTTCTTTGTCTTTCAATGCACCAACAAGTAAGAATTAAAAACTATCTTATTTTTGAGTTCTTTGTGGTATTATATCGCACAGTATAATATACATATGTTAATAATGTAATACTCAGGCCTATGGCCTTGTGATTATAACACTGTGCGTCTGAAATCCATACTGTGCAATTTCATACCACACTGTATGCATTCGAAATAAAAGAAATATTTGCACATATATTCGTGTTTTGGCTATGAATAACTGAACACCCAATACCTTGTGCTTGAGCTACGTGAAATCTGATGTAGTCCTGAAGGAGACCCATACCCTGAAATACAGAAAAATGTTTCCTGATAACTAGCAATGATAATGTTTTCCTTGTGGCATATAATAGTATATTTAGGGTTTGTACAGAAACCCAATGCCAAAATTCAAGCACTTTTAAGCACTTTTTTGATTTAAGTATAAAATTAAATGTGTTCTTTTTGTGAACTGTCAATTTTTACCTACATTATGTCATCCAATCATTTTCAAGCACATTTGCAGCAAATTAAGGCACTTTTTAAGACTGTATGAACCCTGTATATAATGTTTGGGCAGTTCTGCATATTTGTGCAGTCAAACAAGACTTCTACCTTGTTTTTTTTTTTTTTTTAATGTGTTTATTTAAGGTCGCCGCCGGAAAGCCCATATGGGCGACCGACCGTACACTCAAGTCGGGCCATCCTAGAGCGTCCCGCTGAGATTTTTTCGTCGATTTTTTTCCAGCTTTACTGGTGGAGGAAGACCCCAGGTGCCCCTTCGGCATTATTCCAGGTACGAGCGGGCAACTGGGTAGAACCACCGACCTTCCGTAAGCCAGCTGGGTGGCTTCCTCACATGAAAGATTTCGACCCGAGAGAGGATCGAACCTATACAGCGGTGAGGGACCTGTGATCTGAAGTCAGCGACCTTAACCACTCGGCCACAGAGGCCCCTTCTACCTTGTACTAAAGGTGATTACTTTAATACCAGCACGCTGACAAAGAAAGGGTGAATTGTTTTAAATATCATATATTTTCTAAGGTATCAAAATAATGAAGTCAATCATTTTTTCAGTTTTCAAGTTTCTAACCAATATAATTCATGATTTTCATGACCTGCTCTTGATAAAATAAAATATTTATATTAAATTAATAAAGGGAGATAATAACAAAAAATCACCAGTCAAGAGTTAATATTCTTGGATCACAATGTTTTTGCTTGTTGTCTTTTCTCCTTTATTGATTTTTTTTCTTTTTACAATATTAACAGCATTCCATTTTAAGGTGAAGTATTTAAGCTTACCTTTTTGGCCTGGAGAGTTGTTATATCTGTTCTTGTCATATGCTGAAGGACTCCTACAATAAGAAAATAAACTTGGCATTGTGGTAAGCAGTAGAACAAAATGTGATATGCTAATGTCAAATGTATATTAACCCTTTGCCTGCTTGGAACCATAAATGACTGGCATTTGCCAGCAGTATAGAGCTTGTCAGCCTACAAGTTTACGAAGCTCTTTACTGTTCAAATATTTCAGTATCCTTTAAATTTCAAATGTAACTAACATTCCAAATTCAAAAAAAAAAAACCATAACACAAACTCAGCATGTAAAGGGGGAATAAGCCATACAAACCATTACATCAAGCTTGGTGGGGGGTTCTTTATAAAACATTTCCATCATGTTGTCTTAGAGGCATCCAGAAGGTTGTGGGCAGATTCCCACATTAATGTCACAAAAATGAACACATTAACTTTGACTTAGTAAAAAGCAACAACAAAAAGAAAAACATTCAATAAAATAAAATAAAATTTCAATAGTACTTTTTCATTTGCAATAAATATGCAGATATAACTCACAAGTATGAATGTCAATGTGTTTCGGATTTATTGTTATGAAATGACTTCAACATAAAACCATGCATATTCTTCATAAAAGCCTTTATGAATAAGTTAACCAAACTGTATAACAGAAACAAAAGTAAGACAAAGTGTGCAGTGGGAAATCATAGCTTTCCTCTAATGTAGACATTTACAATATTAAGCTTCAGTTACAGGTCTAAATTGTTTCATCAGAAGAACTTAACAAATAATCCCATACATGATTAATACATTGAAATAATGAAGCATTAAAATTCATGTATAACCTGTTGTCTCAAGAAACAACAGTTTTTTCAATATCTATGCTGCCTTGTTCAACTTACATGATATGTGTGTCAAATGTTTATGATACTTTATAGAACACTCTTCTTCAAAATGAAATTCAAAAGAAATGTCTTAACAAATTTTGAGTGTGCCATATATAGTACATTGAATTTCAGCACAACAAAATAAGGTTTCAGCTATCCCTTACTGTATATTGTATCATTGATTATTATGTAAGTACAACAGATAAAAATATATAACATTTTGTTCTGCTCAATGTTTGATGTCAATAGTTATGTGAAATCATTTTGAAAGCAGGCCATTTTAATTTAGATTGGAAATTATAATGTTCAAAGATGAGATCGAAAATTCCACTTGTCCACTAGTACAAGTAATTATGAGAAGAATTTTAAAGAACTTGATGCAGGACTAGTAGAAAAATGTTGCCTGCAAATGGATTTAGAAGCTACTTGTCCTGGTCCTGCAAGACAAGTGACTCTGAAAATATTTTTCGATGCCTGAAGAAAGAAATAATAAGAGAGAGAAAGACGGAAATAATCCTGGAGACAGGACAGGAAGAAGGCAAACAATTTAACAATATAAAAACAGCAACAATATAAAATACAAACAAAATACAAATATTACCTCATTAAACTCCCATTACTCTTTATTTTTTTAGAAAAAAAGCAGGATTATTAATGTATCATTCTGTAATTATTTATGTTTTGGCAATAAATCATTTAATACTGTAAATGATTATCATGTAGTACTTTTAGTATGTGAAATGCTAATATATAAACACTAAGAAGATACTATTTTGTTTGAGTGAAATATAGGATATATTTTCAGGAAATATGATAAAATGCCACATATTTTCACGAGCCAGTACACAAAAATAAATGGTATTTAATCATGTTTAGTGAAAATATATTCCATATTTAATGAAAAATAAAAAATAATCTTTTAATTTAATTTTATTATCAAGAAAAAAATGGTTACAAATCCCTGACATGGAGCTGAAATTTAAGAATCATAACAAAGTATTCCCTATAAATAAATATATGTATGAGTTTTGACTTCACCCACTTTCATTTTTATATTTCAGATTTATTTTTAACAAATATAGAATATTTTTGATATAGTACCATATTTCATGGGTAAAATTAAATAACAATTTGTATTCATATACAGTAGAACTGCAATGGAAATAAATAGAAGATTATTGAGCACACATTCACATTGATGTCATTAATGTTTTCAGGCATATTATACTATAACTTGCATTCTTAATAGTACTAGTAAAAATATATATGAAAAGTCAGAAAAAGTGTTTCCAAATTGATCTATATAGATACTTGTAAAAGTTAATAAAAATATATATCATATAATACCTTATCATTTAGCAACCTCTTCAAATAACTGTTTTCTTCTTTCAGTTTTGTGTTTTCTCTGGAAAAAGCAATGTTTCTAAATAAAGTTGTTTGTTTACAAATATCTTATTAAAGGTATCATATCTAATAATCTTTATAGATTTTCATTCATTCATGATAAAAACAAGAACCCGGTTTGAACCGGGTGATGCTCCCCGAATAGGTCTTGGACACAGGAAAGCCTCTTGTAGTTTCAGAGTTATGTCCCTGAAAAAAGTTCAAGGTGCAATAATTCCAAAACTAGACAAGGCAGAGTAACTGTTCTTGGCACTGCACTTTTAATCAATGCGATCTTTCAAACTACAAAGTTTCTTGTTGATACATTTTATGGTTTCCGAGCTTTGTCCCGGACAATCTTCAAAATGTAACAATAAACAAAGGACAATAAGTACAAAATTTGGCAAGGCGGAGTTCAAGTTCTTAATCACTGCACATCTACCTATTGAGATCCATCTACCTACAAAGTTTGATATCTCTTGTACTTTTTAAATAGAGTTATTTCCCGGACAAGATTTTTTTTAAAAGGGGAGATAATTAAAAAATTGGGCAAAACAGAGTTATTGTTTTTTTGTACTGCACTTTTACTCAATGAGATCAATCCATCAACAAAGTTTCATGTTGATATGTCTTATAATTTTAATGTTATTTCCCAGACAAAGTTCAAAAAGTAAAAATAAACATAGGGCAATAACTCCAGAATTAGGCAAGGCAGAGTTATGATTCTTGTGCACTGCACATCTACCCATTGAGATATATATTCCTACAAAGTTTCATGTTGATATATAGCTTTACAGCTATGTCTTGGACAAGATTTTTCTAAAAGGGGAGATAATTCAAAAATGAGGCTAAACAGAGTTATGGTTCTTTTGCACTGCACTTTTACTCAATGAAATCTATCTACCTACAATGTTTCATCTTGATATCTCTTATAGTTTTAGAGTTATGTTCCAAACAAAGTTCAAAGTGTTAAAATTAACAAAGGGCAATAACTCCAAAATTACAAAAAAGAGTTATTGTTCTTATGCACTGCACATCTACCCATTGAGATCTATTCACCTACAAAGTTTCATGTTGATATCTCTTATAGTTTTAGAGTTATGCCCTGGACAAGATTTTTCTATAAGGGGAGATAATTCAAAAACGGGCAAAATAGAGTTATGGTTCTTTAACACTGCACTCCCCCTCAATGCCCTCTACCACTGTATGAAGTTTAAACAAATTATCTCCAAGGGTTTTCAAGTTATGCTCCGGACAGACAACGGATGGACAGACGGACAAGGCGCCGACTATATGCTCCCCCGAAATTTTTCGGGGAGCATAAAAATGACACAATTGTAGAATAAAGCTAGGTATTATACAGACCCTTATCATATCTAAAGATTTGCCTGGGTATTAAAGCACTACTATCACAAACATTTCTATGTTTACAATTGTCAAGTATCAAAAATATAATATACATGTCTGTAAGAATAATAAATGTAGCTGAGACCACATATATGACATAACAATGGTTAATATCAATTATGAATTATTTCAAAAATAATACATGTTCTTGTATATTATAAAAACATAATTAGACAAGCAATTATCATAGTATTGCAAGCAATCCATAAGTCCCCTACCGGTTAGAACCCCAGCAACATTCTGAAGGGCCATTGGCCATTCACTTATGTTTCTATTTTAAGTAAATGTGTTGAAAAAGTTCTTTAAAAGTGATCACAGGAAACAGTTTTTAAATACAGACAGACAAACGGACTGAAGGACACTCTAACATCCCTGTTATCAAAATATAACATTTTTAAAAGCAAAATTTTTAAAAAGGAGATAACTCTTGAAATAAAGATGCAAGATGTCTTACATGATGTGAGTGTAACAAAGAACAATTAGTAATGAAGGTATGAATAATGAATGTTTATTTTAAATTTGAAGTAAATGAAAGTTAAAAGAACGAATAGGAAAAATTAAAAGTTTAAGGAGGAGATTATTCTGGAAATATGGATGCTAGATTTATAAACCTTGTCATAATTATTATTATGATGTGGGAGTTTGAAGAAAATCCTATCATGATTGAAGAAGTTGGAGTAAAAATTACCAATTTCTCAAAAAAAAGTCTAAGTTCAAAAGGGGCATAATTCTGGAAATAGTCTTGCTAGAGTATTGAACTTTCTCACAAATGTTGAGCGATAATAAGAAACATTTATATGAAGTTTGAAGTAGATACATTCAGAAAAAAAGAAGTTATTAAAAAAAACAATATTTTTTTCATGAAAATTTTAAGTTCAAGGCAGGTAATTCTGATAAATTTTGTTCTAGAGCTGTAAACCTTGTCACATATGATGTGGTTGATGACTAGCATCTTATATTTAAAGTTCGAAGAAAATACCTTAAGAAATAAAGAACTTATAGTGAAAAAACTTAACAAGAAACATGGCAATGCCATGAAACCAGGTTTTCAATTATCACCATTGTAGATAAATATGTTGTATTTGAAATACAAATACAAGCAACAAACAATGTAACTATGTGCAATGTAAAACATGAATAATGTAGGAGGAATTGCCACTGAAGAAGTGTTCACTATAATATTATGTATAAGGAAAAAAACAAAGGGCCATAATTAGGTCAAAAACTATCCAATCACAAAACCCCGACAATATGTGCCAGGGTGCTTGATGACAAAGCTTCTGTGAAAGTTTGAACAAAATCCGTTGAGAAATGTAGGACGAGTTCAGCACAGAAGAATTTGTTCACTATAATTATATTGATAATTCTGTATAATGAAAAACAAGTTACAAAGTAGACATGAAATAATATATCATATCTTTTTTAAATTACCTCCAAAGATGATATGACCTTTGACTGCCAAATCAAGTTAAAATCATGTAAACAGGATTTTCAATGTTAATGTCACTGTGACCTTGACCTTGGAGCCAGCCATGCGGAACATGTGTTCTGCACGTCATCTTGATGTGGTAAACATTTGTCTGAAGTTTCATCAAAATTCTTCAAAGGGTTGAAGAGTTACAGAGCGGACAGGATTTTCAATGTTAATGTCACTGTGACCTTGACCTTGGAGCCAGCCATGCGGAACATGCGTTCTGCACGTCATCTTGATGTGGTAAACATTTGTCTGAAGTTTCATCAAAATTCTTCAAAGGGTTGAAGAGTTACAGAGCGGACACAATTTCGTTTGACGCCCGCCCGCCCATCCGCCCGCCATACCCCAATCTAATAACCAGGATTTTCAAAATTGAAAACCTGGTTAAAAACTAGAATCAGAAATCTTGAAATTCAGTCTATTTGTTGCCATAGCAACCAGAATTTTCAACATAGGAAGATAAGAAAAGGATGTTCATAATTTCCATGCTGCCATCTACCCATATGTCAGGTTTCATAAAAATATTTTCACGCTTTTTGTGTTATCACTGGATCCAGGTTATGTGTAAAATTTGCCATATTTTCAGTCTATTTGTTGCCATAGCAACCACAATTTTCAGCATAGGAAACAAGAACCGATTGAACCGGGTGATGCTCCCCGAGAAGGTTCTGGACACAGGAAAGTATGAAAAAAATGAACAAAGAGCAAAAACTCCAAAATAAGGCAAGGCGGAGTTGTTTTTTTGCACTGCACTTCTATTCAATGAGATCTATCTATCTATAAAGTTTCCTGATGATATCAGAGTTATGTCCCGGGTAAAATTTAAAGTGTAACTAGAAATGTGTCCATAGGACACGGATGCCCCCACACGCCACTGTTCTGTCAATCTCATGACTCTAGGTCAAATATTTTAACAAGTTGAAAACTGAAAATCAACAAAGGGCCATAATTCTGTAAAATTTGGTCGCAGCAAAAATTCCTTCCTTTACCACCATCTACACCTTAAGGTTGTTCATCCCTGTAAGTTTAAGCAAAATCTGCCATCCGGTTTAAGAGGAGTTGCGTTCACAAAATTTCTACATAGTATATAGTGAAAAAATCAACAAAGGGCCATAATTCTGTTAAATTTGGTCGCAGCAAAAATTCCTTCCTTTACTACCATCTACACATTAAGGTTGTTCATCCCTGTAAGTTTAAGCAAAATCTGCCATCCGGTTTAAGAGGAGTTGCGTTCACAAGATTTCGGGACGGACGGACGGACTGACTGACGGACGGACGGACAAGTGCAACGCTATATGCTCCCACATTGTGGGGGCATAAAAATGAACAATGGGCAAGAACTCCAAAATTAGACCAGGCTTTGTTTAGGTTCTTTAAGCATTGCACTTCTATCCAATTATATCTAGCTACCTACAAAGTTTCATGTTGATATCTCTAAAAGTTATGTCCTGGACAAAAGTCAAAAAGTAAAAATAAACAAAGGGCAATAACTTCAAAATAAGGCAAGGCAGAGTAATGATTCTTAAGCAATGCACTTCCACCCAATGAGACCTATCTATCTACAAAGTTTCATGTTGATATCTCTTATAATTTTAGAGTAATGTCCTGGACAAAGTTCAAAGTGTAAAAATAAACAAAGGGGAATAATTCAAAAATTAGGCAAGACAGAGTTACAGTTCTTGTGCACTGCACACCTACTCAATGAGATCTATCTACCTACAAAGTTTCATGTTGATGCCTCTTATACATTTAGAGTTATGTCCCTGACAAAGTTCAAAGTGTAAAAATAAACAAAGGGGGATAATTGAAAAATAACGCAAGACAGAGTTATGCTTCTTGTTCACTGCACACCTACTTAATGAGATCTATCTATCTACAAAGTTTCATGTTGATACCTATTATAGTTTTAGAGTTATGTCCCGGACAAAGTTCAAAGTGTTAAATAAACAAAGGGGGATAATTAAAAAATTAGGCAAGGCAGAGTTACGGTTCTTGTGCACTGCACACCTACTCAATGAGATCTATCTACCTACAAAGTTTCAGGTTGATACCTCTTATACTTTTAGAGTTATGTCCCGGACAAAGTTCAAAGTGTAAAAATAAACAAAGGGGAATAATTCAAAAATTAGGCAAAACAGAGTTATGGTTCTTGTGCAGTGCACACCTACTCAATGAGATCTATCTACCTACAAAGTTTCATGTTGATACCTCTTACACTTTTAGAGTTATGTCCCGGACAAAGTTCAAAGTGTAAAATAAACAAAGGGGGATAATTCAAAAATTAGGCAAGGCAGAGTTATGGTTCTTGTGCACTGCACACCTACTCAATGAGATCTATCTACCTACAAAGTTTCATGATGATACCTCTTATACTTTTAGAGTTATGTCCCGGACAATGTTCAAAGTGTAAAAATAAACAAAGGGGAATAATTCAAAAATTAGGCAAGGCAGAGTTATGTTTCTTGTGCACTGCACACCTACTCAATGAGATCTATCTACCTACAAAGTTTCATGTTGATACCTCTTGTTGTTTCAAAGTTATGTCCCGGACAAGGAAAGGGGACGGACGGACGGACAGACGGACGTACCAAAATTTGATGTTTATGAGGCAAAACAGCTCATAAACACCAGCTATACCAACGTCCATAAGCAAAATAAGCTCATAAAAACAAAAAAATAGCTCTTAATTTGAATTTTATGAGTTTTTGTTCTTTATTTAACTACGGAATGAAGCTCATAATAATCAAATGTTTGCTCGGACTGACGGACGGACAGACGGACGGAGGGTAAACCTAAAGTCCCCTCCGACAAACCGGTAGGGGACTAAAAACAAGTATATACATGAAATACCTGTCCATTATGTCAAACTTTTCCCTTATCCTGGACTTCAGTTCTCTCTCATGTTTATCTACAATTTCTCTTTGATTTGACACCTGAAAATATATATCAAAGCTGAAAAGTTCCTAGCAAAACAGCTATTGTTACGAGCCAGGCGTAACGAGAAAGAAAAGCCAGCAACAAACTTGTAACAATAACAAATTTATTACAGAAAAATTATTAAAGAAAAATTGAAGAACAATTTATGCTTATAAATACCTGAAGTCAAAATAAAAATATAAATCTCAAATGTCTAGTCTGATCCTGGAATGATCCCTTTTTGAACAGCACAGTTAAATCCAAGTTAAATCCAAGAACACTTTAGAATAAATTCCCACAATAAAATCCACAAGAATAATTTAATCTATTTTAAAATCCAAGCTCCAATAAATCTGGCACTAAATTACTTAATATCCAAGTTGAATAATACTCCAAGTGTATTGATGACTTAAAAGGTAAAGAAAATGAAAAATGTCCCCTTATATAGAGTCACAGTACCTGTGCTCGACCAGCCCAGTGCTCGACCAATACTTCTATTTGTGTACGATTTATGCATAAAAGTGGAAAAACCCTGGGAATTTGTTTGTGCTTTTTGTACCTGACCTGTAACCTCTACACCATGTACAAGTACTCCATTAGTTTGGTAGAAGATTGGCTTTTTTGCAGACAATATTAAACAGTACAAAATACAATTCTATAATAAAAGTAGCAGTAAAAGCTATTTAAAACACTGAAATAATGATAATTTAGAGCAAATGTGGACAATACTTTGTTAAATTGCCTTTACTCTTATGATTCCAATTGATTTCCATAGGAAAGGTGCCCAAAAACCATCAAAACCCTGCTTTCCATAAAAGGCAGGGGCTATGAACATGTAAACAAATATGGCAGCTGTACGGAAACAAACCGGGAACACACCGCTTAAAGCGTAGACCATTTGTATATTACAACAATTATCACACTTAACTATGTTTGCAAAGTGATTTTAGTAAACAAAATATAAGAATAAGTAATCTCAAACACCCCAGTATATGTTTATTCCAAAACTCTTATAGACACTTAATTTGTCAATGTATAGCATTTCCTTCGTATCATATTTGCTCTCATATTTACATCTATAGACAATAAAACATAAATGTTTCAAAATATTTTTGAAATAGAATTGTTGTACATAAAAAGTCATATCTGTTTTTAAAATATAAAAGTTCTGATAGAGATTAAACCACCTGGTCGAGCACTGGTTTGGTTGCCTGAAAAATATAGTGGTTTTATACCCTATATACAACTCCGTGGTAAATTGTATCCTGATCTGTGTAATTAAAACGCTTTAGCTTATTGTGAAATAAGTTTCCCAGCAAACTTTTTGTTCTGAAAGAGTTTTTATGTTTTTGTGGAAAACTGGTTGAGCACTGGTACGGTGTCACTCTATATTAGCTAAAATCATTCCAGATCAGTCTTTCTTCAGTAATCATAATCATTAGCTAGCACCTTCAACAGTAATGAATAATCTGGAAATTTCTACAACAGTTATGAAACTTCATGTTAAATCTTTTGTTTACATTATACTCATGTACACATGTAGTTTATGTTCTAAAAATAAAACAGTGATAATATTAGAAATACCAACTTGTCAGAGATAAACTATATACATGTAATATGTTGCATACATAACACTATATTCATGTTTACAATTTGTTTTCCTTTTCTGCAAGCAGCAATACAATAAATCCTTAAGATTAACTTTACATAATATAGAAGTACATACATACATTAGAGTAAAATAATTCATTTCCTTTCAGAGCATATTCCATTATTCTTGAACATATTTTGGTACATATCCAGGTAATAATGGTATGGATAATGTTATTCAATCAATGAACTTTTACAATTGTGGTGGATGGAATTTTCTCTTCAGAAAAAGAATGCCTTAGTTATAGCATACTGCTATCTTTTACAAAATTGTGCATGACTTTGCACTGGCAAAGGAATAAATGTTAATTATGGCCAACAGTATAATATAGTTAAGAAAAAAGATATCATTTTGAGTGCATTGTTGTAGAATAATGCACAGTGCCATTTCAAATACTTAGGTACACAGTTGTATCATCAGGAGGGCCAGAACATTACAAAGCATTTGAAAAACATCAAGGCACTCATAGTTTTACTAGAGCTACCATGCAAGATTTTTTTTTAATCTTTTCAACTCTAACATAAAATATATATTGAAATATATTGACTGAAGAATAATTTTCATAACATTATTTGATTTCTTGATGTCACATCAAATGTCATATGTTGTCTGCTAGTAAGAATTCCACTTTTATTGTGCATATATAGTGTAAAATTAATGCAGTTGACTGCACTGTATATTCAATAAGACATAGTATATGCATTTTAGAATTATGATTCAGCATCTCCTGAAACTTGAAAGTCCTGAGACAAGCAAATAATTGTTCTAATTTATCACAAAACAAGATTGCATTTGAGAAAAATGCTATGCCACCGCATTAATACAACACTAAATAGTAGTGTAGGAACAGATTTTATTTTGTTTCTATACAATTAAAGATTGTCATAATGCATAGATCCCTGACCTATCTAATTCTTATTATCAGATTAGTGGTTAAATCTATTGTTAATCCAATAAAAGATCAGAGTAGGAATATATTAATGCACTTGAGTCTGGTGAATTTGGTGGTGAAGGTCATATTTCACACAGCCTAAATATCATGACTACATCAAAGGACAACACAGTGAGACACTCTGTCAAAATCTAGGTCAGCTGATATCAAAGTTCACTTTACAACTTAAACTGTGCACATGGTCAAAATTCCATTGCTGTACATCAAAGGACAAGAAAGTAGGTCACTTTCCCCTTGGGCAAGGCAAAATTTTGACCCAAGGGATTAATTCAAAACAATCTTGATACAGGTCCACCAAACAACATTTCAAGTCAAATATCTAAGCTGTAGCTTTCTCCCATTCAGAAAACATTTGTTTTATTTTCTGTTTTTACAATGTGTACATAATGAGAATCACTGCCCCCTGGCAGGGCCAATTCTGACACCAAGGTGAAAATTTGAACAACTTTGGTAGAGGACCTATAGATGATATTATATAGCAAACATCAAAGCTCTATGCCTTGTACCTTCAGACAAAAATATTTTTTTTTACTATATGTACATAATGAAAATCAATGACCCCTGGGGTGGAACCAATTTTGACCCCAGGGCTATAATTTGAACAATCTTGGTAGAGGTTCAAGCCTCATAAAGTCTCATGCCATACATTTAACCTCTAGCCTTTGTCAATTCAGAGAAGAAGTTTTCAAGTTTTTACTTTATACATATAAGGAAAACTATCGCCTCTGGGGCAGGGCAATTTTAACACTAAAGGCATAATTAAAACAACTTTAGTAGAGGACCCATAGATGATATTATTTACCAAATATCAAAGCTCTAAGCCTTGTACCTCCAGACAAGAAGTTTTTTTTTTTACTATATGTACATAGACTAGTGAAAATCAATGACCCCTGTGCCAATTTTGACCCCAGGGCTTTAATTTGTACAATTTTGCTAGAGGTTCACTACACAATGTTTCATGCAAAAAATCTTAACTCTAGCCTTTGTAAATTTAGAGAAGATGATTCTTTAAGTTTTTACTATAAACATATAAGGAAAACCTATGGCCCCCGGGGCGGGGCCGATTGTGACCCTAGGGCTATAATTTGAACAATCTGGGTAGAGGTCTACTAGACAAAATATCTAAGCTCTAGGCCTTTTGGGTCTTTACAAGAAGGTATTTTAAGTTTTTACTATATGTACATATAGTGAAAATCAATGACCCCGGGGCGGGGCCGATTTTGACCCCAGGGCTATCATTAAAACAATCTTGGTAAGGGTCTACCAGACAATGCCTTATGAAAAATATCTAAGCTCTTGGCCTTTTGAGTCTTTACATGAAGGTATTTTAAGTTTTTACTATATGTACATATAGTGAAAATCAATGACCCCCGGGGCGGGGCCGATTTTGACCCAAGGGCTATAATTTGAACAATCTTGGTAGAGGTCTACCAGACAATGCTTTATGCAAAATATCTAAGCTCTAGGCCTTTTGGGTCTTTACAAGAAGATTTTTTAAATTTATTCTTATAATTCCTTTTGGTTGCCATGGCAACCAGATTTCTGCATGGAATGAAATTCTTTGAACAACTTTGGAAGCCCTTCACCCAAGGATCAATCCTGCCAAGTTATGTTGAAATTGGACTAGTGGTTTTTCACAAGAAGATTTTTGAAGTTCACTATATAATCTATATAACACACAAACAAACAAACACACACACACACACACACACACAGGTGAATCGCTATATGCCACCGCATCGCAGATGCTGCGGTGGCATAAAATACTTTTTTCTTTAGATTACTCATTTCTGGAACTATTCTTTCGAATACAAGTTGTGCTCTCAATGTATCAGTAAACTTACTATTTTCTGTAGCTGTGAAACATATCTTTTCCTCTGGTGGTGTTGGAACTCCATAGTCTGTAATTAATATAAACTTGTATTTATTATACCATATGCTGTATAAGCATCTGTTTTAGTTCCTGAGCATATATTGTGTCATAATGCACATGAGTGTGCCATATATTTAATAGGGGACTAAAGTGTGAAGCCAAAAGTCACAGAAATGTTGTGTGCAATTAGCAACAATTTTTATACAAGACTACCCTTATAATTTATTGTTCATGCCTCAAGTTATTTAGAATTACAACAAATAAAGTTTAACTTAAAATGTCAAACTACCTTACATTGTCAGGCGTGTGGAATTACTATGCCCGACTTTCCCGACTCGGGACTTTTTGCCGGCGGACAAGTAGATTTTAAATTGGCACTTGCCGGCAGACAAGTGTAATTCTGAGCCTGAGACAAACCATAATGTCAAATTTCTAATTGTATTTGATCGCCAACGTTTAATCCGTGTTTGAAATGCATGAATTTTATTTGTACACCATCCCCAACAGCACAAATAAAAAGATATCCCCGTACTGCCTCTTTCCGATCAGCTAACAGATTTTTCAACAATAACTGACAGTGAAATTATATATAAACAAGAGCCCGGTTTGAGCCGGGTGATGCTCCCCGAATAGGTTTTGGACACAGGAAAGTACACCTCATGAAGTTTTAGAGTTATGTCCCTGGAAAAAGTTTAAAGTCCAAAATTAGGCAAGGCAGAGTTACTGTTCTTTGCACTGCACTTCTAATCAATGTGATCTATCAACCTACAAAGTTTCTTGATGATATCTCTTATGATTTCCGAGTTATGTCCCGGACAACTTCAAAAAGTAAAAATAAACAAAGGGCAATAAATCCAGAATTAGGCAAGGCAGAGTTATGATTCTTGTGCACTGCACCTCTACTCAATGAGATCTATCTACCTACAATATTTCATCTTGATATTTCTTATAGTTTTAGAGTTATGTTCCGGACAAAGTTCAAAGTGTTAAAATAAACAAAGGGCAATAACTCCAAAATTAGGACAAAAAGAGTTATTGTTCTTATGCACTGCACATCTACCCATTGAGATCTATTCACCTACAAGGTTTCATGTTGATATCTCTTATAGTTTTAGAGTTATGCCCCGGACAAGATTTTTCTATAAGGGGAGATAATTCAAAAATTAGGCTTAACAGAGTTATGGTTCTTTTGCACTGCACCTCTACTCAATGAGATCTATCTACCTACAATGTTTCATCTTGATATCTCTTATAGTTTTAGAGTTATGTTCCGGACAAAGTTCAAAGTGTTAAAATAAACAAAGGGCAATAACTCCAAAATTAGGACAAAAAGAGTTATTGTTCTTATGCACTGCACATCTACCCATTGAGATCTATTCACCTACAAAGTTTCATGTTGATATCCCTTATACTTTTAGAGTTATGCCCCGGACAAGATTTTTCTATAAGGGGAGATAATTCAAAAACCGGGCAAAATAGAGTTATGGTTCTTTGACACTGCACTCCCCCTCAATGCCCTCTACCAGTGTATGAAGTTTCAACAAATTATCTCCATGGGTTTTCAAGTTATGCTCCGGACAAGACAACGGACGGACAGACGGACGGACATACGGACAAGGCGCCGACTATATGCTCCCCCGAAATTTTTCGGGGAGCATAAAAAATTCTCTTTCAATTCTGCGAATATTATCATTTCAGCTAATAAATGCACCAACTTTTTAAAATTTTACTTGAATTATTACTATGAATCGAGGACAAATCATTACTGACCCATTTTCCTGTTCTTCAAAATTTCACAACCACTTTTCAATCAGTTAACAAAATATAAACTGTACCACATAAAAATTGTCATACAATGTTAAAATATAATTAGTTCTGTATGTTGGAGAAATTTTGACAAACTCAACTTCAGATAAATGGTAATAAACAATATTAACCCAATTATTATGCCATTTTTCAATCTAGATATCTATTTGCAGTAGTAAAGCTGTCACAATTGGGGTATAGATGTACTTTTCAATTTGCATAACAGAAAAAGCATGTTCTTGTGAAATTTTTAGGATCTTAGGGTCTATATGACCCAATTCTAGTGACTGCTTACTGAAAAGTTATCAAAGAGAATGTTCTTCTATGGTTAAGTGACTGTTACTTTACTGATGTATTACTTTCCAATTAAGAACTGTATGGTAAAATATGTACATATTAAAATTATGCATATAGTAAAAACTTAAAAAATCTTCTTTTAAAGAACTCAAAGAGCTAGAGCTAAGATATTTAGCATGAAACATGTTCTAATGGGTGTCTACCAAGTTTGTTCAAATAAAAGCCCTGGGGTCAAAATTGGCCCCGCCCCGGGGGTCATTGATTTTCCTTATATGTGTATAGCAAAAACTTAAAAAATCTTCTTTGAAAAACCCAAAGAGCTAGAGCTAAGATATTTAGCATGAAACATGTTCTAATGAGTGTCTACCAAGTTTGTTCAAATAAAAGCCCTGGGGTCAAAATTGGCCCCGCCCCGGGGGTCATTGATTTTCCTTATATGTGTATAGCAAAAACTTAAAAAATCTTCTTTGAAAAAACCCAAAGAGCTAGAGCTAAGATATTTAGCATGAAACATGTTCTAATAGGTGTCTACCAGGTTTGTTCAAATAAAAGCCCTGGGGTCAAAATTGGCCCCGCCCCGGGGGTCATTGATTTTCCTTTTATGTGTATAGCAATAACTTAAAAAATCTTCTTTGAAAAAACCCAAATAGCTAGAGTTTAGATATCAAGCATGAAACATCTTCTAGTGAGTGTCTACAAAGTTTGTTCAAATAAAAGCCCTGGGGTCAAAATTGGCCCCACCCCGGGGGTAACTGTCTGATTTTCCTTATATGTGTATACCTCTTGTTAATTAGCAGTGTTGTTCTGAAATATAAAATTTTGTGTCCCATAAGAAGGACACAAATAGAATCTTATTTTCAAGGCCTTTACTTTATAAATTATGTCAAAGTCAACTGAGGTATTTGGGAAAATAATAAAACAGTTCATTTGTAAAGAAAGTTTTTTATAAAGCCGTGACTTACTGCAAGAACCTGCTTTATTTCTGAGTAGATTTGCTTCAGCATTTTGATTGGTTCAGCAAAGTAGGAATCTACTGGTGGTGTAAGCTGAAAATTCATGCATAAAATATTGATATGATATCATTAACAACAACATCTAATTTTCATAACAATATATGTTTAAGCAATACTCAATGTGATAAACTAAAAAATTATCCCATAGAGGATATTGAATGAGTGTAAGTTCAATACTGAATTTATTGCACAAGTTGAATAAATTCATATTATGCGAGCCTCTGGCAAGCATATTATTTTATTCAAAGAGTTAAACAAATTCAGTTATGAATTTACACGAATTTAATATTCTATTTATCACATACCCAAAATAAAGACCGTTAAAATAGAAAAAGGAATCATTTTTGTCGTTTACTCATTGACGCGCCTATAGTATAACACTAACATTTAGCGCGTCTTTACACTATGTTTGCATTAACACTAATGATGTCACTATGGAACAGAATTAGTGCATTTATTCCATCTTGCTTGATGATATTGGGACTTACATTATGATTGCTTCCATACTTCTTTATGACAATGGGAACCTACAATTTGCATAATAGAATTTTGCATTATGATTACTTTATGCACTATTATGTAAGTGCAACTTCATGTGTTCCTTTCTGAATCATCAAACTCACATAATTTAATATGCTATATGTTTATTTCCATCTTTTATTTAGGACAGCGTATTATGTTCGGTGTTTAAAAGAACATTCTTTGCTTGTTCTTGATATAACTAGATGTAAAATGGCAAGTTCCTGTCGGTACCTTTAATTTGTTATAAATCTGCCACTTACATTGTCGTCACTATTTCACAATTAATAATTGATTTTAATCAATACTTGGCGAATTCGATGTGTCTTAGCAGTCATATGTTTCAATATATTCACCGATTACAAATATAATGCTAAACATGATCACTGCGCATCGACAACGAAGATGACAACATAGCGATATTATAGTCGCATGTTACAGTACGCACTAAGCAGTTGACTGTAAGCATAATGCGAGGTGCAATATTTTGTTTTCATATTATGACAGCAGGTGTCGCTTTGTGGGTACATCCCGTTATTTTCCGGATGATCCCGCTATTTTTGCACATGGAGTAAACAAAGTTACGTCCCCCTTTACATAGGGGCGTATACCGTACAGTGTTAGTTGGGGGCTGACATGAAAGTGGAAGATTTTGAGAAAAACAATAGAAAACAATGCGACAGGAGAAAAGTGCGTGTTTTTGAAGATTCAGCATGTAATAGATGTCTCTTATAACTCATCCTACAAGTGGCAAAACACCTCTTATACATTGTTTATACACCTTTTTGAGTGTGTGCCGAAGTCGTATATTGAATTTAAAAATTGATTAAAAGTTGATATTTGTTGCTTCACAGTCTGTTTGTAACATAAAATAAATATCATTTGGCTTCATTTGCATTGCATTTTCTGTAATAAAAATATATTAGTGAAAGATGTGCATAGTATATCTTTAAGCACAAATGGATATGGATGTGGTGGTGTGTGAGGGGTGTCTGTGACACAGTAAATTGGGGACTTATAGGCCCATTGGGCCGTGTTATAATCATACACATATATGCTCATTATTTGTAATTGGCTAAATATGCACATGTCACAATAATTAACAACTTCCTTCTTTTCTTATTATATATTGTACTGCGTAACACACCTTTTCACCACTATAAATGACTCTGAGACATTTGGAAAGTTAATAGGCCAATAAAATTTGCCATTTTAATGTTCAAGTCATTAGATAAAGACCTTTGCAGCACCTAGGCACGTGCGTAACAACTGGATGACAGCATTTTATGTTTTGATAAGGGAGTACACTATGACCAATTTTGCATGAAACTGACACGTATATATTCCATCCCAGCTCATGAACGTATCTTTTGGCTGAGCTGGGGGTTGGATGCAGCCCTTAAGCCAGGGCCTGAATCCGCCACTGTATAACTGCCCCATTAAATAACTGTTCACGAATATATTTTTCTATCTAACTGCATACATATATAAAATTATATTGCATAACCTTTTTCTACTTATATTTATATTCTTTCCTGGGCAATTTATATATTTAGTGCTTGGTACGTACTTATATATACGCAAAATGGTCACCGGAAAATACCGATGATAGGCGAAATGTGGAAAATTTCTGTTGATCTCGAGTTCTCGCCCCTTAACAGGTCACACTTGTTAGACATTGTTTAAATTGTTTATATATATTGTAGGATGATCAAACATAATCCACAAAGCATCAGACACCGAGCTTTATTTAGCATAAACACTGAATAATGGAAATAAGCAAAAGCTAACAGTAATTACACCATGCCAGCGATAAATCATATATGTCACACTTTAACAAAATCCATCGTGTAATTTAAGGTGTACAAAAGGAAGTAGGGAAGAAGAATAGTCGATTTTAAATCACTTCTACATAAAAGTAATACAAAAAAGAACTAAACCTTATAAAGTTTGTAAAGAGCATGAAGAAAGGTAGCTTATACATAAAGGTATATGACGTTAACATTTTAATATTCCAAAACAGTACGATGAATGGCTTGTGCAAGTTTAATAGTTATCACTCAATGATAGAATTACTCACTACGAAAGTTTGAATGAAATAATGAAAAATAGAATGCAGCTTCATGCAAAGTTAAGATATCATAAAGCAAGATGGAATCAAGCATAATACAAGAAGCAAGATGGAATCAAGCATAATGCAAGTTTAAATATCATAAAGCAAGATGGAATCAAGCATAATGCAAGTTCCAATGTCATCAAGCAAAATAGAATAAATGCATTAATTCTGTTCCATATGTCACATCAAAATATATGCACGGCTGTGCAATACCATTTTTACGGAGTCGCAAAATCAGCGCGGTTGTGTGATAAAATTTAATATTTAACACTGTAAGAAAAGTTGAAAGTTAACGGTGTAGCAAAAGTTGTGTTTAAAAAAAAATGGAACAGTCTCAGGTTATAACTTGTATTCTATTTAGATTCATAATTTGCAGTTAACATTTATTCAAACAAAACTGACAGATTTCATTTTATAATAAGCACTTTTTTAATAATTACTTTAAAAAGAAAATGCTCTTTAGAGCTTATATACATATATATTCTTTTCTGGAACTGAAATGAAACTACATTTTAAAAATATTACATATACATATATATTCTGTTCTGAAACTAAAATGAAGCTACATTTTAAAAATATTACAAGTGTTTCTTTATATTTTATTCTTTTTTTTATTGATCAGAGCTCTAATAAGAATCCATGACCCAAATACTTTAAAAACCGTATTAGCAACTTTCACACTTAAACAGGTGCAGGAAGACCTAAAATATTTGGCTCTGCATAAGGTAATAATATAATAAATTATTGTAAAAGTGGGTGGTAACGAAACAGCAACTGACTTTCCATATATACTAACTAGACTGGTAGATTCTACTCATTAAAAGTTCAAGAACAATCTCTTTTACCAGTAACCACTAACCTTAGAAGTCAGTTTAAGTGCTGATGGCTTATTGGTTCCACACAGAAGACAATTTTCCAACCAACCTTGAGATGAAATGAAGAAAATGCATTTAAAATAATATACAATAGACAAGTAAAAGTTAACATGAACCTGTTCTTGGCAAAATATTTGGTAGTTTTCTAAGCATCCATTCGCCTCAGCATGAGACTTATTAACAATAGAATTACATGTACATGTTCTTTAAATTTTAAAACTAAATAATGATAATCATGCTAAAAATTATATAAATTTATTACATGTAATTTCAGGGTGTTTTTTTTTCCACACGTTGGGGAAGTAGCCCAGCCCTTAATTTTTGGGGGAAATTACACAGTATATTTGCAAAAAAGGAAGAGAGAACTTGATGAAACTGCAGGATTCTAAAGAATTTTTCTTTGAGGAATCAGCCCTATACCCACCCCTGCTATAGAAGGAAAAAAAGCCCTGAATTTCATGCATTTTATGTGCCCTACATTTGTAACAAGCCATTAAATCTTATGTTCCTTTCATGAAAAACATTTTTCTTTAATCAATGAATCTCAATCAGTCATTTTGACAAACATTGTGTTTTATTTAATTTTACCCATCATGTAATATGATGCTATATTAACCAAATATATAACATAAGACATATTTGCAGGGTTTTCATTAAGAGGCGGCAGGAGGCCAAAATGCCTGTCTCAAATGTATTATGGGCTGCCTCAAAGTTAAGAAAACACTCTTTTTTATGCATGATAAAGATAGATATGACCGCCTCAAGTTCAAAACAAACCTTCTGCAAAAAATGTTAATGACAACCCTGTATTTGTTATTTAAAACCAAATACGAAAAATAAATATATGTGAACGGAGTCCAAACACATATTTTAACTTAATTTTGGGACTATTTTCTCAAATCTTTTCCCTTTACAATCAGTCACTTCAGCTAACCATTTTATCCTCAGAGATTATCTGGTTATGTTTTTTCAGACAGTTCAAGATGTCTGTGATAAATTGTGTATTGAATTTGAACTGCATCATGCTTCTATAAATAATCAATGTATTACTGTGTGTTGTACAACATTTTTTACTTGAAAATAGAATTAAATAAAGAAGTTTTTTTTCATGAAATATGAAATATATTTTTTATTTTATATGATAAAATTCCTTATTATATACTTATAAATGAAATATTGAGAAATATTGATGAAATAAAATGCTTATTTTCATTATCCGTATCTTCACTATAAAATTTATTTTTCACTGTGCACAGTGAAACATATTTTCAGTGAAACATATTTTTCGTATTTTCACTGGTGTGTTGCCGGACTAATTTTTTTGAAATTCTGCCAGTACACAAAATTTCAGGGAAAGTCTTTCAAATTTTAATGTCAAAAAGGAGAAAAATGTATATAATAAACAGAAAATTCAAGTTCTTTCTATAAAAATATTATTTATTTTCATCTTGTGGCATGAAAATTACCATATTTCACTCGTGGAATATTTATTTTCATACCACTCGATGAAAATAAATCATGTATTGATAGAAAAAACTTGAATATCCTCTATATATATTTCAATCACCCTTCCAGCTCATGAAAATAATTGCAACTTATGAGTATGCAACTACATATTCATCATCTATTAGTCTGCAGTGAATTGATTCATATCTTTAATTAATATACCTTTTAAAAGATAGGTATTTCAATGCAGACTGAATTCATTGTTATACTTTCAATAAAAAAGTTAAAAAGAAGTTTAAATATTCTATCTTAAAAGATTACTTTGTTCTGAATGTATACCTACTGAAGAAAACTTACCTTTACTTTGACACCCTTCACAGTACAAATGGCCACAGTTTGTGAGAAAATATCCTCTGCCATCCCCAGGCTGTTTATAACAAGTATTACAGTGTAACCAATCACCCATAGTCTCCCTGAAATACATTATACTTACTCATTAATTTCCTACAATCAATTATGTAAAAAATTACCTGTGTCTATGTTTGATTTAAGATAAGCATAAGAACCTTTCTGCAAAACTTCATCTTCTCAAAAGACTAACTTATAATATACTTGGTTCCTATGATATAAAGGGTTCTATGATATCAAGGTATTTAAATTTTCTGTGACTGCTAGTAAAAGCAACACATGATGATGCTAATATTTGTAAAACTTGCACACTAGATTCATTTTCATCTGCCAATAAGTTTAATTTGGTGAATAATGAATGTATTTGTGGCAAGAAAACTATTTTATAAAACCTTTATATTTGACTACCATTTTCCTTGATGGTTTTTACACAGTCAATTAAAATATGTTATAAACACATATACTGACATAATTATAGTCAATTTAGGTTAATTGATACAAAGTTAAGAGGTGTTGTTACCGATTTGTTTGTTATGATAATATTGTTTATTTGCTGTCTTTAGTAACAATAAAAAGAACTTGTGAAATAAGTCAATAAATAGATGACGTTTACCTGGACGGCTTTAATTACAGCCGTGGTGCATGTAACGTGAATTGTAACAGAGTTATCTATAATATGATACTTTTTAGTGAATGACTAAACATACATGCTGATGTTAAATTTTGTTTTATTTATTTATTTATTTTATTTTTTTTAATTATTTTATTAATCCATTGTTTAAAATTAAAATTATCCCATAATAAACAGATAAATATATTTTGAATAAGTTAGTTAAATGATTGCCGAATCGAACTCAACCAATTACAATATGCATGAATATAGATTAAACACAGTGTACCGTTAATACTCATTTGAAACACTGGGATAATAATTCCTAATATTTTAAAGAAATGACGTATTAAAGAAATGACGTATTCGACAAACTGATGTACTAATTACCAAACAGTTATATTGCCTTATTTATCATTCGACAGATGTAAGCTGGAAAATGTTTATGCCTATGTTCTACGTGATAATAGTTCAACCTCGGGTGGCTCGAACTACCGATCTCTCGAACAAATTTGCACAGGTCCTCCGAGTTCGAGCGAACGAAGTTTGACTGTATCATATAAGAAATTAAACAACAGTACCAACTGGTATAGTATTACACTAGTACTTAGTCTCAGACTCTTTACAATAATATTAAATCATCTATTGCATTTATAAAACAGCAACTGCAAAAAAATGTTTTGTAAACAACAACTTGTTACAATACATACTAAATTCAAACAAATTTTATGATGTCAAGCATTTTACAATTCTTCATATTTCAAGTTTCGAAAAATGTGCCTGTTATATTTTTTGTTTTGATAGATATTGAGCAAGTGCATTGTCTAGAATAGATGGGTCAAGCTGGGTAGGATATTTCTAAACAGATCTATTATAAAGTATCTTAGTATATTAGTTTTCATGGCAATATTTATATTTTGTTGTAATAAAGTAAGGCCATTCAATCACACCAAATTATTTGAGACCACCAAATCCAAACAACCATCAAACCCTGACGGCCCGGAAAATGCATAGTTTCTTCAGTGACAGTGGTTGTCATACTGTAGCCTTGATTAGGAATGCTTAATTTAAAATTATGCTTTCAGGGCCCTCGATCAACCAAATCTGCGGCCGATAATCGGCCACAGTCCCCCACAAAAATAGTATGTTTTTTCCCCCTAACAGAGGTAAAAATTCCCCCTCAAAACATAAAAAGCGTTAAAGAAAAAAATGAAAACTAATGTTGTTTTTGAAAATTAAAATCCATCTATTTGACCGCCATTTTGTAAGCGGAATATCGTACAGTACATGCCTGCACATTTCCGTTTGTTTTTCCCCCAAAATCTACCGTCACATATTGGCCTCTCATCCTGTAAAAATGCTAAAATTTCAACAGAAATAAGCAGAAAAAATCACAATTCCCATCAACAATTTGGTTTTAAATTGTTTATTCATGAAATCATTTTTTTTGTCTTCAAAATGTTACATCAACCACCGTAAATTTTGCCGTAAATTACAAACGTGTAAGTTTTGTTTTCATGATACTTTATGAAATAAACTGATGGAAAACTTATTGGGTGGAGGGGGGGAGTGAATCATAAAGAAGGGGGGGGGGGAAGTGAATCATAAAGAAAGCTAAGCAGCATAAATGATGTAAAATGTCTAATGGTGTAAGGTGTTAAAAACTTTTCTTCAAATCTTATCAATCACTTCTGAACAGTTTAGAGTCAGTGTACCCGGTTCCGCACAGGACCCGGTCCCGCACACTTTCCCATTTTTCATTTTTTCTTGAAAATTCAAATGAATTTATTCAGTTTTCATTTGTGTTTTACTGAACTGGCATGTTTTCAACAGGATATGACATAATCTGGGATCTTGCACCCCAGCCTTTCCCTAGAGAGTGCAGACGAAAATGTAAATACATGTACATGGCTGTGTAGGTCACACATAAAAACATTTTTTTCAGCAATTTAACCATGCTAATTTCTATTTCAATGTTAAGATATTTATAAAATATATATTTGAAAAGAAATGTATGTTTTTGTTTTGGCAAATTTGCTGTAAGTTATGAAATATATGCACATGATTTAACTTCTCCCAATAACCAAACGTCAAGTCATTTCACCTTGATTCTTTTGTTTAAAATGATACTAAACTCTTAATCGAACAAGTCATAACTAAACAGATGTAAAAACCTTCAACAATTATTTTTTATGTCTGTGTTTACTACCTACAAGTGGTAAAACAGTATATTTCAATTGCTGTTACATGTTTCCTGTGTGCTACTATGCTTGGAAATAATGTTTGTATACTGTACAGTGTTAGCGATTTTCCCTAACTTTACTGAGTACCTGGGACTCAGTGCTAATAGATCTGTTACGTCCCAATTCAAATGGAACGAGTCCTCAATTACAAAAATGTCAATGTTTGCATAACTTCATAATACAATCAAATTTGAGACTGTTGATGTTCGCGGATACCATTGATAGGTTGGCCCAAAACGAGGCCGAGCACTTGCTCCTAGTCTACGTTTGGGATATAAATCTGCATTGCTAATGAGAAAGGAACAAATGAAAATGAGGTGAAAGTCAAGTTCTTATAATACAATTTATTTAAAGTGAATAGAAAATCATTTTCAAGCAGAGCAAAAAAACTTAAGAGAGAATTGACCAATTATCGGGGAAAAAGTGTTTCGTCCCAGGGACTCAACAGCCCTTTTTTTCTTTCCTCCCTGGCAATTTTAGCGAGTAAATTGATATGTTTACTCAGTAAACGCGAACACTGCTGTAGTAAGAATGTGCTTTAAATTTATTTGAACTCATGAAAATTTGCAAAACAATATAATTTATCTGGACTTAGAGATGTTAAATAATTTATAAAACATGTTTAAGATGTACAATAACCTTTCAGTATAAAAATGGCCTTGTGTGCGGAACCGAGTCCACTATTTATCATATTTGGCCCATACCTGTTGCTTAAAATCAAGTGCGCCTAGAAGTATGACCTACTTAAGATAGAAACGTTTTGGTCATTAGTTTTTATGGGCAAAGGATGTAATTTTCAAAATAATATCAATTATCCACATACTGCCAGTTTTCAATCACAACCACTTTTCAATCATCCCTGGAAATTCTTTCTTTTTGATCTATTTGTCATGTAACCAAACTGTAAGCACATCTTGTATTTACCTTGACTACATTTATCAGCAGCAATGTCAATTATGGCGTTAAAAAAGAAAATAACAGTATTTTAGTTCAAAATATGTAAAATTTGTGTTAAGAAATTCCACTAATCCTTAATTTACCCAGTTACAAATAGCAATAACTTTCTAAAAATAATTGATTTACAGACTCAGTTTTTTGTCAGTCTGCAGAAATGGTTATTAAGTTGGACAACTGTTTCAATATCATTAAGTCGTAATGTATACTGCACTTCAAAAGCTATAATTTTAATATGTACATATTTTACCATACAATTCAGTCTATGCGAAAGACTTCTGAGTTTTACTGGACAGTAGGTCCTGTAAACTGAAAATTTTTACTGGACCAAACATGATTTTACTGGACCGAAAAAAACCTAATTGGTATAGCATTTTGAGTCACTTGATAAGTGTCAGCAGTCAAAAAATTTGTGTACAAAAAGAAAATTATATTATCAACAAAGTGAAGTTATCTTTTTTCGCCATAATCAAAATGTAAACATAAATATTGTTATACATGTATTCAATGGATTTTGCTATTTAAACTTTAAATCCATACAGACTTTATACTAGCAAAATGAGAGGGAAAATTTTTATACTAGCAAAATGAGAGGGAAAATTTCAGCAAAAGTCTGGCATATGTAAACAGAATTATATATATCGGTAATTCAGTGAAGTTGACAGATTAACTGTTCAATGATTTTGGTACCTTTACAGTATAGTTTAATTTTTGTCAACATCTTGGACGATCTTTCATAGCTAAACACCAGTTGAGCACACGTGTAATTAAGCATTACTCTAAGTCTGTGGATTAAAGACATAAATTGTTCCAATTAATACACTGAAACTTTCATCTGTGTAAACAAACTAATAGCGGTGACCTTTCACATCTGGGCCGCTTATGTAATTTACGCGGCCGCTTATTGACTTTTGATTGTACTAGTTGTCGGATATTTTTTATCTTACGTAGTTACATAAAAGTTTGCATTATGAGAATGCATAACAGTTGACAAGCATTGCACGAGCTTATATTTTGTAATGACAACATTTTGATATGTTTTGAATTTAGGTAAATGATAGGCCTTTGCAAAATGTTGAATGTATAAAACCTTAATTTTTTACCGGACCGTCGGGCCGTCAATACATATATTTTTATCGGACCTTCTGATTTTTTACCGGTCAGGGCCGACGGTCCGACGGTCTTTCGGAAAGACTGACAATTCTTAATTGGAAGGTAATACGTCAGTAAACTAACTGTCAATTAACCAAGGAAAAACATTCTCTCTGATAACTTTTCAGAAAGCTGTCACTAGAATGGGGTCATATTGACCCCAAGATCCTAAAAATTTCACAAGAACATGCTTTTTCTGTTATGCACATTGAGATATACATCCATACCCCAATTGTGACAGCTTTACTACTGCAAAAAGATATCAAGATCGAGGATATAAGATAATTTTCTTATTTTTCCTTAAAAAAGTGTACGACTCCGGGTACACTGACTCTAGTGTTACCTATTTGGGATTTTTTTAAAAATAATATGCATGTAAATAAAAAACAGCTTATATTTAAATAAGTTTATTTGATATTTGATCATAAAACTGTAACATAGGCACTTGGTTTCGGGATAAAAATCCTTTTGAAGAGTTTGTATAACTTAAATTGGATTGAATGTAACGATTTTTTAACGTAGATGTCTCGATTCTAAATTCGACATTTTTCCGATATTACTAAAAAAAATGTCGAATTTAGAATCGAGACATCTACGTTAAAAAATCGTTACTTTCAATCCAATTTAAGTTATACAAACCCTTCAAAAGGCTTTTATCCCGAAACCAAGTGCCTATGAACTGTAAAAGAAAATTCCCCCCCCCCCCCCCCATGCACTAAAATTCCCCCCCCCCCCATGCACTAAAATTCCCCCTGCTGAGGTAGCGACCCACTTCCCCGAAATTGGGATTGAGGGCCTTGGCTTTCGATATGATCTTACAATGAAAACTGAAATCTGTCAAGTTGACTCTTAGATAGGACAGTCATAGCAATTTTATCTAAAATTCATGTCGTCTGCAAAGTCTGCTCACAGTTAGCTCCCCTCTGAGCCTTGGCAAAATCCCGGAGTTCGATATCCGGGCACGTATGAAAAAAAAAAATGGAGCAGTAGGGCCTACAGTACCTCAAGTCATGATCAATAAATAGACAAAATAAATATCGTTTTTCGCCGATTCTTACATTTTTAATTCATTTTCTGTTATAAATCGGTGTGAAAAGATTAATAAGATCTTTTTAAGTTCAGTCCGATGGGTGAAGCATTAATCATTCAAGCGCCTTGTCCGGTATATACCGGAATACGGTATTTAGTGTGGTATCAAAATGGCTCCCGTTGATCCAGCTACGGCTTACCTAGTGTCAGCAGCTATTATTGTGGTTATATTAATTGCTGTCTCAATTTTTTGTGGAGATAAAAAAAGTAAATTTTCTCTCCTATTGACTAATTTTACGTACGACTTTTAGATATTTAAATAGATACGAAGATACAACCACTTTTTAATGAAAAATTGTTACAGCTGGTCAGCTGGTTACAGCTGTTGATGAAATATTTAATTTAGGCCTAATCATCCTTTAGTCAGTACGGTCCAGATCAAGTCAAGTAAATTTTATTTATAAGCCAATACACATAACAATAAACATAAGCTCAGAATTAAGTAAAGTAAGTTTGTTTCTGTAACACTAAATTATGTTTAGTTATCTTATGTCGTAATGATTAGATGAGACCATATGTCAGGGTTTAGAATTTTTGAATTTTGACTATATCCACAGGCGTTCGGCACAATTGCCATCCCATTAATGGTCAAATTAATATAAAATAATCACCCCTTGATCATCAAGAACTAAATAACTATCCAGCATTTGAAAAATGCAAGGACTTAGGTAGCCCGGGGTTCTATGATATCAAGGTACTTAACGTTTATCGGAAAATATTCAAATATAAATATCATACATGAATGAGATTTTTCTTCCATCTAATAAGTGAACCTTTTCTAAAACTGTCTGTGAAAAAAATATTTGAAAAGATCCAATTAAAATGACATTTTTTTAACTATTTCCAATGTCTGCCTTTTTGGGTAATTTCGGAGGAGGTTACTATGATATCATGGTAATACCCGAAAATGCAAGTATGAACTAATAGATGGGTCAAAATCTTCAAGTTAAGTTGTGAAAAACCTCCAACAATTAACTTGCTACAGTATTCAAACTTTATGAACAGACAATATGTCAGTATATGCGATTGTAACATATATTTTAATAGACTGTGTAAAAGCAGTGAAGAAAAATAGTAGTCAAATATGAAGATTTTATAAAAAAGTTTACTTCACATGAATATATTCATTATTCACAAAATTAAACTTATTGGCAGATGAAAATGAAGTTAGTATGCCAGTTTTAAAAATATTAGCATCATCGTGTGTTGATTTTACTAGCAGTCAAAGAAAATGTAAATAACGTGATATCATAGAACCCGTGATATCATAGGAACCGAGTATATGTAACTGGACGTAGCATATTCATCTGACACGGTCAACATTTTCCTCAAGCATTTTTTAATATAAGACATAATATGAAATTAGGCAAAGCCTATGAACGGGGAAGTCAGTAAAAAATCCTTTCATTTATTTGCGTTTTAAAGGTGTCATTCGGTATTATATGTACCCGCTTCCGTTTTCACTCGGAACACTCGACGATTATTATTAATCCGAAAGGTTGAGATTTGTTCAGTTATCAGAATACACCGCCTTTTATCATTGAGTTACATTGTAAATGGCGGCGCTTAACTAGAACTGACACTGAAAATTTAATTGATAGGTATAGAATTCTATATATTTTCTAATAGTTTTTTTATTTGATTAGGCCATCCTTAAAAAAATGTTTGTTTGCAGTAACGCAACCAACTCACAAAATTTGCCCCTACTCAAATTTTTTTTTCATTGTCTGGATAAAAAATTATTTTTTTTGAATCAGAAAATTATGCCTTGTGCTTTGTTTTCGTTCTTTTAAAGGTTAATAGAAGAAATAAAATGTAGGTCTTATTAAATTAGAATTCAGTTATTAATTGTTACCAGATTATCAAAGCATATATTGAAATTCCATGTTTATTTGGAAGTAGTTCAATAAAAGAAAAAAATCGACCTACCTACCCACCTTGAAAATTCTGGGTCGGGTTACTGCAAACAAACATTTTTTTAAGGATGGCCTTTTCTTTTAAATATACACATGTAGTCTATCCGGGCAAGCCAAAGCCCGGGCTTGCGACTGACTTCCCCGTATTATCATACTTAAACATGCAAACATAGCTTTATAGATATATCTTTCAATAACCATTAAAAATATGGAGCCATCTATCTTCATTTACAAGAAATGAATTATCAAAAGTGAAAAATAACCTTAAAATTGCGAGGTCCAGCATGTTTTGTGCCAAGGAAATTTCCAAAATCTTCCACAAGTAAACATACATTTAGCTGCTAGCCATTCATAAGAAAGTTGAAACATTGAATTCCAGTTATGATATAATGATTGTCACATATTAAATGTCACATAAAGGCGCCTTTTAACTAAATTTCAACTCACTTTTTTTCCTTCAATCTAACTACCATCCAAGTATTAAGATCAGTAACTGGCCGGATATCTCAGTCGGATGAGCCCCGGAACGGTATTCCAATTTTCCTTGCAGCACTTTTTTCTCACCCCATGATATTTGGGGTAAAACGTGGGGGCAATGATGGTTTATAGAGCTTCGAAATCAAAAATCCAATTTTACATTGTCCTCTGTGCCCATTAGAAATTTGAGGAAAAATTTCAATAAAGCAGGGGAGTATATCATGGTCCAGAACTGTTCACTATATTGGGGAGAAGATTGTAAGCAGTAGAGCAGCGGAAAGGTGCTCCCATTGTTCAGGGTTGGATTAACAGTCAGACTACAAATTTCTCTCACCCTTTGACATTTGGTACCCAACCTTGTGCTGTGACTGAACAGTTCAGAATTTTTTTTACATTGCCAATTTTCTCTGTACCTTGAGAAATTTTCTGACGGACAAATGTCACAATAGAGGGGGAGTATGTCATGGCACAGAACTGTTCATTATTTTAGGAGGAATATATGTAAGCTACTGGATAGCACTGTCGGTACAGCTGTGTTAAATGGTATTCTGGGGGTCCTAGGTTTGAGTCCTGGTCAGGCTGCACATTTTTCTTGTGTTGTGACACAGTGACAAATATTGTCATTGTGAAGTGTCAAACACAGACTCTTGTCAGAAAATGTTCTTATTCCATTTAAAAAATAAATAAATACTCGGTTAATTTACAATTACAGTAAGGCAATCTCCTGGATAAGAAGCCTACTGGGATCCTTCATATTACGGACACAATAAGATAGATAAGGACACTTACAAAAAAAAAAAAAAAAACAATTGATTATTTAAGGTATTGTACTGTGTACTTCATTGTATGAATGGTGCTTGCAAAATAAGTTTTAGATTTTTGATATTCAGTGGCAATGAAAATATCATTATTGTGTAGTCTTTTTTCTTATATCACACCAGCATCAAACCAGCTATACAATGTACACTGAATGTAGATGTGAATCCAGTGGTTCTAAACTGAATAGTGGCTCTGTTAGCTGCTAATTTACAAAATCATTACAAAAAGAATCATCAATGTTTTAAATGCTGCATATTATTAACTTTTATAAACCATTAACAACAGCATGGTACTGCATGTACATTTTTAGTTCAGGACCTATGCTTATAGTTAACCATCATCCTTTTTCACATTTAATTCTTGTGAAGGAACCAAGAAAGAAATTTTACTGGCCAAAATACAATTTGGTATGGTAAAAGTTGGTTTATATCACCTCTTGTATGTCTTATAAATTTATTTTTGTTCAATCTTATTATAGAGACTGTAGAAATCTTCTTGTATTTCAGTGTCTTGGAATTTCTATGCACCAGTTTTCTTTTTAACATACCAGTAATAGCAATGGACTTGTGTAATTCTGTTTTAAAAAATCTTACAACGGAGGTACATGTAGTTCTAGGCTAGGAAAACAAAAATCATATTCATAAAATATGCAGACAGGGTTTGATTGGGTCAGATAATGAAACATTGAACATGTTTTAGTTTTAGCTTAACCAGTATACAGATCTTCCATACTAAATATAATGGAATCAACAATTTAGTTTGTAGTAACACATTACAGAACAACATTTAAAACAATTTCTTATAATCAAATACTACAACAGTATATCTCATAAAACTTGACCTACTAGTACTTTGCGGCTACAGATCCTACCCATGAGACCATGTCATCTGATCATGGTCTGCAATGTTCACTATACAATTTTAGTCATTATATATTTTGAAATTTTCTCGGAAAATGATGAATTGTCTTGTCAAGATTAAAAGACAGAATACTAAATTGAGGATATTTACTTTAGCAAGGTTAAGATTAAAAGATGATCAACCTGAAACTTTTGTAAATACAGTAATGCATCCATTATTCTCTGTGTAAACTTATTAATTGCGTTATTTTACAGTATCTCATTATTTGTATTCAACATGTTAATCATTTAGCATTGAATACACTCAAATTATTATACAGTACACAATTTTATGGTTTGCTCAATGCACACTCAATCACTTAAATGAGCCTGCATATGATTTTGGTATCTATTTCAAAGTTATAATTACAATCTTTATACATGTATTGTTCTTTTGCTTGTTATTTACAATTTATATCATCCTAAGCTACGATATTTAAAAACGTTATCTGAATTTGACTACGCTGCTTGTTTAAAAAATTCCAAAACTGACAATGTATTTTAAAAGTTAAGGTGTGAGTTCTGCTATTAACCTTATAACCAGTACTACAATGTCCACATTATTCTAAGAAAATCAGGGGCTGCAGGGCTTCCATTAAGTTTCAAAATTTGGAAGTCAGAGACTAGAAAATCTCTTTATTGGAAGTCACATTTTATAGGTTAAAAGAAGACAGTATTAGATATTTGAAGTCACAAGCTAAAATCAAGGAGTAAATGACTCCCAAACTTCCATTAACAGAAATCCTTGGCTGTCTTATACGCTTCGTTTTTTAAAAGACTTGTACATAAAACAAACAAAGATTAAAGAATACAAATGTATATGTTTTATAAAATTGGCTTTCCCCTCAGCCAAGTATTATCATAAATTTTTTCAGTGTGATATAAAGATAGATAATGAAAGTAAACAAGTGATCTTGAGCAAAATCTTTATGAAGTAAAATTTAATGTAAAATGGATAGACTTTTCATGTAACATTTAATTTGTAAAGAAAAGTTTAATGGCATATTCAAATTTATTTTGATAGAAAAGACAGGAAATGAGCAGAGTACAGGGCAGGCAGCTCAAGCTGGGGCAAGACCTAGAGCGAGAGAAGGTCCTGGTGGGAGAGCAGTAAGGAGACGTGGTAACCGTGGTAACAGAATGCAGATTAGAGATGATGACTCAGGTTTTGTAAACATTTATTACATGTAAACTAAGTGTAAACATCTGTCCATGTGTTTGTTTCTTACTAAAGTTTAAAAATACATAATGGGAACATGTGTATGTATGTAATCATTGGTTATCGAACCTTTAACCTGCTAGAGGCAGCTGAAACTAACCACATGACCAGTACAACCCAAGATCAACTGAAACATCCATATCGTCTGATCATGATCTGTACTGTTCACTATTCAGTCAGTACTTATTTCAATATTTTCCCTGAAACTGATGAATGGTTGTGTCCAATTGAAAGATGGACAAGTCCAATTAAGATGTTTAGTTTAGTAAGGATTAAAACAAAAAATTAGAAAAGGAACAGAAATAGTAGATTGTTTTAAGTATAATTGTATTTGTTCAGTACACTGAGTAGATATTACATAATTTAACATCATAATGTAAACATGTAACATGATTCCTATATGAATTCACTGCAATCCTGCTTTCACAAGTTACAAAATCATCTTCCTTGAATTGAAAAAATACTGACAAGGTTTTTTTCACAGGTTGGGGAAGCAGGCCTGCTCATAATTTTGGGGGAAAATTATATGGTATATTTGCAAAACTTGATTGTAAAGAATTTTTCTTTGGGGAAGCTGCAAATAACCCCTGCTATAGAATGAAAATAGCCCTGGTTGATAACACTTCTGTGTGACATATTGTACAGAATGTTTATTCTTCTATTTTCACACTATTGTTATATATATTGTAGATGAAGACTTTGTACCAGGCCCTGAGGATGATGAAGATGGAGAAAATATATTTGATGAATTTGGACAGTCAGAAAAATCAATAGGTGCTAAAAAATTGAGAAAATTACAAGACAAAGCTGAGAAAAAAAGACAAAGAGAGGTAATTTAACTTTTAGCTTCTCTTGGCACAGAATGAAACAAAGAAATAGATAAGCCATGTTCAAAGAAGTAAATGATATTATTTAACAATTACTTTGACAGAATGTATGCTTTATTACAGTCTAAGGTTAACAACTTTAGTATGTGAACAAAGTTTCTTTTACAATTTGACCTGGTGACCCAGTTTTTGACCACAGATTTCTTGTCAACTCAACCTTTGACCTTGTTTTTTAGCTCACCTGTCACAAAGTGACAGGGTGAGCTTTTGTGATCGCTTTTCGTCCGGCGTCCGTCCGTCGTTCGTCCGTCTGTCCGGCGTCCGTCCGTAAACTTTTACTTTAAATGACATCTCCTCATAAACAACTAAGCCAATTTCATCCAAACTTCACAGGAATGTTCCTTTGGTGGTCACCTTTAAAAATTGTTCAAAGAATTTAATTCCATGCAGAACTCTGGTTGCCATGGCAACCGAAAGAAAAAACTTTAAATATCTTCTTTTAAAAAACCATAAGAGCTAGAGCTTAGATATTTAGCATGAAACATCTTCTAGTGAGTGTCTACCAAGTTTGTTCAAATAAAAGCCCTGGGGTCAAAATTGGCCCCGCCCTGGGGGGTCATTGATTTTCCCTATATGCATATAGTAAAAACTTAAAAAATCTTCTTTTAAAGAACCCAAAGAGCTAGAGCTAAGATATTTAGCATTAAACATGTTCTAATGGGTGTCTACCAAGTTTGTTCAAATAAAAGCCCTGGGGTCAAAATTGGCCCCGCCCCGGGGGTCATTGATTTTCCCTATATGCATATAGTAAAAACTTAAAAAATCTTCTTTTAAAGAACTCAAAGAGCTATGGCTAAGATATTGAGCATCAAACATGTTCTAATGGGTGTCTACCAAGTTTGTTCAAATAAAAGCCCTGGGGTCAAAATTGGCCCCGCCCCGGGGGTCATTGATTTTTCCCTATATGCATATAGTAAAAACTTAAAAAATCTTCTTTTAAAGAACCAAAGAGTTAGAGCTAAGATATTTAGCATGAAACATGTTCTAATAAGTGTCTATCAAGTTTGTTCAAATAAAAGCCCTGGGGTGAAAATTGGCCCCGCCCCAGGGGGTCATTGATTTTCCCTATATGCATATAGTAAAAACTTAAAAAATCTTCTTTTAAAGAACCAAAAGAGTTAGAGCTAAGATATTTAGCATGAAACATGTTCTAATAAGTGTCTACCAAGTTTGTTCAAATAAAAGCCCTGGGGTCAAAATTTGCACCGCCCCGGGGGTCATTGATTTTCCTTATATGTGTATAGCAAAAACTTAAAAAATCTTCTTTGAGAAAACCCAAATAGCTAGAGTTAAGATATTAAGCATGAAACATCTTTTAGTGAGTGTCTACAAAGTTTGTTCAAATAAAAGACTTGAGGTCAAAATTGGCCCCGCCCAGGGGGTCATTGATTTTCTTTATATGTGTATAGCAAAGTTAAAATCTTCTTTGAAAAGATCCAAATAGCTAGAGTTTAGATATTAAGCATGAAACATCTTCTAGTAAGTGTCTACAAAGTTTGTTCAAATAAAAGTCCTGGGGTCAAAACTGGCCCGGCCCCAGGGATGTCATTGTTTTTAACTATATGTGTATAGTAAAAACTTAAAAAAAATCTTCTTTTAAAAAGCCCAATGATCTAGAGCTTAGATGTTTAGCATGAAACATCTTCTTATGGGTGTCTACCAAGTTTGTGCAAATAAAAGCCCTTGGGTTAAATTGGCCCTGCAACGTTGGGGGGGTGGGGTGGGGGTTGGGGGGGCCTAAATACAGGTGAGCGACCTCAGGGCCATCATGGCCCTCTTGTTTTTTTTTCAAACTCATACAGTTTGTTAGAGATGTTATAAAGCAAACACTTTAACATGATCAACAATTTTGTGCTGTAATTTTACCTTGTTACTCTGTTTTTTTATCCCAAGATGACCCATGTTTGACAATGATCTAAAATCATTTAGACAGTCAGTTTGAGAAAGTTTCATTAAGACTTTATCAAGAATGTGGTAGCTTACATGTTATTGTTAAATGTTATCATTTAGATTTCACCTGTTTTCTTAGTTTTGAACCCATCAAACTTGTCTTAAATATACAGACAGACATTCTGAAAAGTTCAATAACGATCCAATCATAACCGTGTGAGTGTTGACAAGGTTTTCTTTTGATTTGACCAGCCATCACTTTACTCCCTATGACCCATATTGAATTTGTCTTTAAAATCTTTGAGGAAGTTATAAGTTTAATTATTGCATGCAATAATTTAAAGAATAAAGTGTCACCAAGGTTTGTGTTTGATCTTACCTAGATACCTATAATTTTACCCTGGATGGCTCATGTTCAAAATGTTTAATAGAATGTGATATTCGGACGGGGTTTGATGAATATTCAATTTAATTGTGACCACTAAAGTGTTAAAATATGGATAATGAATGTGAGGCAATTGAACCATTATCAGAGCTTACAAATGAGCAATATGTGAACAACAAATTGTAGAAATCTTTTGAAAATAAGATTATACATGGACTACTTTAATTTTACTATATGGATTAAATTTAATGTACATTAAATTGAAATAAACATTGGCTATGTGAACAATTTTTTTCACATTTTGGGGGATAAGTGGCGGAGCCCATTAGAAGGGGAAACCTTGGTGTTATAGGAATTTAGGGAAAAAAAAACCCAAAACCGTTTGAAGCAAACTTCATTTTAATTCAACAAAAAGCAAACGGAAAAACCCTACAGCCCTACAGTCATATTTTGTCCTCAGTTTAAAACACCCCAAATCATTATAGGGCTTTCTTAATTTTTTTTAAAAAATTGTGGAAAAATGTACTTTTTCAAGACGGGAAAGGGGTTTAATTTTGGCCCTGAATTGGCCTTAAAAATCACTGCATCTACTCGCATGATAATAGGTCAATTTATTTTCCAATATGTTTGTTTTTAACTTAAGATGGAATTACAAGAAAGAGAAGAACGAAAAGAGAGAGAAAAGAAATTGGAAGCTCAGAGGAAAAAAGAAGAAGAAAGAGAGAAAATTGAGGAAGAAGCAAGGGTGAGTATTTATTTGACAATATTCTTCTTCTTTGCATAGTATATATTGCATATGTCATCTATTTTGATGATTTAAAATATTGTATTGTTGATTTGTCTTATTTAAGTTCACTGGACATAAAATATCTGCCTAAAAATTTGTCTATGAAGTTTTCCTTATTTTAAACCAAACTTCTAAAAGTCCGAAAGAAGCAAATTGTTGTCACATGTGAATAATACCTTTACTTTAAATTCATTTGTATAAATTCTCACTGCCATGTTTAGGCTGAAGAAGCAAGAATTCTAAAAGAAGAGCAAGAAAAGCGCGAGCATGAAGAATATCTCAAGATGAAGGAAATGTTCTCCGTAGATGAGGAAGGTGAGAGTGAGCAAGCAGGTGATCTTGATGTAAGTATGATACATGCTGTCTGTGAAAATAAGGGTTTCAACATAAGTAAACAATAAAAAACAATGTTGATAGAAAAGAGCAATATATATACATGCATTTTTCACTTTAAATAATTTATTATACAATAGCAATTTTTAGCTCACCTGTCCCGCATCCATGCGTTAACTTTTACTTTAAACAACATTTCCTCATAAACTGCCCAGCCAATTTCATCCAAACTTCACAGGAATGTTCCTTTGGTAGTCACTTTAAAAAGTGTTCAAAGAATTTAATTCCAAAAAGAACTCTGGTTGCCAAGGCAACCGAAAGAAAAAACTTAAAATATCTTCTTTTAGAAAGCCGAAAAAGCTAGAGCTTAAATATTTGGCATGAAACATCATCTAGTCAGTGTCTACCAAGTTTGTTCAAATAAATGCTTGGAGTCAAAATTGGCCCGGGGGTCATTGATTTTCCTTATTTGTATATAGTAAAAACTTAACAAATCTTTTCTTTTAAAAAACCCAAATAGCTAGAGCTTAGGTATTAAGCATGAAACATCCTCTCAAGGGTGTCTACCATGTTCGTTCAAATGAAAGCCCTTGGGAAAACATTGACCCCGCCTAGGGGGGTCATTGATTTTCCTTATTTGTTAATAGTTTAAACTTAAAAAAATCCTCTTTTAAAAAACCAAAATAGCAAAAGCTTAAATATTAAGCATGAAACATCTTCTAATGGGTGTCTACCAAGTTTGTTTAAATAAGGGCCCTTGGGTTGAAATTGGCCCTGCCCCGGGAGTCATTGATTTTCCTTATATGTGTATAGTAAAACTTAGAAAAATCTAATTATAAAAACCAAATTTGTTCAAATAAAAGCCCTGAAGTCAAAATTGGTCCCTCCAAGGAGGTTGGGGGTGATTGTTTTTCCCTATATGTATTTAGTAAAAACTTAAAAAATCTTCTTATAAAAACCCAAAGAGCTGAAGCTAGGATATTTATCATGTAATGGGTGTCTACCAAGTGTGTTCAAATAAAAGCTCCCAGTTTAAAATTGGCCTTTGCCCAGGGTCCTATATACAGATGAGTGATTTCAGGGCAATCATGGCCCTCTTGTTTAGTTTATATCTCACACCAAATGTTCAAATTGCTTTGAAAAAAAATTGGGGGGGGGGGGGGGGGGGTAAATGTAACCCTAATGAATGTTAGTTATTTCACAGTATATAAGGGATAGGTGTCATCTGTGGAAGAACTGTTAAGGTGGTTGACCTGAAATCACTAATATGAAAATGATACATGTATTACATTTTCTTGTGGCTTCATATGATGCGATGTTGCATCAGATTCGCCATAACATTAATTTTACTTGATTCATATATTTTTAGATTGTCTCTATTGAATAAAAAGTTTTGTTGTTGTGCAAAAACTTTAATGTAGTCCATTATTCAAACATTACAAAAATTATAAACATTAAACTTTGAGTACATGCTTATAATAAGAAGATGCAGTTGTATGACAAGGGGCATAAATTCTGAAAGCATTATTCTTTGAGTTATGCTTCTTTTTAACTTAGATTTTGTAATAAACAAGCATTAACACTGCATGCTGGTGCTCTTGTTATATTTCATGTCATTTAGCAAAATGTAAATTTCAAGTGGATTCCAGAGGAAGTTGATTTTGCTAATAATAATCACTGCATATTTTGTTTCCTGATTGAGTTTGCTATAAGTCTACATATATGGATTATTGCTACATTATTTCTGTTTCTGATGGTAAGTGATATGTGATAACAATTCATGGCATCTTGCATTCTGTTTTCTTGTTCCCTAAAACTGTCCCAATAAATCAGTGGTTTTCCCCTGTGACCAAAAAAATTTTTCTGTATGTAACTAAATGAGGTAACAAATCTTGCTGTTGATGTTTTATATCTAGAAAATTGGCTTTTTAGATTTTGATTTGTAAGGGGAAAAAGAGGGAAGGGATTGAATCCCCAATGCCCCTTTCATCAAAAAAGTTTCCTTTTTCCCTGTTTTTTTCTGTAACCCAAAACTAAAAATCGGGTCTTTAGAATTTCAATTTTAGCTCAAAGAGGAATCAGTTTAAACTAGCAGGCGAAAATGAAAAAAATCTGGAATTTTTCCCTTTATAACCCTTTTAATTTCCTTTCATTTTGTTTTTCCCTCAAAAAAAGGGTTTTCTAGTTGTAGGTTTATAATACTCATAACAACCACACACTGGTTCAGTAGAATGAAAATTGTATCGTCTTTGAATGTCTGTTAGTATGACTTCTGTTCCAACTATATCTCCCAAACAGTACAATACAGATGCTAGCTTCAGCCTTCCAGAAGATACATCAGAATTTTCACCACACATTAACCAATCAAATGCTTCTGGTGACATATTATTGTTTGTCTTAAGATTTGAAGATGCTAAAATGGTTCCTAAATGTGAACTATTGTTTGTCTTAAGATTTGAAGATGCTAAAATGGTTCCTAAATGTGAACAAATTGGGCGTACTTGAAGGCTTATTGCTGTTTGTTCTAATGTATTGCCATCTCTGTAGACTGTTGTAAATCTGTGAATATGTCTGAGTAAATTCTGCTGTACTTGCCGTGATGCATCATGATTGGTAGACCTTTGTATAATGCTTCCAGTCATGATACATATTGTTTGAGCTAAAGTTTCAACATAACGAGAAAGAAGTTTTTAAGTTATTTCATAAATTTTCAGTTACAAAGTTGGGCAGGGAAAGGTTTTTTAAATGGGTTTAAATTTTATCTTTAACCTTTGTTAACCAAAGTCATCTATAGAAATTCCCCCAAACCCAAAGTCTGTCTGATATTTTCCCCTGATATTTATTTTAGTTTGTTTTTAAATTTAAAGTTTGACTTGACTGAAAAAATTTCCTGCCATTTAGGTTGGGTTTCCCGGTTTTAAAAAATGTGGACCAAAAATTTTTTTTTAAATTTAAAAAAGTGTTCCGTCTTTTTAAAAAAATAAATTGACATTTTTAAAAAATTTAATTCTTTCCAATTTGGTTTTGGGAAAGTGTATTTTTTTATAAATGAAGAGAATTTTTTACACATAAACTTGAAAGATGACCCTTCCCCCGAATTTGAAATAAATTTTTTGAAATCTTCATAAATAATATATGCATCTTATTTGTGTGATATTCAAACTAAACATTAAGCATCGTTCTGCTAATGATGTTGAAATTCTCCACTCTACAGACTCGTTATGGCTGACTTTACTTCCAACTGATACAACAAAGCATGTACTTTTCTCTGCAAATTTCTTCATTTCTTGTGTTGGCCAAATATGAGTACTTCTCATTTGTAAACATTGCTTACCTTCTTGGGGCCAAGATTTACATGGATAAGCTGGGACATGGTCTCCATCAGGAACACCAGGGTCTCCATCCTTAACACCAGGTCTCCCTTGTATTGTCCATGATGGACCCTGTTTTTCATAATATGGAGATGTAAATATGGTATTTTTAAGCAGCACTTTGTCACTACTAACTTTAACACAATGTTCATTGTAAACACATGTATCAGGCAAAGGCAAATCTGACTGTAATACTTGTAGCTGACAATAGCCGGGTGGTGTATTCTCGTCTTTTGTCATCAGTAGATTACGTAAGCCATGTTGCCACTCATGATAGTATTGTATGACATTACATGTATTGTAAAACATAAGATAGTCTATGTCAGAATTTAATCCTTCTGTTGATGTTCCTTCAGAAAAACTTCCAAAATTATACACGAAAATTGTATGGTATGAAACTGTGTGCATGGTTTCATTGAAAAGTGTTTCATATCGTTTTTTAAATATCAGTTTTTCGTTTATGCCAATATCATGGAAAACTTCAGATAATATTTGTGATAAATTGTCGTTATAATCAGGGATATGAAACATTCTGAAATAAAAAATTGAACAAATATTATTTTTAATTTTATAATCTGTTAAAAGGTATCAAAAGATTTACCACATTCTTAACATTGAAATGCTTATCAGTAAATATGTATGATGGTGTGATTAAAACAAAGATTATGCCAAAAAAAAATTACATTTTTTATTGAATTAATTAACTTAAATAGTGGATGTTAAATATAGATAGGTGATTAATCCATTTTCCAACTCTTTTTTAAAACCAAAAAATTTTTTTAAAAAAAAACAAAAAAAAGGGAAACTCTCTGACTGTATCACTTTAGTATGATGTAACTATCAGCTGGTCTTGTTCTTGTTTCTGTATTCCAAAATAGAAATGAAAACCAGGTTTCTTTTTCTAAACTTCTTCCTGTTTGGACTAAAGGGAGATAAATGTGTAACTGTATACAGTTATTAGGAGTATACTCCCCTGAAATATTTATAGATTTTACTTTCATTTGTGTATATTGCAAGAATAAATGTTGAAATGTTCCAATGAGAAAACTGAGATATTACAAAATCATATCAATATCCCATTAATAACTTTTTATTGATTGTCCCTTTAAAGTCACAGTCATTCCTTCCCAAAAGTTCATAAAATATATCAAGGGAAGTTTTTTAAATTTTGTCACTTTTACCCGTGGTTTGTTTAAAGAACTATACCAAAAGGGTTTCTTTCTTCCCTTTTCCAATTAGAAAAACCCGCTTTCCTCCAATGATTTCCAAAAAATTTTAAAAAATTTAAAAAATTGGGAAAAAGGGAAAAGAAATTTTTAAAAAAAAAAAGATTCAGGTAATGGTTGACATGTTAAGTATTATATGACTGATTGTGCAGTATATATCACCATATTTCAACTGCATGACATTATTTTTAGCTCACATGTCCCAAAGTGACAGGGTGAGCTTTTGTGATCGCTTTTCGTCCGGCGTCCGTCCGTCCGTAAACTTTTATTTTAAATGACATCTCCTCATAAACCACTAAGCCAATTTCATCCAAACTTCACAGGAATGTTCCTTTGGTGGTCAACTTTAAAAATTGTTCAAAGAATTTTATTCCAAGCAGAACTCTGGTTGCCATGGCAACCGAAAGAAAAAACTTAAAATAACTTCTTTTAGAAAACGGCAAGAGCTATAGCTAAAATATTTGGCATGAAACATCACCTAGTCAGTGTCTACCAAGTTTGTTCAAATAAATGCCCTGGGGTCAAAATTAGCCCGCCCCGGGGGTCATTGATTTTCCTTATTTGTATATAGTAAAAACTTAAAAAATGTTCTTTTAAAAACCCCAAATAGCTAGAGCTTAAATATTAAGGATGAAACATCTTCTAGTAGGTGTCTACCAAGTTTGTTCAAATTAATGCCCTTGGGTCAAAATTGGCCCCATCCTGGGGGTCATTGATTTTCCTTATTTGCATATAGTAAAAACTTAAAATATTTTCTTTTAGAAAACCGCAAGAGCTAGAGCTGTAATATTTGGTATGAAACATAAACTAGTCAGTGTCTACCAAGTTTGTTCAAATAAATGCCCTGGGGTCAAACTTGGTCCCGCCCCGAGGGGTCATTGATTTTCCTTATTTGTATATAGTAAAAACTTAAAAAATCTTCTTTTAAAAACCCAAAATAGCTAGAGCTTAAATATTAAGCATGAAACATCTTCTAGTAGGTGTGTACCAAGTTTGTTCAAATAAATGACCTGGGGTCAAAATTGGCCCTGCCCCGGGGGTCATTGATTTTCCTTATTTGCATATAGTAAAAACTTAAAATCTTCTTTTAAAAAAACCCAAATAGCTAGAGCTAAAATATTAATCATGAAACATCTTCTAGTGGGTGTCTACCAAGTTTGTTCAAATAAATGCGCTTAGGTCAAAATTGGCCCAGCTTCGGGGGTCATTGATTTTCCTTATTTGTATATAGTAAAAACTTAAAATACTCTCTTTTAGAAAACCGCAGGAGCTAGAGCTTAAATATTTGGCATGAAACATCAACTAGTCAGTGACTACCAAGTTTGTTCAAATAAAATCCCTGGGGTTTAAATTGGCCCCTGGGGGGGAAGGGGGGTCATTGTTTTCTCCTATATGTATATAGTAAAAATCTTCTTTTAAAAACCCCAAAAAAGAGTTACAGCTTAAATATTTATAATGAAAACACCTTCTAATGGCTGTCTACCAAGTTTGTTCAAATTAAAGTCCCTGGTTTAAAGTTGGCATTGGCCCAGGGGCCTATATACAGGTGAGCGATTTCAGGGCCATCATGGCCCTCTTGTTGCATATTTTGACCTCTTTTTGGAAATTTACGAGGAAGTGTTGTAAGTTTTGTTTGCACTGAGTAAATTACTTTCTTTGTTCACTTCACAATATTCTAATTTAGAAAACATGTTCAAAATTTTCATGAAAATTAGCATGAATTTGTAGATATGCTGCTTTAAAGTTTATTAACTATTTCAAGCATAGTAAATAAAGTATATCTATCTGGGGTTAGCTCATTGTTTTACATTGATTCTACAAGAGGCCAAAAATTATGCCATGTGCACAATCCTTTTGTGGGTTTGGGCTTTGTTCCACGTTATTTGATAATACCTTGAAAGCAACATACTTAATATAATAGAAGCTTTGAGAATTTTTTGTTATGAAAAAAGGTGTAAGTTTTTAATTTTTACCTCAACTTTACAAAAAATAGGGAGAGCTATTGTACTCACCCAGGCATCACATTGCAGTTGCGTTTTAAGTTGGTATCTCCAAAACTACTGAACGGAATGCATTGAAACTTCACACACTTATTCAGAAGGAGGTAATATGAGGTAACTTATCATCAAGGCCCATAACTCTTGCCTGAATTTTGACAAAATAATGGCCTGTGTTGAACTTAGAAAATTTTGCATTATCCAGGCTCTTGATTTACTATGAAACAATAAGAATAGTGGAGCTTTCTGTTCTGACTACTCAACTTAAGTATTACAGTCTGCAACATTAGAATCTTGTATAATGTGATTTCATCATAAAGTTTATTAACCTTTTAAATGTAATTTTTTCAGGATATGAAGGTTGTTATGCTTGAAGATCTTGCTTCTCATTTTAAAATTAAAACCCAGGTTGGTATTTGATTTAATCATATCCAGAAGCCTATGTACATGCAATCAATTAAGGAGATAGATCCAAGAAAGTAATAGTTTCTGAAAGTAGGCAAATAACTACATATTTTCTGACCATGGACGTGTAAGATATGAGCAAGGATTTGTTTGCCTAGTTAAAGCTACCAGCAGAAAACTAATTAGGTTGTCATAAATCATTTAAATAAAAAGAGTAAGGAATTGTTGAAGAGGGGAATTTTGTCAGCATACTCTCTTTTTCAGAAGTAGAGATTATAGTGCTTTTGAGCGAACATTCAGTAAGTTTAATATGATTTGCAGCATGTTAAGTCTTGTATTTTAAAACGTTCAAAAATATTTCTGAATGGAGGAAAGATATGTCTTAAGTTAGAAACTTCTTTTCATCAGAATTGTCCTCTCTAGCAGTGAGTTTTACATGCCTTTAACTCTGTTTTTTTTTTTAGGACTGCATCAATAGAATACAAGAGTTACAAGCAGACGGTCGCCTTACAGGTGTGGTAGATGACCGCGGGAAATTCATTTATATAACAATGGAGGAATTAGAATCTGTGGCAAAGTTTATACGACAACATGGACGTGTATCTATAGCGGAACTGGCCGAGTCCAGTAATAGGCTGATTAACCTGAATCCTGATAACGCTGATATACATAAAAAACTAATTGTTGGTGACCACGAGGCAGAAATTATCGAGGTTTCCTAGAACTTTGTTTTGAGATATACATAGAATGCATTGTGAAATTTTCAAAGGATAACTTCCAGATGAGATTTGTATAACATGATTGACAGAGTGATAAAATAAGTGTTAAATTATAGACCAGAAAAATTTAGGGTTAAAGATGGCTTAAATTACTAGACTGTAAAACAGCATAAATTTGTATTTCATCAACATCTATAAATGTATGTATGATATTATGCATTGTAATTAGTCATATTGTATGCAATGTTTTGAGAAATTATAATGTTATATGAAATTAATGAAAGTGATTTACATATAGAGTGATCTCTGACAACATTGTGATCCTTCTATCTTCCATATGATAAACTTATCTAACCTTTAACCTCTTGATTTTGTGCAATCGATAGGCCCTGCTTTGAGTTTGGAACAGTCTGTTCAAAGTTTGAAGGATTTCATTATCAAAGTATAGAAATTCAGCTAACCACCATTACACAGCCTAGTCGAACTGCATAGATGTGTAGGTTAAAAATGGCTTTATACTGGTGACAGAGTGTGTTCAACTCTTTTGTTTCCAGCTTGGTAAGTGTTCATCCATAAAATACCTGTAAATGGCAAACAGCCTTACCTTCGTAATCAGACATGGCTTGATTACATTATTTCAATATCTTGAACTTTACATGCCCGAAATTAAGGAATTAACCATTCAAAATTCTAAACAATAAACATGAAAACAACTATAAGGAGATAGACATTTTGCCCAGATATAAACTTGTATTAATGCAAATTACACTACCTTGAGCCTGGGACATACATTGTATACTTTAAGACCCAACTTGAGCACAAAAAGAAATACATTGTCATATGTTTACTAATCTGTTGTAATTTACAGTGACCATTTAAATTGGCAACATTGTCATATCACATATTTTTGTTTATTGAACTTTAATTGCTACACAGTTTAAAGAAAGTATATTTTGTGTAGGGGCTGGTACCCTGAAACACTTTACAGAGCAGATATCTTAAATATAACGTAAAATGAATGTGTAAAGACAAGGGGCAGGACGTGAAGTGGTTGCACACTTGGTTCAAGCGAGCGAATTAGTTGCAAACTTGACAAAATGGCGAACACGGCGTGATTTTTTAAAACGGGTGAACGAATTTTTGCCAGGCAAGTGGGTTTCTTTGTTATTTTGAAGTTCATTAGTATGTCTATTCCATAATGCAATATATATGCCACACTCGGTTAAAGGTTTCAGTATCCTAGATTCTGTTTTGACGAAGTTATTGAAGATATAAACTGATCATGTAGATATTTTTAAATTTGACATGTGACTGTTCTGGTCGGTTTTTCTCCTAATTTATTCGAATTTGTAAGTTTTGAACTGCATTTAACAATAACAAAATATGTTTCTGTCAATGCTGTACAAATGGTTTAGTTTGCAAGTCCGAAGATAACGTTCAATACACAAAAATATCTTGTTCAAGCACATTTTGGTTGCAGACTTATACTTCAAGCCTTTTGTGATGCAAACTTTTGTGTCAATAATGTGGCATGCATATTTTAGCGAGGAATGACTAATCATTTTTTTTTAAATAATTAGCAATATTAAGGCAATTATACCCGTTCATTATAAAAAAATATATATACAAATTGTGCATGCGTGCAGATATATCTTAACACAGGGTCTTTCAAATAGATATAAAACACAATTTGCTAAACTGAAGTTCAGTTGTGTTTATCTACATCTTTTTTTCTCCTCGATATACTTCTTTTCTTTTTACAAAGTCTTAGGACTTTTTTTATATCTTGGCATGACTTACTGTAAAGGAAAAGAAGAAAAAATAGCAACAAACAGATTTCATTATTGTTCTTTTTTGAGATTTGTAATAAATTTGATTGTATAGTAGATAAAAACTATATTAACATTGACACAAGGGCATTATTCACATGTTTCTTTAAAATGTTCCTTATTATTGACCAATCGAAACATCTTCCAAATTCCCTAACTCGAACAATGACTTCAAGTAGTTTTGTCACGTATCAGTCAATGTAAATAACCAATCGTATATCATTTATATTATGATCTAATAAGCAAAATCATCTTTAGAATACCAATTGACATATGATGTACATCAAATCCGAAATATTGTAAACAAGCATGTCATTTTAACTTTTGGTTTGTAAAAATATTTTAAGTACATTTACATACTTTATGTCTAAAGCAACATACGAAACAAACAAATTAACATTTCTAGTGGTTTTGATAAACTTTGAAAACTTTACCGAGTAACATCGTATGTGTGCACATGTCCTTATGTTTATGATGAAAATAATTCACTTACATACAACAGTACTCTCACATACGTTTGTTTTGTATGTAGTTTTCATTTGCATTTTACATATGATGACATATTTTAGAATTGAAGTATCAATAAATATTTTTCTATATGCTATTCTTTTACTGATGATTATAGTATTGAACTGAGAACCATGTAATTTGAAACATAAATTGCATAATTGTTGTAAAAGAAGAAAGTATAAATAACATTTATGACAAAAACAAGTAACAGTACATAAATGTCAAAAATTGCCATTGAAAATAGGTTAATAAATATAACCTTCTACACTCCTTTTGCAAAGATTTATTATGGAATTCAATAGAATAAGAATAAGTTTGCAACCAAAAATGCTTGAAGTATAAGTCTGCAACCAAAATGTGCTTGAACAAGATATTTTTGTGTATTGAAAGTTATCTTCGGACTTGTGAACTAAACCATTTGTACAGCATTGGCAGTAACATAGTTTGTTATTGTTAAATGCAGTTCAAAACTTACAAATTCGAATAAATTAGGATAAAAACCGACCAGAACAGTCACATGTCAAATTTAAAAATATCTACATGATCAGTTTATATCTTCAATAACTTCGTCAAAACAGAATCTAGGATGCTGAAACCTTTAAGTGTGGCATATATATTGCATTACGGAAAAGACATACTAATGAACTTCAAAATAACAAAGAAACCCACTTGCCTGGCAAAAATTCGTTCACCTGTTTCAAAAAATCACGCCGGGTTCACCATTTTGTCAAGTTTGCAACCAATTCGCTCGCTTGAACCAAGTGTGCAACCACTTCACGTCCTGCCCCTTGAAAGAAATCACCATTAAAAAAATGAATGTATAAAGAAATCACCAAGTCGATATAAGAACTCAAAATGCCGCTATTATGTTACGTAAGCACAATGTAGTGTTGAAATGCTCTCTTTTTATGCTCCCCGAAAAATTTCGGGGGAGCATATAGTCGGCGCCTTGTCCGTCTGTCCGTCCTTCTGTCTGTCCGTCCGTTGTCTTGTCCGGAGCATAACTTGAAAACCCTTGGAGATAATTTGTTGAAACTTCATACAGTGGTAGAGGGCATTGAGGGGGAGTGCAGTGTCAAAGAACCATAACTCTATTTTTGCCCGGTTTTTTAATTATCTCCCCTTATAGAAAAATCTTGTCCGGGGCATAACTCTAAAACTATAAGAGATATCAACATGAAACTTTGTAGGTGAATAGATCTCAATGGGTAGATGTGCAGTGCATAAGAACAATAACTCTTTTTGTCCTAATTTTGGAGTTATTGCCCTTTGTTTATTTTAACACTTTGAACTTTGTCCGGAACATAACTCTAAAACTATAAGAGATATCAAGATGAAACATTGTAGGTAGATAGATCTCATTGAGTAGAGGTGCAGTGCAAAAGAACCATAACTCTGTTAAGCCTCATTTTTGAATTATCTCCCCTTTTAGAAAAATCTTGTCCAGGACATAGCTGTAAAACTATAAGAGATATCAACATGAAACTTTGTAGGTAGATATATCTCAATGGGTAGATGTGCAGTGCACAAGAATCATAACTCTGCCTTGCCTAATTCTGGAGTTATTGCCCTTTGTTTATGAGCTCACCTATCACAAAGTGACAGGGTGAGCTTTTGTGATCGCTTTTCGTCCGTCGTCCGTCCGTCCGTCGTCCGTAAACTTTTACTTTAAATGACATCTCCTCATAAACCACTAAGCCAATTTCATCCAAACTTCACAGGAATGTTCCTTTGGTGGTCACCTTTGAAAATTGTTCAAAGAATTTAATTCCATGCAGAACTCTGGTTGTCATGGCAACCAAAAGAAAAAACTTTAAATATCTTCTTCTAAAAAAACCCAAAGAGCTAGAGCTTAGATATTTGGCATGAAACATCTTCTAGTGAGTGTCTACCAAGTTTGTTCAAATAAAAGCCCTGGGGTCAAAATTGGCCCCGCCACAGGGGGTCATTGATTTTCCCTATATGCATATAGTAAAAACTTAAAACGTCTTCTTTTAAAGAGCTAGAGCTAAGATATTTAGCATGAAACATCTTCTAATGGGTGTCTACCAAGTTTGTTCAAATAAAAGCCCTGGGGTCAAAATTGGCCCCGCCCCAGGGGGTCATTGATTTTCCCTTTATGCATATAGTAAAAACTTTAAAAAAATCTTCTTTTAAAGAACCCAAAGAGCTAGAGCTAAGATATTTAGCATGAAACATGTTCTAATGGATGTCTACCAAGTTTGTTCAAATAAGAGCCCTGGGGTCAAAATTGGCCCAGCCCCGGGGGTCATTGATTTTTCTTATATGTGTATAGCAAAAACTTAAAAAATCTTCTTTGAACAAACCAAATAGCTAGAGTTTAGATATTAAGCACGAAGCATCTTCTAGCGAGTGTCTACAAAGTTTGTTCAAATAAAAGCCCTGGGGTCAAAATTGGCCCGCCCCGGGGGACATTGATTTTCCTTATATATGTATAGCAAAAACTTAAAAATCTTCTTTGAAAAAACCCAAATAGCTAGAGTTTAGATATTAAGCATGAAACATTTTCTTGTAAGGATCTACAAAGATTGTTCAAATAAAAGCCCTTGGGTCAAAACTGGCCCTGCCTCAGGTGTGTCATTGTTTTTAACTATATGTGTAAAGAAAAAGCTTGACCAGCTAGACCTTAGATGTTTAGCATGAAACATCTTCTAATGGGTGTCTACCAAGTTTGTTCAAATAAAAGCCCTGGGGTTTAAACTGGCCCCGCTCCGGGGGCCTATATACAGGTGAGCGACTTCAGGGCCATCATGGCCCTCTTGTTTTTACTTTTTGAAATTGTCCAGGACATAACTCGGAAATCATAAGAGATATCATCAAGAAACTTTGAAGGTTGATAGATCACATTGATTAGAAGTGCAGTGCAAAGAACAGTAACTCTGCCTTGCCTAATTTTGGAATTATTGCACTTTGAACTTTTTCCAGGGACATAACTCTTAAACTACAAGAGGTGTACTTTCCTGTGTCCAAAACCTATTCGGGGAGCATCACCCGGCTCAAACCGGGCTCTTGTTCATTCCTTTATTCGTATTACAGTAGATTTCATTAATTTAATCGTGTTTGTTATGATTTATTTCAAAAGTATTCAAAGTCTTGTTGGTGATGGTGAAATTATTTATATTACTTTTGAGAGATGTGTTGATTATAAATGATATGAGACGGTAAAAATAAATTTGATAATATTTTTGGTGTCGGTCTTCATTTATCATTTCAATCATCTCGATTGTAATAGACCCTTTCTTTAAATTTTACACTATTCATCGGCGCTAACTAAAATGAACAATGGTCATATAAACGATTGTTTATTTATACAAGCAATAATACAGGTTTAAATTTATTTTCTAGAGCTGTCAATAAGATAATTGATTATTTGCCGATAGTTTGAAAGATAAACATATCAAGATGTGAAGATCAATATCGTAAACTTTGAAATTTCCCGCGCAAGTCGTAAGAATATGACATATTTATGTCGTCTGCACGCTGTTAATTAAATAAAGACATATCATGTTTTGACACGAGATTGCGATGAGATTTTATTCATACCTTTATACCTGTAGCAAAATTTACACGGTTGGATTAAGATGGACATACATTTAAATTAAGTGAAATAAAAATGAACTTACATTGTATATATCATGTACTACATAGAAGACGACGAGTAGTACTGATGTTAACTTTAAGGAAATATTTGTACATTGTATTATGTGTGAGTGTTGTGCTTATAGTGTATAAAGTAATATGCTTTAAGTATAAAATTACCTCGGGTTATTCATCTTATGTTAATATGACAAACAGAAGAGGACGTATAATTTATTCAAACGAAGATGTTTACATGGCTATCAAGCAGATACGGTTCAACAACTGTTTAAATAAATATGCAAACGATATATGTGCAGATCTTCAATCATGCGAATCATTTTCGGAATTAAAGACGTTGGAAGGATGCGACAACACTATACAGTGCAGGTCAAGGATAAATGAAACAAAAGCGGTGAATTTAAATTTAAAAAAATGTAAAAGAAGATTGCCAGGTGCTATCATAATTGGCACTTACAAAAGCGGAACGCGTGAGCTTATTGACTTTTTAGCAATGAACCCTTTGGTTGTTATCAAAAGGCAACCGAATTATGAAGTGGCATATTTTGATAAGAACGCGGACAAAGGTTTAGACTGGTATAGAAACGCAATGCCATTTAGTTGCGAGAGACAGATTACAATAGAGAAGTCGCCGAGTTACTTCACAAGCCTTGAGGCCCCGAGACGTATCCACAAAATGGACAAAAACATTAAACTGATTTTAATAGTTAGGAATCCCTCTGATAGAACGCTTTCTCATCTGACATATGAGCATTTCATAATCAAAGAGCAATTCAAAAATGATATTCATAACTGTTTATACAAGTACACATTTAATAGAAGAATTATCAATGAAAACTGTTTCGCTGTCAAAGACTCGTTTTACGATAGTGCCATGGAAAGATTTCTGAAATATTTCTCATCTGAACAAATACATATAATAGATGCTGATGCTTTCCTAAAGAATCCATGTGACATTGTTAAAGATGTTGAGCATTTTCTACAAATAGATACTTTTATAAACTGCGACAATTTTTTTCGGAACAACGATACGGGATTTGTTTGTGCCAAAACGAACAGAACTGATCTTGGATTTTGTTATGAAAAGACACGAGGAAGAGTGAAATTGCAATCCAAGTTTCCTGTGATGAAAATGGACCTTCAAAAGTTGTTTAAATCTCATAATGAACGTTTTTTTAGTCTTGTTGGCAAACGCTTTGACTGGTGACAGCTGGATAATGATGATGATTGTTGTGTTGATGATGATGATTTTTTAATGATGATGATGTTGATAATGATGATGATGATCTTTTTAAGATTAGGACGTACGGCGCTGAAAGCAATTTTACTGCAACAACGATGAATTATATTCTAAGTATTGCTGTTGTCCTTTATGTATTTTGTCAGGTTAAAATAAAAGGTTAAAGTATTGATGAAGTTGTCGGGTTTTTTTGTTGTTGTTTTTTTCTCATGAATGATACGAAATGTTAAATCTCTATGACCATGAATTGATGACATGATGTGTCCATCTAATTGACTTGTCTTAATTGCCGCGTGTTTTTGCGGGCCTTACATATTTTATGACAGTGATCCAGTCCTCTTTAATGGTATCTTTATACATGTTAAAATCATGTATACATGTACAATGTATATTGTACTTTCAAAAGCTAAGAAAAGGGCATAATTAGAGAAATGCATATTAAAAAGCTTGATTAGATTATCAGTTAAATTTGGAATAAAACAAAAATTGAACGGAAATCCTTTCAATGGTCCAACAGTTGATACTGCGATTCGCTTTGCAAGAATCTAAAGACATTTTCAAACTCTTTTTGTATACTAAATTTTGTGTTTGATTTCCAGTTAGTAAGGAAAAACTTAAGGAAACAATTTAAGTATTTAACTGCTTCGTTTCCAGACGGACTATTTCTAATTGCGAATTTGCTATATCTTGTTATCCTAACGATTCGCCATTCATTACTGGTGAAATCAACATATATACTGTTCTAATTTTGTTATCATATTCAAAATTGAATGACATATCGCTAAAGTTTTGAAACTAGTTCACTATCTAAATCACAACAACCATTCAGTCCTTTTCTGTTTGAAAAAAAGCGTTTTTTTATATAGCCTGCTTCTACTTATATATCAAAACAGGTTAATATACATATACATGTGAACAAACTGTTTTAACGATGATTTTTGCCGATAATTGATATACTTGTATCTGCCTCTTACCAGTACATGTGCATTACTTTGCCGTTTTTAAATCTCTGACTTTTGCTATTATACTAATGCATGTGTCTAAAAAAATTTGCCATTGTTTCGCCTTGATTTGTCTATATGCTTGTTGCTATTTTATCAATATACCAATCCCAAATTGTTGCCATTTTTTTTTGTCGTTGGCTGATATCTCAACATATTGGTATTTTACCAATATACTAGTATGCTTTCAAATTGTTGCCATTTTTATCGTTGGTTGATTTCTCTGCATGTCGCTATTTTACCAAATTTATGTCATTGATTTGCCGATAACAGACGTTTCTGTTTGTTGATATTTTATCAATACATGTTTGTGTCTTAAACCGTTGCCATTGATTTACCGTTGATTGATATATCTGTGTTATGCTATTTTGTCAATACATTTGTCTGAAAATGTTTGCCACAGATCTCTCTACCTATTGCTATTTTTGATTTACCATCAATTTATACCATTGTCTGTTTTTTTTCTCACCAATATAATTATGTTTAGGTGTCTTAAATTGTTGCCATTGTTTTGTCGTTGATACAATTCTCTGCCTGATGCTAGTTTATCCTTGCATGTGTTTCAGATTGTTGCTATTGCTTCGCCGTTTTATATCTCTTTATGTTGCTACATACCATTACACGTGTCTCAAAATGCTGCCATTGTTTTGCCATTGATATGAATTGTCATTAAGTTTTGCTATTTTATCCATATAAGCGTCTCAACGAGTTGCAATTGTTTACGTCGACTGATATATCGACTGATATATATTTCACATCTTTCTCAATTGTTGCCATTTTGTTGCCGCGAATAGATCACCATGCATGTTGCTATTTTTACACATGTCTCAAATTGTTGCCATTGATTTGAAATCGAATCATATCAGTCCCTGTTCTTTTTCACTTATAAAAATGTCTCAAATATTGTCATTCTTATACCGTTGATTGATCTAGGATTTGGCGATTTTATTCATACAAGTGTCTAAAATTGTCGCCCTTGTTTTCTATCTCCGACGTTTGTCTCGTTGATTAATCTATATGTATATATATACATGTATTTACTAAAGTTGCCTTTTATATATCATTAATGATTATTTTTGATTGATAATGACTGACCATACTTATATATAAATGACTGTGATAATTTTCTTTTAGGTATGAGAAATACGTTATAAAATGTTTGATAATTAAGAAATAATATATCCCAAACTGTGATTTTATTGCTCAATAACATCACTGTTTGGAGTTCGGATGCGGGGAATTATATCACGAGGGCGTAGCCCGAGTGATATAATGATGCGCATCCGAACGACAAACAGTGATGTTATTGAGCAATAAAATCACCGATTTGGATATATTATTTCGATTCTAACACGACATTAACAAATAAATTGCTGTCGTACATGATAATTAGTTAAAAATTGCGCCTGATTTGTTTTCCGTACTTATTGTCAGCGCGTCACATTTTTAGTGGTTACGTCACGTGTATAATGATGACGTCACATGTCTAAATATAGAACGTCAAACAGTGATTTTATAGCATAATAACACACACTTTCGGTTCTTCTATGTTCAATAGGGAAAAATGCGGGTCGTGTTAGAATAACATATATAATATTTTACAGCATTGATCTTTTGTAACATTTTCCATATCGGAAACAACTTCTAAATTTCTATATGAAAAATCACGATGTGGCTATACTTTAAATAATGTACAATGAAGTGCATTCGCCCTTATTTTCTTTAGTAGCTGAAATGTATAATCTGTTTATTAAAATTTGTTACTACATATGGCAATGTCAAAAACTTAAATCACGAGGTTGTACGAATAACCTGCGCTCTTATCATATGAAATCACACCACCAGTCGAGATTTGAAATTTTTTGCGCTCTGTAACGGCCATTCCAAAGAGAAGTCAAAAGCGGGCCAAAGTCACTGTGGAAGCGTCACAATGAACTCGTGGCTACTGCAAGTCAGTACTAACAAAGTTATATTAAGGACCGTCCCTGTTGACAGGTATACCACAAAGAATGAAAAAAAAATCATTATAGACGCGTATGACATTATTTTTTAGTAGAACTTCTAATTAGAGCCTATATATTAGTTTTCTCCATGTTTGGATTAGAAGTCTACAAAGTTTAATTGATAAATAATTAAAGTTTAATTGATAAATAATAATGAAAATAGCATATGTGAGCAGTTTCGGCCGTTTAAATGCCCAATAACTTTGTCTGAAAAGAATCGACGATTTATAAAAAATGGCATGCAAACCCACGGGACATTTGGACAAATTGCGCATCTTTCAGAAGATTCTAAAACTAGCCTCGATATAGGTACATGTATGTTGTTAGGCATGTTTTTAAACTCTTATTGGATTTAATTTTCAAATAGAGTATGCACAGAAAGCCCTTTCCTCCGTTGTCACACACCTTGTGTAAAAAGTTTCAGTGATTTTCCAGTATCTTGCGGGAAATGATTACAGACATTCAGATGGATTTGACATATATTCATGCTGTCATGTATGTATATAGAGTTACAACCTTGACATGTTAATTTTAAATACGCAAATATCGGCGGGGTCGTGCCCAATATGTCATATCTTATCTATATGTATTTATAAGCCTGTCTGCGAGTTAAATCATCAATTCATTTGGAGAGATCTATTTGAGTACAGGTAAGTCACTGTGTTCATGATGCTTATTGTCAAAGAATACGAATCAAGATACTGTAATAAGTTATGGTTGACGTAGTGGGAGGGGGACAACTTAAGCTCCCGGGTACAGAACGCTAGAGCAAGAAACATAACAAATTGTTTATATTAGCTTTGAACAAATAACTGTATTTTCATTTTACACCTAGCATTTGGAACAAATTAACGTCCAGCATTTCAGTACACGATGTTCTAATATAAATAATAATTGGATCCATGATTATCATCAAATTCCATATCACATCCATATTGTACTCCATCTGACATCGTTTTATTTTCCGGTCAAAAAGTTCCATATTTAAAATCCGTATTATACCGGAAGTAAAATTATCTTTAACAAGGTACGTTCAAAAAGTTCGTAGATTGTTGCAGCCCTTTCACTTGGTTCATAAAAACTTTGTTTAATTTTTGATTTTTTTTATCATTTACTCTGTTTTGTCCATAAGAATTTGGTGAGTGAAAGAACGCCCCACGCATACGGACAACTCGCCCTTAACTTACCATGTGAAGCAAACTGGGCAATGAAAATACATGTTTCTCATGGTTTCATTCATTTATTGTTAATTATGCATCATTAATATTTTTATATTTTCATTTTTTATTTTCAAAAGCCTTTTATCTTTGGTGTACTTTTATAGTTTCTAAAAAGTTACTCATAATACCTAAGCTATTTTTTATCTGTTGATTTTTGACAGTAAGTATAGTTATAGTGAATTAGTCTTTTGTATAAGTCAAAATACTACTTTACTTTTACGACAAATTATTTCACATTTATCGCCACTTTTTTTCATGTAACTAGCATCTAACATTCTCTAAAACCATTACTTTAACATTATACATGTCATGTTTGCTTTTTCTAAAGAAGTAAAAAATTATCTGTTTCTGAGACATGATGTGCCTTTAATGGAAAACTTGTTATTGTGTTATCAAGAAAAGATATAAAGGTTAACAGCCTATATAGACAATGTTTGAATGTCCTACAAGACTAAAATCGTCTTCCATAAGTTCCTACATATATCATAATTACTCTGATATCTAACTTGTAACAGCTAAATATTTTATAAGATATTAAATTTTAAATGTTCCAATATTCATAATTTTTATATGTTGGAAACCTTCATTACATACAAAATGAGATAATAAAAAGGTTAACTAGTTTAAAATTAATCTTATGTTTTGTTTTCTTTGCTTGTAGCATTCAATTCTTCAAAATGCAGTTTGCTATTGTGCTTATGGCACTTGTCGGTGTTTCCTATGGGTAAGTTGTGGAGGTAATGTTCGGTAAACTTCGCCATTTACCGTGGTTTACACACGGGGCTGCAAAAATATATGAAAAGTTGTCCGAGGACATCGTTCAATTTAAATTACATGTATTATATTTAAACTATCTACCCAGGTGTATCAGCCTACCGTACAGTTCATTTGTAAAAAAAACTATGTTATGGTTGGTAAATTGTAAAACTGTTTATAACGTAACTAAAATTTCACATACTGACTCTTTTAAAGATAACTTTTGCGCCTGTTCCGGTCAACTTTACTTACATTGATGCATGTTTCGCTCATTTAAATTTTTCAAAATTGCCAATAAAATAATGAGACAATTGATTTAACTGAAGAGTTTTTCCTTAACTACGAGTATAGTTCTAACGTCGAGTGTTGGACAGTACAACAGATCGCTGACAAGGTTTTCGAGCTCGCCGACGCAGATAATAATGGCATTGTTACAACGAACGAATTCAAGAACGAACTTCTCACAGATTGGGGATTTGCCAGTACGTAGAGTATTTTATATACCTAAAGTGACTATATATGCATGGTTAACTTCCCTTATATATGCGTAATTCACCATTTCGTAACGCCACCCTTTGACATTTTTATGGTGGCTGATTTGGAACGCTTTTGTACGTCGTGTTGGCGCTAGCGACAACAGGACAAAACGCCAAACGTCGCGTTGTCCGACTTTTGTCTTGTCGTCCTGTCGCAACGATGTACGCCAAACGGCACGTTGTTGTGCGGCGTGTTGTCGCAATGTCACATTGTCGCTCGATTCAAATCGAAGGATTGGCTTATGAGCCAAGCGACAGGGCGTATTGCGACAATGCGCCGCACAACAACGCGCCGTTTGGCGTTCTTCGCCAGAGACAGGACAACAAGATGACAGCGCGACAACGCTGCGAATGGCGATTTGTCGTGTTGTCGATAGCGACAAGACGAAAAAGCGATAGCGATATAGGTTGCGTTGTCGCTATTGACAACTCAACGCGCAATTAACCAAATCAGCCACCATATATTTCAGGTATGTATGTTTGTCTTTTAACAAAATTAAAAAATGATTCCACAAGCTTTTGTAGTCATTGTTACAATGGTCATTACATTTTACCTTCTGATTTAATAAAATAAGAGCGTTCTTTTACTATTTACGGCTAACTTCACTACCTAATTTGAAGACTGGATGCAAATGGTTATCTAGTTGTTGGGCTGACTTCTTGAGTGGTTAAATTTTGCGTGATCGGACTTTGATCTACTTGTCACAAAATTAACATGGTCATTTTCTGACAGATATTTTCTGGTAACGGTCAATATTACTACCAAATCTGAGTATTGTAGGACAAATAGGAATTAAATGACAAAAATGATAAAGATTTAATTATGTAACTACAGTTGAGCTATAAACCTTAAGACAACATTCCTTCATCGGAAGTACACATCCAATGTATTATAGCTTAATAAAACTCTTGTCACACAAAGGCAGGATTCTCACGGCGTCCAGGAAAAATGATGAACTCAGAGGCGGGCGCAGTGCGTAATCGACGCCGCAGCTTTGCAGTCGCATCGGCGGTCATATTGAACGCCGTCAATAGTAATGGTGAAAATGCTGTTTTTGTTGTTGTTGTTGTTGTTGATGATGATGATGATGATGATGATGATGATGATTATAATAATGGTAACGTGTTTCATTTTAGATGGATGCTTGTCGAGGAGTGACTTCACACACAATTGGCAGTTACACTTTCACGATACTGCCCAGAATGCCCATGCTTTCTTTGACAATTTAGACATGAACGTAGACCATAGTCTTTGCGAAACGGAGGTAGTTGTGGTTTTACTACCTTTTGACAATGTCGGTAAGTTACACACTTAATACCCGTCTTTAACAATCTTTTGCCAATGTCGGACAGTGGTATCATTTAAAGTTTATACCCATGTTTATCTACCTTTTGACATTGTCATAAATACTACCTTTATATCCATGTTTAATTATCTTTTACGACAGCAAATTGTAATCTTTATACCAAAGTTTTACTATATTTAGTCAATGTCAGTAAGTTGTCCATTTATAAGAACTTCTTTCATTTGTTTTAATTCAATAAACCCTTGTGATTTTTTTTCCAGTCCATGATTTTCAAATACAGCATCAGGAGATGGTTAATTTCATCCTTGCGGTAAGTCAGATTGGGCGTTTCCTTGTAAATTTGCAGTATTATTATATTTAAGATCCATGAATATCACAAATGGACTGCAAGACAGTTCTAAATTTGTAAATGAGAACAGGTTAGTGGTGTTCCGAATATAGTGAAGACTTCAACGTAGCAACATTGCATTGAAAATGCCGCCTATTATTAATATTTAATGCTTGTTACTAATTGTCGTTAAAAAATAGTTGGTACATAACAAACTATGTACAATTCAAAGCAGTTGTTTTTGTTGTTTATACTTACCATTCTAATTATATCAAGACGATTTATCAAACTGGTTTTTAAGGCAGCAGTTTGCGAGGATAATAATCTTAAACATAAATATCTCATGAAAAAAGGAATAGATATACATCTATACATTGTAGGTTACTCCTATAGGTCAATATCAAAGTTAATCAAACGCAAAATTTACATGTACATAAACGCTGTCTAAATGGTAGCTTACCAAGACAAGGTGCCATAAATTATTGCCATACATATTCCCAAAATGAAGCTTTACATGAAATGGCATGTAAATTTATGTACCCATTCGGAACATCTCGCCTTGTCCAAATTCCGGTCTGTCTTAAAATTTTCTAAAATTCTCTAGTGGTTCGGCATCCTGGTTAAAAAACAACAACATTGGATACATTAAACACATCCGAACTAACTTCGTAATATCCAGCAAATATTTTATATTATAATAACTTTGTAAAAACCAGATTAATCACCAGTACGATCATATCACGTTCTCTAATTTGAAACAAATACTGTCTTAGTAAAGAAGTGACTAAATGATAACATAACAAGGTTCATCATTATCCAGCTCAAACATAGCCGCGCCACGACAAAACCAACATAGTGCGTTCGCGAACAGTATGGATCCAGACCAGCCTGCGCATCTGCGCAGTCTGATCAGAATGCATGCTGTTCGCTATCAGTTTCTCAACTTGTATTAGGGTTTGTAAGCGGACAGCATTCATTCTGATCAGACGCGCAGACTGGTCTGTATCCATGTTGGTCGCAAACGCACTATGTTGGTTTTGTCATGGCTCGGCTCATTACTGTATTACTTTGGTAAATAAGGTCAAGTCAGTTGCTTCTTTAAGCTACTTCAAAATCAACAGAGGAATCCAATACAACAGTTTCAGCTTAATTTAAAAGTTTCCTTAAACTGTAGATATCTATAAAATGTATTATGTTCCATCCTCTCCAGGAATCTTTACGCAGGTTTGCCTTTCTTGGTTACTAAACTACTCGATTACGACAGTAGTGTAAGTTCGAAAGCCCACAACAATTTGAATTACAATTTGCATGAATCTAAACTCTCTTTTTTATTTATTTTGCAGAAACATCCCGACCCTCACCACAAACTCCACGGTTGTCATTAGATTTTGTATTCAATTTATAATGTACAACAAAATAAAACGTAATAATTCATCAACTTGTTTCTCCTTTCGCACGTGGCTTCATGTGTGCTTTCGTACTTAAATCAGTCACGGATACAGTGATTTTCGGTTGGAGGTTTTATTTGTTCGAATTGACAAAACAGTGTTGTAACCTTGCAATAATCTATAGATTATAATATTGTAAAATAATAATGCTATCCGTTTACTGAATACATGTATATTTTTTTCCAATCTGTTCGATAATATTAGACCAAATAGCCAAAACGACTTTTTAACACTGCTGCCGATAAGCCTTTGCCACAAGCCTAGCTAGAGCCTGGCAAACCTGTACATCATTGCAGTCTGATCAGTAATTATTAACTTGATATCCCTAATATTAATAATGGACTGTTCAAATGTAAGATGGACAAGTCCATTTACGAAGTTCAGCATGTTAGGTGTTTAAGCTTCAATATAAAACCAAATTTAAAATGACATAAACTGAGTCGCGGTTATGGTAATTAGAAGGAAAACTTTTTTTGTAATTTAACAAAATCACTGTTAATTCAGCTACACTTCTTTATATTTGATTGTTTTTTTCTTTTTACTACAATCTACTGGCAATATTTTAGGGCAAATTCAATCATTTTATATTGAATCAAAACCACGACCTTGCTGAAACAAAACGAAAACAATATTTGGAAGGTTTTTTTTGTTTTGTTTTGTTTTAGCAAAATATATATAACGTATGTGAAATATTCAAATTTTTATAATTCCTGGCCACTTTCCTGTTAATTGATAAGTTTCTGTCACCAAGAATGGCCATCTTACGGTCATACAGCCAAGTTATGGGTGACCTTTAGGAAAATTTATTACACATGAATATAAATATGACTCACAAATCATTTATAAAAATGGGGTTGTTGGTAAATATGAACCATAATTTATCTGTAAGTTTATGTATTCTATTATTGCAGTTCGAGCAAGGGATATATTATAAGTTTAGAAGCAAGCTACATAATGCTAGACCGTGACCAACTGGATGAGCTGCCCATGTCTGAGTCAAATGTTGGGGGTCTTTATGGGATTTAGTTATTTTGGTCGGTCCTGTGGTCGGTTTTGGAGTCGGTATACTAGATGACGAATATAATGCTAGTCTGTTTGAAATGACAATGTATGTAAGAGTCATTTCGTCACGTATTATTACACAAATATGTAACGACCTAGACTTGTGAATTACAATGTATATTTTAAGAAGATTTTTGACATCGAAATTTGATCAATTGTCTTTCTTCACATTTGACAGACTTGTTTAATCTTATATTTTCGGGTGGTCATTTTCCGTCAACTTGGATGGAGGGGATTATCATTCCATTGTTCAAAAAAGGTGACGAAAACGTTTTGGATAATTACAGGGGAATTACGTTAGTAAGCGTGTTATCAAAGATTTTTACGTCTGTAATAAATACTAGACTAACAGACTGGTGCGCGGCAAATGACATCATCACCGATTCGCAATTTGGATTTAAAAAAAGGTTTCTCTACAACAGACGCAATATTTTGTCTTCACGGATTAATTGAAAATAGTTTAAATTGTGGAAAACGTTTTTATGCAACATTCATTGATATGAAAAAATGCTTCGACAGCGTATATAGAAATGCACTGTGGCTTAAAATATATAAATTAGGTGTTAACGGTAAAATGTTAAGAATCGTGAGATCAATGTACGATCAAGTGAGGTGCCGTGTTAAACACTTAAATAAATTCTCCGAATTCATGGAAATACTAGTATGTCTAAAGCAAGGAGAAATATGTTCTCCATTATTCTGGTCAATGTTTGTAGAAGACTTAGAATTATACTTAAGCTCTCGTCCAGGCAGTGGTCTTGATTTCGGAGATATTACGTTAATTCTCTTCTCTACGCCGACGATATGGTTTTAATGTCTAACTCGATAGAAGGTCTTCAACAAAGTTTAAATGACCTTCACACATACTGTGATCGATGGGGATTAAAAGTGAACATTGACAAAACAAAAGTGATGGTATTTCGACGGAGGGGAGACTGAAAAATAGCGAACAATGGACTTATGACGGAAATCGTCTGGAGATAGTGGATGACTTTAATTACTTAGGCACGGTCTTTAATTCTAACGGTCGTTTTGATTCGAATGTACAAATGCTAGTTGGAAAATCGCTTAAAGCAATGAATACCTTAATATCAAATACTAAAAGAACTTTGATTTTACACCAAAAACTATGTGCAGCCTTTTTGACGCTTTTTGTGTTTCTATTTTAAATTATTCTGCTGAAGTATGGGGTTATACAAAATGTCAAGAAATGGAGAGAATACATCTTAAATTTTGCAAACATATTCTAAATGTTAAATTGTCCACTAGTAATGTTGGTGTATACGGTGAACTTGCACGTTTTCCTTTATATATTAATCGCTATATCAGAATTATTAAATTCTGGCTTAAAATTTTGAATACGAAAATTGCGTAATTAGAAAAATTTATGATTTGATGCTGGAAGATGAAAAAGGTAAACTGGGCTCATAACGTTAAGAAATTATTATATAGCTATGGATTCGGCTATATTTGGGAATCACCACAAAAATGTTGACATTAACTGTTTCATTACATGTTTTAGGCAGCGTTTAATAGATACTTTTGTGCAAGAACTGGAATAGTAGTTTGACTAACAATAGTGTTTTGTTTGTGTATAAGAATGTTAAACAAGACTTTGTGTATGAGGATTACCTGAGTGTTGTTAAATCAAAAAAGTGTAGACAAGTTTTAACAAAGTTTAGACTCTCTTCACATAAACTACTTATTGAGTCCGGTAGATACGGACAAAATAGGATAGAAAGGAGCGAGAGAGTTTGCGAAGTATGTGGATCAAATGACATTGAAGATGAATATCATTTTATTTTAACATGTACAAAGTATAAAAGTGTAAGAAAACGATATATAGACAATTATTTTTACGAACGTCCTAGTGTGTTTAAACTCACTCAGTTGTTTAAATCAAAGAATGTACACACTTTGAACAATCTAGCTTGCTATCTGAATTGTGCATTGAAAATAAGGAGTAATTTGTTAACATAGTCTCATTGTATAAATTATTTGAGTCTGTAATAGTATTATATTCCAAAGAAGTACTATAGTTTATTGCCTTTGTTTCAATATGATATTGCTCTAGAAATACTTAGTACTTCTCTTGCCGGGATAACAATTGTTCGATATCTTAAGAAAATAATTTAATTGTAATCCGACTTTGTATAAATAACCATTATATTATATCACTCTCATGATAAATAATTATGTACTGATGTGTATATATATTTATATAAGAATATTCAAGCTTTTGTAATGTTTATGTGATACCTTGGTATATACTGTATTTCTGTTAAGATGAGGAGCATATGCTCAAGTCTGAAAATAATAAAATATTTGTTCTGTTGTTGATCTGTCTTCATAATCACAACTTTTCAATTATACAAATGGAGCATCTGGGTTACATTTTAATCTTGCATTTAAAAAGACATAACTCCTACTCAAGAAAACTAAATGCCTTGCATTTAAATTTGAGCTTTAATAAAATGAGTAAAAGTATTTAATAAACTGGGACAAATATCAATCAAAGCACAGAAGGCGCTGAATTTGTATGGGTCTCAGAATGTCAGAAAGGTGAAGGTTATGAGATTATAAACCAATTTGTTTCTGTATAGCGCCACCAATGCTGTTTCCAGTGTTATGAATGAAGTAACTTGGCTATAATACTTATTGTAACACTGATTTTCAATTCAATGTTAATTGGCTTAAACAATTTAAAACAAAATCAGGAAAAAAAGTTGCTTTTACTGGGATTTGAACTCCAGACCTCTCGCATACTTAGCGAGCGTGTAAACTCCTCGATCACGGGAAAATTGAAAGATAAGAGGCTGAAGAAAACCACATTATTCTAAATTAGGGTTTGTAACCCTTATTCATTTCGAAATATTTTGTTCACGGTAAACCTGTTTTTAGCACTGATGTAAATAATCATGGAGCTTAATATAAGATAAGCATGTATGTCTATAAAGAATAACACAATATTAGAAACCTTCGACCAATCGGAAACTATTTTTTTCTTCCCCGAGTAGGCTTGAATATTAATGAGCCTGTCATTTGACAATCTTTACGCTGTGATCTCCCTTTAAATTTTTCGAAGTTAGTGTACATATAAAGGGAAGTAACCGCTTCGAGGAGTTTGGACTACTTTCGGTTTTTGCAAATAAGCACATCTGGGTCTGAAAAATTATTATTTCAAAATTTAAATAACTCATTCTCCCGTAAGTCATGAATTTCTCAACTTTATGAATGTATTTACATAGAAACAATTTAGATAACTTCTGTATCAGACAAATCGTGTCCAAAAAGTAAAGTCTAGTCAAAATTTATGTTATGTGTTAGTCAAATTGATTTCCTTATTATATAATTTTATGTTTCTATGTTTTGTTAATTACTTTTGATTAACTGTTCATTATATTGTTGATATATCATAACCTTATGCATATTATATGCCTTGGTATTGAATAAATCTTGAATCTTGAATCTTTGAATCTTGAATCTTGAAATTTCGCTACCATTATTTGTTTGGTCTGACGACCCAAACAAATAAAAAAATGGAAACTTGGTAATAAAATGTCAAATATTGTTAATCGGATCTAACATTTGTTTATTTCGATCTGTACAATTCCACAATCACTATGTAAACAAGACATGACAATATATTCAGACTCAATCTGTAAAATTTATGAGACATTAAAACAATTTAAGAATATGTGGTACATTGTAATTTATTCATATACATTGTAAATGTATCTTGTTTTTATGTTACTATTTTGCTCTGTCTCAATTATCCTGTATAAACAGGCTTGAAGTAGATCACTTAATGAAACTTATACTTAAGTGTTATTCAATTAGTAACCTTTTTTAGAAGGATTTTCTGAAGTGCTAAGAGAAACAGTGCCAAACTCCAATTAAATGTCCGTCGTAATTCTATGGCAACACTGCTACAAGTCACCCTCATCTGACGTATTAACGTTTTTTTCAATTTGCTGAATGTGATTTTTTGTGAATAATTCAATGCCAATAAGTGTTAATTAATTTAATCAACAAATGTTTAAACATGTATACATGTATATATACAATGTACATGTATATGGTAAACGAAATCTTTGTAATGTATGGAGGGGGGTGCCCTCGTGCCCTACATACCGGTACCTATGACGAGGGGAATTAAGATATCTTTAAAAAATGTTTTTAAATGTTTGTAAATTTCGTTGTTATAATCGGAGTATGTATATATACGAGTATGTTCAACCATATTACATTTACAATCACATCTTATAACACAGTACATAATAGTAATCTAACAAAATAAACACATACATAATATAATACAATTGAAGATATGATATGTTTCTGTACCAGAGATGAAATATGCGCCAGTCGTTCCCGAAGAAAAAAAATGAAACTTCTTTTCCGAACCCTGCCTCTTGTTTAGTATTACCCCGCCCCTTGTTAAGTATAACCACACCCCTTGTTTAGTATAAGAGTACTTAGTATTGATACTAATATTGATACTAATATTAAGATTATTAATTTTCATTTTGTATTTAAAGGTTAATTAAGATCTGACAACTAAAACAAATACATTTATTTTTCTGTTGTCCTCACATGACAGGATAACTGGATTTATACATTAATAGGTCTACTTGTATTTTTATCTCAACATTTTAAAAATATCAGTTGATTAGTTAACTGATACTATACAGAACATTGTTGTAAGTGTAGGTTTCTCGAACCGATTTACACTGCAGAAAGTGCGATAATTTTTGGTAGGTCATCCCTTGCCGTTCTCACGAGAAAAATCTGACAGTCCATTCAGCTTCTTCATCTGTTCCGGCACGTGCAGCTCACCATGATCCGATCTGTATCCCGTTCCCTCTAAAGTCACGTTTTCCCAATCAGGCCAAAAACGCTCTTTCATCCTATTTATGTAGTCCACTAAATTTGACAAATTTTCTGGAAAGAAGAAAAATGTTGTAAAAAATATATCGTGAGCCTCGCGCAAAATGGTCCTTAAGTTTTGTTTTACTTTCTTTCTACTAACATTATGGCGTTCCCGTTGCAACGGAAAAAATAAATAATACTTAGCGCATGCGTGTTCTGTGTAGGGACGAAAGCGAGTTCGAATCATATACGCAATTTTATAACAAACAACTTAAAAGCTATTTGAAAAAAAAATCAGTGTCGAGTGGAACATCATTTCTTTATGTTGCTTTTGAACTTGCACATTACATATACATGTATAGAATTTGTGATACAAGTACACTTTTTGACAATTTTGTTCACTAAAATGTTACGGTAATGGAAAATTTGTACAAATAAAATGAAATAAACAAGAGCCAAAGCAGAAAGTTATGTTTGATTGGAATTGGCAAATATTTGGAATTATTTTTCATTCGCCTTTGATTGTTTCGTTAAGGGCGTTTTGAGATTTATGACAGTTTTCCTGGTGCCGGTAATGATAGTTAACGGCGCGTTTTGCGAAGTAGTTAGGACAGGCTTATGATAATCACCAGCTTTACAACATAATATCCTCCTTGCACTACATCATTGAGTTTGTAAGATCATTTAAATAAGTAAAAACCACTAAAATCGTTTTTCTGTATATTTAATTTTATCACCTTTTATGAGTTTCAACATGCATTCATAGGATATATCGTTGTTAAATATTTGGTTCGTTTTGCTGGTAAGTCTGTGGCGATAAATTAAAAACAACTGTCCAATACCTTACCTTTAAGATAGACCTGGTGTCTAGACCCCGGCATGTGCCAGTATATTTGAGCTATCATACCAAACACTGCGCAGTCCACTTCTGACGGTTCGTCGCCCATCAAAAACTTCTTGCTACCTGAAATAAATGAACCACAAAGTATATAGATGTACATGTTAAGTATAAAAATAATCATGTAACAAAAGACAGAAAAGAAATGAAACACAATGAATTACAGTATACATCTATTCAAGAAATTATTTACATAAAAACCGTCATTTGTTTATTTATTCAAGCAAATATCTAGACGAAAGAAAAGAAATCCGTGCTGCATTTGCACCAAAGCTTCCTTCAAGGACCCCTATACAAACTTTTTCCATTGGCATACATTTTTTCATCTTCAGTGGTTCTCATCTTATTTCGCACACAGACACCAAGGGCAAATATATCAATAAACTTTTTTAAGATCAGAGAAAAATAGGATCCCAAAAGAACATCCAAAACGACAATATTGGAAATGTTGTCGGTTCATGGCAAGCTAACGTCTAAGACCACCACCTTCCCAGCATCGGCTTGAGCAGAATTCAACATCAAAACACATTTAGATCTAGTACCAACCGCAGATGTGTTCATATGGAGGTTATCATGGAACCTACACTGTGACTTGTTAGTGCCATTCCATAAAAAGCCGCGTATGGTCCCCAAGGTAAAAGAATGCGTGAAAACAATGAACGAAGCTAAATAACACGGACTTTTGAAATAATTAGAGGTTTTGAAGTCTGCATATCACAGATATGACAACAAAGGGAAAGTAGGCAACATATCCTTAGTTCAAAGTAAGATACTGTAACCACCCAGCTAGAAAAAGATCAAACAGAAAGAACTGAAAGTATCAAAAACATGCATACACAACAAAAATGTCGCGCTCAACGATATTCGTGGATCTAAAATATGACAAAGCTTTTAAATATCAATGCTGGAGTCCCTCAGAAGTCTATCTTAGGCCCTTTGGATTTTCTTATATTCATTTATCACTAATTTTCAAGCAAATGTTCGGACTATATGCTGACGACACCAGCCTCTATACAAATGTCGAAGATCCATATTTCTCTGCATCAAACTTTAAAAATGTCATTTGGTTCGGAAATTACGATTGTCTCATTTAATCCTTCAAGCCTTTGAAAATAAAAAGTGTTTTAAGTGTTTTGTTCTCAATAAAACGAAAGAATGGTGCATATCCTTGTCGTTGACATTTGTAATGCTCATGAGCACAGACACTCAGAATAATGATAAATGGGTGTTTGCATGGAATTGCTACATGTCAAATACACATGACTGCTTTAATGTTTTTACTATATTAACTGACCTCAATGGTTGGCCAATTTTGACCCCAGTGGCATGAATATAGTTTTATAGGGGACCACAAGGTGATGCTACATACCAAATGACCGTATGTTGTATCTTCGTAGGATTTTTAAGACATGTTAACTAAATGCCTTTGTAGAGAAAGGAGATTCCGTTCTAATCTTCCTCTTGAATACAAAATGTATGATTTGTATTGTAAATGTATATGCATGTTTTCATATGTTTGTAATATATTGTAATTTCGCATAAAAAGACTCATATGCCTTTTTGAATACAATTCATACAACTTAAGTTACCTTTGAGATAGGCCAGTTCTGACGTACCAAGGGACATGATTTATACAATTTTTATAGAGAACTACAAAATGATGGTACAATGTATATACAAAACATTTAAGCTATGGGTAATGTCGTTTAAGAGAGAAAGACTTTCACTCAAGATATGTTCACTGTTTACACAAATCTATATAGTCGCTGATATGTTCACTGTTTACACAAGTCTATAGAGTCGCCACCTCATCGTCCATGGTAAGTGTCTCTACTATAGAATAAGATCAAGACACAACACCCGTTTACTATTGGCAGTAGGTAAAATGCACGTCTCAAACTTGAAAGCTATTCACTAAATTTTATATTACACAAAAGAAGTTTAACTGTCTTCTTTAAGTATAAGAGTTGCTATTGAAATTGTCTCTCTTTCTTCTCTGTTGTATTAGATAAGGACTTTTTATCGACCTTTTATTATCATGTCGATTTTGTTTTTCTCTGGCAATAATTAACACTGCATGCCATATTGCTTGAAAATTGTAACGTTTCAATGATGATATTTAAATGATTTGTTATAAAACCATGCTATGTACACAATGTACATTTCGCACTTATTGATGAACATATATTATTGCAGTACTAAATAATGATTTAGAAGCCTATATATATAGTTGTTCAAGATTATGCAACTTTCTTCCATCTGTTGATGTAATAATAGAATTAACTTTTAATGGTTATCATAATATTTACATACAAATATAACATTTGCATAAATATAGCGATTTATTTCACCTAGAATAATGTGTTTATGTTCCACAGCTCAAATTCAAAAAAAAATGACAGTAAAAACTGCTGTATATTTTTAATGGATTAACGGACCACAGTCAGAATCTTCTCAACTGTTTGCTTACTTCGAGCCTTCATTTTATATATGAATACTTATTCAACGTCACTACTCCTTTATTTTTGACGACTTTCATAATGTGTCCTGGGGCATATTGTCTGTATGTGCGATATCATCATTTGGCAGAATTATGACCCTTTTTTCCACATATGTTATATACTGGCGAAAAACCTGGTTTTGTGACAATTCATGGTCACTTGCTATAGGTAACCTATAGATCTGTCAAAATACACACAGTTTCCCCACTGCTTCTCGAACGTTAATATAAATCTCAAAAGAAGTACTGATGTTTTAAAAAATAAATATTCAACATGTATTTAATCAATTAAAAGAAATGAGAATTCCTTATTTCTCACTAGCTAAGTTTATTTGATCACTTTATATTGTATCGTAATAATATCAACATAGAAATAAGACGTTAATTTCGTGAAATACATAGCTGCCGCATTGTATAGCACTTATATGTAGTTATCACTTGCAAGCATATATGGAAAAATCACGATGATCTATCAAAGTAATTATAATACATGTTAAAATATAGAGGTTAATATGAATGATTCATGCCTAATATCAATGTTCTATGCTGGTTTGGAGATTTTTCCGGTTTTCACTATTTATATTTGTTTACAACTGTGACCCTAGAAAAAGAGAGCCATGAAAGCCCTATATCGCTCACCAGACAATAAACAGTGTTAAGGGGCAGCTTATTGTGGCACAGACATCAGGACAGCATGCAAGTCAATTGATATCAAAGTTCAAAGCTCCGTCTGAACTTGTGCACAGTCCAATTTTCAATTTCCTAAAATATCTAGGTCAGTAAGGTCACTAGGTCAAAATCTAAGTAATTTGATATCAAACATTTACTAGTATAATATTGGCATAATTAGCTTCGGATAGAGTCTTAAGTTCAACGATGTAGCTCTTAAAAGAAGAAAGTAGGTCTATGTCAACCGATACCAAAGTTTACTTCTGTATCTGAAATTGTGGACAAAGTCCAAATTCCATATATGAAATTTTATCCAATATTGACTCCAGGGCTATAATCTGAATAAACTTGGTTGAAGTTTACTAGAAAATGTTAAATGCCAAAAATCTTAAGTCTCTAGCCTATGTGGTTTTAAAGGAGAGGATTGTTAATGTTTTGCAAGAAACATACAAAGACTAAAACACGTTCCCGGTGCGGGTCCATTTTGATTCCAAAGCTGTAAATAGAACACTCTTGTAGACAATGGCTCGTGGAAAATATCTGAACCCTAGGCCTTGTGGTTTTTGAGAAAACGATTTTTTTAAGCTTTATTCTATTTTGTTTTTTCGTTTTTCAATTGGTTGCGATAAAAAACAGATTTCCTCATTGCATTTATTCTTTGAACAACTATGGTAATCCTTCACCCTAGGAAAAAATCTGCCAAGTTTGGTTGAAATTGAAAGTGTGTTTCTTTGTAAAATGGTTTTAGAAGTTTGTTTTATAATCCATATTACAGACGCAGAAAATAGTTGTATGCCACCACATCGCAAAAGGTGCGGTAGCATATAACTGAGAAAAACTGTTGCTATCACAACCATGCTTCATTGTTGTAAATAGTTTTTTTTTTCAATTACAGCTTGTAACTTAAACAGTATTAAGTATTCTATATCGTAAGCAGGTGTATACTTGAAAACTAATCTGTCATATAGTGAATCATTAAAAATATTTTTACGAGAGTAAATGACTTATTATTGAAACGAGGGCAAGTATTTTTGTTTCACACAACTTGCTGTTCATGTTCGATTTTTCAATCGAATAAATTATTTTAAAGTTTTATCATTATTGATTTCGTCTACCTAATGACAACAGACTATGCTATTCTGGGATGCGTTTCATACAAAGTCCTAAGTCTGAACCAAAACTGAGACAATTTTGCGTTTCAAAGAAAATGTTACGACTCCTATTAATGTCTCAATACTGATGGGCATGAACACATTATCAGGGTCTGTCATTGGATTCCGTAACTTGCTCAGCAGAATATACATTTATTTATAGTCTAAAGTATTTGACTGAAGATAAAAATGTTTAAGTTAGTTCTTAAATTGTTTTTTATGTCCTTAGACTAAGGATAAACTTAGGACTTTCTATGAAACGCAGAGCCCTGATATTTTCACGAATATCACTGCGAACAAATGACGGAGTAGTAACCCCTGAAATTAGCATTGGACGGTGACTTAAATCATATTACACGTAATAAGCACAAGGTGTATTTCAGACTTTTGTTTTTTAGCTTTGGTCATGAATAGATAGATATACCTACCTAAAAAACTTGAAAGGGCATTCATATCCTGCATTGCTACATCCCATACTTCATCTTTTGAATGCCGACCGATACCGTGTCCCCAAGTCTGTTTAGCCAATGCTCTGCGCAGCAATGTCACGGTCAGCCAGAGTTTAAACCCTCTGTATGGTATCACGGTTTTCACGGGTTCAAGATTATCACCAAACATCTCTATACACATAGTCCTTGAATGTAAGAAATGAGTTGACTCAAAATTGTAGAAAAATGGAACTAAAATGGCGATGGGATTTTATCAAAGTACTGAAGTACAAAAGAATTGTCTCGTTTTAGGAACTTATGAGTAGGTTTCTATTTGACAACGATGTACACATAAATAATGTAACTAAAACAGCATGTAGTATATAACTGCGAATAAATGAGAGGGAAGAAGAGGACCAACCAATTATTGAATGTGCTAGCTTCGTAAAATAACCCATCCGGGTTATCAAAGTCAGTTAAAATAAATGAGGAGAAAATTGTCTGGGAGTGGAATGGTCTAGTGTTCTCGCAAAATATTGTTCTAACTATACAACAAGAGACACAGTTGACCTTTATCACTGACACTTATATTTTCAAAAATATTTTTCCGAAATAATACCGTCATAAATCTGCTGACGAACCACAAGTCCCTGTGATGACGTGCAAAAGGGTTTCGTGTTTCAAACCTATCTCTTTTTACCCAGCAGATTTAATTTGGCAATCAACTATACAGTAACTTTGCACCGGTACTTTAACTACATGTCTAAAATTTGTTATTAAAACAGTAACATACCAATACAGGTTTTCTTCAGTTAGTTTTAAGAACGCTCTCGCTACAGCCTTGTCATCCTCAGACAAGTTGATGTTTGAATCCACTCCAAACTTTTTCTTTATAAACTCGATGGCAAACTGACTATCAGGGATGGCCTGACCATTCACCTCAATCCAAGGAGTCTTTCCTTTACTCGAGAAACGTGCCGCGTGGTCATTCTAGCAGTCAAAAAAAGTAAAATTACTTTCAAACAAGTTGTGTCAATTTTACTCTTTTTTTTATTATAGTACAATCATGTAATTGAGACAAAGAATAAATGTAACATAGCACTCTTATTCTAATAAAATAAACAATATCTTCAAAAAAACAAAGAAATACATTATACAGCGCCTTTTCTAAAGTATCCGATTGCTAAAGCCATCTGATCCAATTAATTGCTGGTATGTAAATGATTAAAATCATGTTTGGTTAAATTGGTGTAATAGATACGACATATAGTATTATAATAAATGATCTTTATATGTAGGTATAACAGACGCACTATGTACGGTATTTTTGCCATCCGAAGAAAAGTTTCTAGCTTCATCGGAAATGGTGAGAAACTTGGTGCACGCGGTCCCCGACCAACCTGGTACAGAACCACAACATCTTTCGGGGCTTGAATCTTGTTTGCTATTCTGAAATTAAGTTGATTATATGCGCTGGATACACGACATAAAAGAGCTCTATAATCTTAAATCTAATACGTAATATGAAACATAATTATGGCTGATGCAACTCTTGTTCTTGATTCTAAAGACAAGTAGTCATGCATCACCGTGACCTTGGCCTCAAAATATATGACCTCAAAAACAATAGTGGTTACCTTGTATTCATAAATAAATAACTTCCACACCAAATCTATTCACTAGTATTCTCTAGTTATATTTACATAAATGCTAACAATATAAGCATCACATGTGTCTTTGTCATAAGCTATTATCATACCAAATATGTAAAATGTAGAAATTACCGTTAAAAAAATCTAAATTATAACATAAAGCCTTATCATATAGTCGCGAAAAGGCAGGCGGAAGATCAAGGTCAAATCATTCGAATACTGGGTTTAAAAAGAAACACGCCTAAGATAATGTTATTCAAGCAAGCCCGCATACTAGTAGCTCTGTCGGATTGAGCGCTAGACTTATAATCTCTACATTGTGGGTTCGATTCTCGGGCTGGCCAACCAGTCTTTCGGATAAAACTTAAAATCGAAGTCCCATGTATCGTTGCTTAAACACTTGGCACACTAAAGAACCAGGGAAAGCTTCTGAAAATGGGCATCTTTCTGTATCTGTATTTTTGGACTATCCTGTAAAATCAAAAATGACTAAATAAATACTCTTCTGGAAGACTCGTCCATATGTGGTGGCGAGTATAAATAAACTCAAATACACACAATAATGCTGTCGATACCACCTTTAAGGCATATATGAGACAGTCGGCAAGGGCGCAAATAGTGTGGGCCTTATGGTAAACTTCGGCGCCCTGCATAAAAAAACATTAAAGAACAAAAAAAAAACAACGCCGAAACTTAAAATGTATATAACACCTATATGCTGGTACTTATAGACATTCGTGGAGCTTTAACTGATTATAATACTAATCATTTACACATATGTATAACTTTGTTTCTCTTTCTCATTCGTTGCTATGGAAAATCGTATTGTAAAAAGGTCTATACGTGGAAATTATTATTTATAACGATATTTCTTTTCTATTGTAACATAATTATATTTGTTGAAGAAATGAAGTCGCATACATGTCCAAATAGGGTGGATAGTAAATAAACGGATTTTGTATAAAGTTCTCGTCCGTTGACAACAACGCTTTAAATGAATTCTTTATTAAATTTTCTTGGTGTTTACACAGTTAAAAGGACATTGACCGTGACTATATGCAGGTTAACTGACCAAACTGTTGTCTTGTGACCTGAACTTTGCATTTAGACATATTTAACCTTTTCTGTTTCCATTGAAAAAAACTGACTGATAAAAACACAGTGGAAAGGGGCGGGTGAATAGCGATTCACTAAACATTGCAGTCACAGTTGCCACATATTTCATAAGTGTCTTGCTGTTTTGTCAATAATATGCTTTTCTATCCATATTGTTACATTATATAATTGTTTTATACATGTATATATATAAGGAACGTGATAATAGGATTGGTAAAAACGGAAATTGTTATGTACTGTATGTTTTTCACAAGCTGGTCAATGATTACGAGAACTGTCGAGCATTTATTACATATTTAGCCCAGACTTAAGGATTTTTTAAATACATGTACATGCATTTGGTTTCGTCACACATACAAATCTTTTAAATCATGTAACATTTTGTTTTATTTAAAACTTTCTTTCTAAATGACATTTAAAAAAGTCAGTCAGCTAAGCCGGCCGGCTTACAGCAATTTATCGAAATATGACAATATTTAAAAGAAAAAAAATCCGTCTATTAATTAAGGTTTTTGCTCGAAGTATTACGTTACAGAGTAAAACGTTTTCCCTGCCTAACCTGATAGAAAATGGTCTGCTGTAAAGGAAAATATTGGTAAAAATGATTCCAAAATTGGTAGATTTTTCCATACATAGAAAATACCAAATATCGATGCAACCAGAGATGTAGATATAACATGTTAATTATCTATGTCTCTGATGCAACCTAGTTTTACTATCGCAAAATGTCAATATCCGTACCACTTTTTTACTGTTTGACATAAAACGTGTACAATGATGTGACTGCTGTAGTATACAAAATAATTTTGAAAAAAAAAAAAGAAAAAAAAAAAAGAATGATTGCAATATGATAACCCTACTTAAAATAGCAGCATGATATGTCGATATATTCTGTTTACGAACAGTGTTCATTTGTATTACATTTCAGAGCCATTCTATAAGAGAATCGACTATTATAAGACTTATGGAAATACTATTTCATACTTTAGCCAATCTTCCACTGCCCAAAAATATAACATACATTTCATACCTGTATTTATAGTAATAAAATCCAAAAGTAGCTAAAGCAAGAATAACACAAACAACTGCGATTGTAAAGAACATATTTTTTGGGTTTCATTCAATTAAAGAGCGCAATTTAACTTAATTCAATATTCACGTGTATGTTTTAGTAATGAATTGTGGGAAAGAAGGCGGAGCGTACACAGCAATCAAAACAGGATATGGTTTAGACCAGACGATTTAATTGGCAGGGGTCTCATTATGAAAAAATTCATACCACCTTTAAATCAAATTACCCGTTGTAATCAATTTGTAACCATCATTAAAAATAAACAATTGAAATAAAATTTAGTTATCACATTATTGCCTGTATGAATGACAGTTATTAAAAAGCCAATAATAGAGGTGTACAACCTTTGTTACAATGGACTATTCCATTCAATTTGCACACATTTTCGTGAGAGTGGAAAGGTAAAACAGTGGAAAAGATGAGCTAAACACTTATTAGAGATATTTTGAGAAACTTCTGTGATGTGCTTGAATATATTTATTTTTATGTGATTCTTTAACTGGATACGACTTGTTAAAATGGGTAAATATATTATTTTTAACACTTGTAGCGCTTACCGGCGAATCGGATGCTAAATTCCGAAGTAGGTCACGGCAACTTCCGGATATATCAGTATAAACAACACATTTCATTTTCTATAAATCATATTAAGCTAATAGTCTTTCAAAAATCCAAGTCCTGTTTTAAAAAAGGGTGTCAGTGGACATGCATTTTAGAGTACCCTGTCAGTTGATGTTGGAAATGAATTCAAGATGGCGCCCATTGATGCTGGGAGTATAAAAGATAGAATTCCACGAATTCTTGGTTATCATTAATTTTTTTGATCCATGATATAGAAATGAAATTTGTATTGCCTTTGAAAAAGTACGTTTTAAATAGTATTAGAATATCAGGTATGTGAATCTTAATTACAAATCATGAAAGAAATAAACACTGATAAAAATATTTATCATTAGAGTCAAAACTATGTTTATCTAAGATTAGTCAATTAAGATAAAGACCCTATAGTAGCAATTTGATGTTTGATTTTGTTTGTTACTCATGTCATTTTCACAGTGCTGGTATACACTATATTTTATAATAATCCAAATGTACATGGTGAAGAAATTTGCCAGATACATTCAATTTACTTTTATGTTTAAGAAAAAATAGTTGTTTTCTGTATGAAGGAATATCTGACAAGATTTTGACATTTATAAACAAAAAAGGTGTTGACTCTGTGACAAGGACAAAGTTAGGGAACCTGACAATAGTTGATGATACAACTTCTTCATGATTTTGTTTTAATATCTTGAAAAAACTTAAGGGATTCATTTTTGTAAAAGAACAAAAACATTTTAAATAGTGGTTTACCAAGTGTAGATAATATGTGATTACAGTATCTTTGGAAGAATTCTTTTAATATACGGCCTTGTATTAAAAACTTGCTTATAAATGCTAACTTAGAGATTTTAAAATTACTGTATAATCATTAACATTTTTAATATTATAAGTAGGTGAACTTCTCTTTAAGATAAGTGCTATGTACTCCTGTTAATACTCATTTTTATTTTGTAATAACATTAATGTTGTATTGGATTTACTTTGCTTACTTTTAACACTCAGTAGTAAGATGTCCACTAGCACTGGCATTGATGAGTAACTGTATGCTAACTATGATATATAAATGTAACCTGTGTATCGTTTTCTGTTTATCACTGGTATATTGTATCCTCCATGTTATGTTGTATTTGGTTGGTATTCGCCTAACTGTTGTGTCGTCGTTTGTTTGCCTAACTGTGGTAATGTTTTGTATAGTCTGTTTCGTATGAGAGGTCACTGTAAGTTGAAAGGTTGTATGAATGTGTTCACTAATATTTCACGTGCATGACCCTAAAATCCCCGCGAAACATTTTCTTGCTTAAGTAAAATATTTCCCTTCGCCAGTTCCGCATTATACGAGTAACTGATAACTTACTTTACAGTATAGTTGTTGATAAAAGTAGTTACTTATTATAGTAAACTTGAACATCATTTATGGAAAGTTCTTGTATGCTGATCCTGGTAAGAATTTATATGTTTCTAATGTCATATTTATTCTTTTCCATTGATGAATTGGATGAAATGTGTAATTTTATTATTTTGTAAATCAATTATTTGTAATTCCTTTGTATTTTGTTTGTAGGCTCGTTTTTGTATGTCCGACAATAAAATGATGAAATAGAAGCAAGTCTTCAATCATTTATCCCCGGTTACATAAATAAATTTATGATTTTGACTAATTTTATCATGTGGTGGTCAGGTTAACGTCTTCCCAGAATATTACTATGTATCATTGATTACAGATAAGATAATTTATAGTGAGTGTTTGTTTTAGTTCATTACAGTCATTTCTATCTACAATCAAGCTGTGAACATATGGTTCTGATAAGAATGTACTCTATTTCTAGGATGCTGAAAAAGATGCATGCAATATGTAGACTTCCAGCCCTCTAACCTGTACCTTCTACCCTTTATAAATAAATCATATAAGGCTGTGTATGATAAAGGTGTGTGTATACATACACAATACAGCAGAGTATTCATACATGTGTTTTTATGTGTTACTTCAGTCACCTTATTATGATGGGTAAATAATTGTCAAGTCAATCAAAGAATTGTATGTCATTGACATGCATAACTCATATTATAAATGTCAGCATGTCACTGTGTTTGCATATATTTGGTTGTTGTTGGTATTATAAACTAGTCAGGGCATATATATACTACTAGTTTGATATTTGTTCAGTCACTTGTAAAGTGTGTCAAGAAATTTCTGGTAATATGATAAAAGTTTGAACTATTTCCCTTACATTAAAAGGACTGACAGTCTTGAGCAAGTATAATAATGGCAGTCTGATTTTTGTTATGCATTCTTTTGTTTTTCATCTCCTGTTTCTAGTTTATACAGTGCTTACTGTTGTTATGAGCCTAGATACAGCGTTTACTGCAGTTCTAGATGTATTATTAATAGTGTAAATTTATTGATTTATTTAAAAACATAAGTCTATTATGCAATTTAAATGCTGAACTTTTTAGTTAAAAGAGCACTAGTAATTACTTTATCTTTAGTATATCATGTATTGTAATATAAATGTGTTATAAAAATTTACTAGAGTATAGCTAGAGTATAGTTAAACGCATTTTATATCCAGTTTTATTGTCTATTAAGTGTACCATTGTAATGGGAAACCTCAGTATGATCAGTAATAAATGTAATTCATATTTAATGGGAATTGATCTCCTGGGAACTCTTTAATTACACTGTTTTATTTTTTTATGCATTATTACATATAAATGAGTCTGTCTTCGGTAGTATTTTTTGTAGTATAATAGTTAATACTTAGTTTATTGTACAGGCTGGAATTTCTGACTGTTCCATACAAATTACAGCATCTTTATAGTACTAACTTTGGTGATATAATTTGTAACATGTCTTCATTGAATTGACTATTTTATTAACTTTTTTCTGCTTACTGTGGTGAATATAATTCTTCTTTGAATTAACTATTTTTGCATAATTGCACACATGTTTATGTACCATAAATTGTAAAATATCAAGTAGAATTCAAACAATTATATAAAGTTAGCAAATATTTTATATATAAAGAAAAACAATTGATTAAATAGTACATCTTAAATATTTTTCTATATGAATGAGCTTTAGAAGTATTAGTACAATATAAAAACAAACCAATGCAGACTTCATTTTTTATTACTTTAATATGATTAAATAATAGGTACTAGTAGCGAATCTGAGAATACTCTATCATTTTGAGAAATGTTTTATAGCTCCAGTGTCAAATTTACTGACAATAATTATGAATGTTTCAGTGGCAGCCAAGGACCTATTTGGTATACCTATATTTTACCTACAATTCATTATGACTATAATCGACATAAAGGATCTTTCAATAACACTCCATGGTTTACCTACAATTCATTATGACTATAAACGACATAAAGGATCTTTCAATAACACTCCATGGTTTACCTACAATTCATTATGACTATAAACTACATAAAGGATCTTTCAATAACACTCCATGGTTAACCTACAATTCATTATGACTATAAACGACATAAAGGAACTTTCTATAACACTATATGGCATAACAGGGTAACAAGATCAAGCTTTATAAGTTTAAATCCTGATGTTTAACAGAACCTGTCAAGCCATTAATTTGGTGGTGTTTTTTTTATCTATTTTAAGTAAGAAATCATATATATCCATCTTATCTTGCAAAAAAACAGCTGATCAGCTGAGTTTAATAAATCTCCCAGTTATTTCTACCATTCATCATTCCAGTAGACAGACTGCTGCACCATGTAATGAATGCATATTGATTATTAACTTATAATTGTAAAGTGCAGACTGGTGCCACAGTCTGTTAGAGTGGTATTATGACAGTATGGATTTTGGAGTGCTATTACTGGGATGTGTGTTTATATAATGCACAGTCTGTACCTAAGAATGATATTATTAAATGGTAGAATAATATATAAGACCAGCATAGATGAATTGCAATTCATATCTTAAATGTATGATATCAAGATTTTTTTTTTTGTTAAGCTTTGGCAATGTCCAAGTGATTTGATTTTGTGATTTCTATATAGTGAAGAAAGTCCTGTGTTAACAAATGTAGTAAGACTCAAATAACCAAAGATGCCTTTAATGGTTGCCTTGCAAAATAAATATAATTATATTAAATGTAAAGAAAAGAAAAAGAAGGAAAAATAGTGTCATGCTGTATTACTATTAGTCTTGTTTGAATCAAAACTTCTGCTGAATTTCATACAAAGTATTTAATGGTGACATCAGTGATGTAACTTTCATGCTTGTACAAACTGGTATCTCACAGAGCATTATCAAAGTATTATATAAAATGAAAATTAAAAATAAGGTAAATTAGATAAGTTATGCATGTAATACCATTCATTGTGACATTGATGCTCCGAGTTTGATATCAAAACCATTATCTTTCCAATTTATGTATATCTTTTGAAATATACTTACAGATATATTTTTTATTTACAACCATTCTTTTAATCATTGAACCACATTCTTACGGGCCAACTCTTTTTTCATTGATAAGGACTTGATTTGACGTTTAGTAAACAATGGTTTTATAAATAGTTGTACCTATCAGAATGGGTAAAATTGTTCAATAGGTACCGTTTCAAATTAAATGGCCTTCCCGATTTAAATAAGGTTTAAAGGTTTCAATTCCAGAGTTGTAAAGTTTCTTTAATACCCTTGAGTAGAGTCATTATTCCTTGTTTTACCATAGCTAGGATTTAAAGTTATTTTGACTGTAAAAATATGCAGAAATAAACCGAACTGAAATTGGATTTTCATTCTAGCTCTGTACAAATATTTGAATGGGAAATAATTAAACATTGCATTGGAATTGATTATCGCCTCTGGCTTTGGATTTCCTTATTTATTCAGGTACAGGTTTTTTGTTGAAATTAGATTGAGAATCAAAACATGATTTCCCTAGTTATGTTTTAGTCCATACAATGTAGCAGTGTATACAAACTTGTGTAACTGTTTCATGCTGAATCTACTGCTGCATCTACAATGTACCTTTCTGTACTGTTATTCATAATGAAAAAGGGAAAAAGAATATATTTTCATGGTATTAAATATGTTTATAGTTTGATTTTAAGACTGTTAAGATCATACACTATTCTGTAAGGATACAGTGAATGGTGGAGGAAGACCCTGGATGCCCCACCGTGCATTATTCCAGTCATAAATCATGAGCAAGCATGTGACTAGAACCAAGAAAAATCTCTTTGATTACAGGAATATTTTAATGTTACAATTTGTTACAAAATTGACTTGAACTGTATTATCATTGGGCATAATCTGAGCTACATCCTATTTTGTGAATAAATCAGATGTTCTAGGTAAGCAATATATGAGTCATCGTAATTGTACAGTGTAAACTTATATAATATCACTTCATAACAAGGCAAATTTAAATTTTTCCAAGGACATTATAAGTGTACCCATGTAGATGACTTTATAATCATATCTACATGCACATATATATAATATTTATTGGCCTTGAGTTTGTTTCTTAGGTCATGCAGCCCTGGTTATATATATTGTTTTGTATTGCTGGTTACCAGTATATCTCTGGCTTTTAAATCTGAAAATAGAGTTCCCAACATGGAAAGTGCTCACTTTTGTTTTAATATTTTTACCAGTTTAAAAAAAAACTGTTTTCCAATGTTAAGTAAATTAAATGATAGCTTTTATAATGCTTTGTTATAACTTACACAATGTAGACACATGTATAATCTCTATATATTACACCAGACTATAGTCTTTCAATTATTGTAGTTATTATATGGACTTGCATTAATTGGCTTTATTAATTGGATAGCATGGAATTTTTATACAAACATGTGTAATTACATGTTACATGAACTTTATACCATGTCATACTTAAGATACTTTGATAACTTAATTGAAATTTAATCACCTTGTCAGGCAACATTTGATGGTTTAAATTATAATTTTTCCATTTTTTATGAGAAAATGTAAAAAAAAAACAATAATAAAATAGTTCACTATCAGACACAAGATTATTAAAAGGCAAACACTTTCATTTGTGATTACACTGAATAAGTTTGGAAATGATTGACACTTTAATAAAGGTTTTCATGGGGTGCGTCAATGAAATAGTCAATAAAATAATGGTTTGTAAGATGTGTTTTCATTGGACACAGTGTATGGTTCTGTCTCCATATTGAAAGGTACCACACAGAGTTTAACTGATCAATAATGGCCATTATATGCTATTTTTGTCAATATTTATCTGGATTTAATGCACAAATGCGGTAATTCAGATAAACCGTAATAAGATTAGGTTTTTTTTAATAAAGTAAAAGCAATATTTGCGTGACTTTTACAGATGAATAAGTCACAAAAGCATAACACGGCTTAAAACTTTGATCAAACAGCAAGATTTGCTGGCAACCTTGTTACATGACCTCAATAATTCTCTAGTTGATGAGGTGTCCTCGGATACATGGCTATTTTCATTAATATTTATACAAGATGTGATTTGTTTGTTTTTTGTGTACCTGAACATACATTTCAGTGTTAGAAGAAGTGTATATTAATTGTTACATGTCACATACCTGTACATGTAGATATTATCATGTAAATTTACAAAATCAATTTTCTTAAAGGCCCATTATGGCACAGAAATAGATACATTTTTACTCCTTTAGAAAGGGCAGTCGCAAGCATTTATAATGGATTTAAACCATGTTAGATGCTTGGTACCTGAAGAAATTCACATTAAACTTTTAATGTGAAAGTATTTGTCAGAAAAGTAGATGTAGCAAAATGTTTTCAAAATAGTATTTTGACTTCCATGCAAAATACTAAATCACCACAAATGTATAACTGTCCTTATTGCCAAGAAGGTAAAGAAGAAAAAAATGTTCAGGTTATTAGGCTGATGAGTAACATTTTGGAAACTTGAATAGTACAGCCAAAATAAAACTAAAATAAAAGCATTTCTAGGGCATAATAGGCCTTTAATAGTATTCAGTATCTTTTTCTCAATAAATGTGTTGAAAGGTGTACATATTTAAAGGCATAATGAATTTTTCTCCTTTCATTAGCATAAACTGAAGTCACCTAGGTTGTTTTTGTTTTGTTTTTATTACCAATAAATGTTCTGGTGTCAGAATTTTTGACAATTTGATGAATTGGTTTAATGCTGAATTTTAGTGCTGATTAATTTATTGCAAATCAGCATACTAATTATTTAATATTTTAGTTTATTTGTGGTAACTTTATGTCAATAACTTTCTATAAATTAAAGAATAATTTACAGCATTTAAATGTATGTTTTGTTAAACTTTTAATACACTAATGATGAACTGAATACTCAATAATTGTTGGGTTAAACTCTTAATATAATGTGGTGTTACTGTAGAACTTTCAGCATTGATTATGTTGTGTAGAACTCTCAACATAATGTTGTTTACAACTTTCAGCATAATGTTGTGTAGAACTGTCAACATAATGTTGTGTAGAACCATCAACACAATGTTTTGTTGAACTCTTCATGTATGTTGTGTTGAACTTTTCATATATGTTGTCTTAAACTCACAACATAATGTTGTGCTGAAATTTCAACATAATGTTGTGCTGAACTCTCAACATAATGTTGTGCTGAACTCTTCATATACATGTATGTTGTCCTGTCTTGTGATAATTACTCAAGAATTTTTTATCCTAAAGGTATACAGTTATAAGACAGTATCAGTGTAATCATGAATTCTTTCAAAAAGGAAAGTGTAATATTCTTCAAGATAACTATGAGTATAAATTCACAAAGAAATTGATTCACAGATATTAGCAACACATTAAATACACACTAAAAACAACAGTTTGCTGATTTGTATGTTGTGTTGAACATTTCAACTTATATACATTGCTTTTGAATTCTCAATGAAATGTTCTGGTGAACTCTAGATATATGTTATGTAGAACAGTTCTCAATATATGTTTTCTTAGACAAATGATGTAAATAATACATATTCTTTGAAATAATTAGCTGTAGAAGACACCTGATGTCTTTAAATACAATCCTTATATCCATTTTTAAATCGTAATATAAATCAAAGTTTGAATACCACCTGATTTGATATTGTAGTACATGCAATTACTTATAGGTATCCCCTTTGTTTTTGTCTATCCTATATAATATTTGATATTCTGTTCTGTATAAGGTCTAAGGTCATGCGACAGTTCAAAGTTATTTAGTTAAATATTTTTCATCTTGCAGATGTTATATCTATCTGTAGATAATGTTTTTGAAAAAATCATTGAAAAGTCAGGAACCTCTTGATTTCTGAAGTTTTTTTGTATGCATAATAATCTAATGCAAATAGATAAATAAACTTAATTTGAATCACCTGTCAAGTTGTTATCTAGTAAACAATGACAAGTACCAAGTGGCGTTTATATTTTATATATTTTATTTGTCATATATACTTCAAGAACCTTGTAATTTATTTAAATAAGTATTTCAATAGACACACATAGGTTTTGCCTGTTTAAGTTAAACCAATACTTAATTATAGCTGAAAAAAAAATTAATTGTACAAAATTGAAGGTGTTAACTGTTATGCATGTAAGCTGTTGAATGTACATATGAATCTTACGCAATTTGTTTGTTAATTGTACATGTAGGAAAATCAAGATATTTTCTTCAAAAGAAGAAGTTTTGGCAGTGAAAATGTACTGGTTTTCAATAATTTGTGAATCGTTGCTTTCAGGAATCCATTAAGGGGATATATTCCATTGGTACCGAGTGTTCCCCATGTCTCCATGTTGATTAGAATTTAAATAGGTGGCTGGCCCATTTCTTATTTGATAGAAAGAGTTTTATCAGCTTGGATTAGTTTTGGTTTTAAATTTATCTACATCACTTTGTATGCCATATGACCTTCATAATGCTGTGTGATAAGGAACTCCAAAATTTAATATAATGGATTAGTGACTTTCAGGAACTAGTGAAAACTGAAAACTAGTGAAATTCTGCTGTCATTTTCAGAATATATATGTAGATAATTGATATTTATGCAGGCACCAGTATAGAGTCTGTTTAGACTGTGCCGCAAGTCTTTGTTGTTTGCTCATAGTTGAAGAATTAAGTATTTGTCATGACAGGTTAAATCATACGGCCTTATATAAATGGTTATATTGCAAACAACAGTTTATATAGGGTCATATAACCTGTCAGGAAGATTTATAACGAATCCATAATTAATGCAGCAAAATTTTTTTTTAAGAGGAAAAAGTGAGATTCTTTTATATTAACTGCAGCCCTGTAAAATTATAACACTATATAAATCATTAAATGTCACAATTATTCAGTGAAAAGCGATGTTACAAACATGCAGTATTATAAGTAGTGTTTAAATTGCACTTTTCTCTACTATTATACTGACAAGATTAAAGATAAATGTCACAATAAAGTATTACCATTGAGGTTATCTCTAAGATAACTTATTGCTTTTAAAATTAATTATGTAAACCAATATGATGTTTATTTCTCTATTACATGGATTATGTGGTGAAATGTGATAAAAGTTACAGTTTAACAAATATATTAAGTTTGTCCCATTGACACACTGGTCCACTGACACACTGATGATGCACCCAGATATCCTACCAAAGAAACACCCAGTACATGATCTCATTAAAAACTAGCTTTTCTGTGTTTCTTTGTGTAAATATAGCTCGCATGACCACTAGAAATTGCTACAATGTACATTGTATGAAGTTGACTGATTCCATATTCTACATGTATGTTTTTTGCAAAAGAAAGTTATGGCACCAATTGAGAGCTATGACAAGCTGCCAGACTGATCATCTGTGCAGTCTGATTCATATTAGCAATATAGCGGTACTGTTTCATTTTCTAAAGCAGAGAAAAATTATTGAGATAAATGTGTTCCGATTTAGAGCAATTTAGTATTTTATATTCTGATTCAGGTCAAGGTCAAACGAAGGCCTCCAAGCGCCGTGAGAGTAACGGGGAGCAGGGCCCATCACCAAAGAAGGAAGCAAAGAAATCTCCAAAGAAGTCAAGGGGATCGAAAGGGTCATCTAGTACGTCAAGGTCACCAAGTAGCGAGTCACAGCTTAAAGGTCAAATGCAAATAGAAGAGAGGGAAGCCTCTCCAACTAGAAGATTGGGACCTTCATCTCAATCTCAAGGTGTGAATGGTGAACAAAATGGTGTGGAAGACGTTAAAACTATATTAAGTAAATCTCCTCCAAAACCGAAACGGACATATGAGGTGGAATTTATAGAACCAGAAAAAGAAAATGTGCCTGATGGAATGGATGAATTAGATGTTTCCGAAATTCGTAAAGTTGAATCTAGTCCTACAAAAACTTCTTTTAAAATGAATGGTGAACATGAACCTTTTACCCCTGTTAAAGCAAGTGATTTAAATCATGTTCCCCAGGCAACGTCCACACCAGCCCCTAATGGAATATTGAGTACGGGAACGGCACGGCAGCTGAGTTCTGGCAGATATAGTAAGTAATGAATTTCAATAGAACCTACATAGTAATTTCTACTGACTAAATTCCATGAATGCTTAAGCAGTAACAGCAGGCATACACTACCATATGTTTCCTTTTCACAATTTTGATACAATTTTTCCCCATACAAACAACAGGTTCGTACCCTTTCACAACTTTGAAAAATGATTTGGTTAGAATTTCTGTATTAATTTACATGTGTATTCACTGAAAATGACAAACTACACCATCTGAACATGACAGTGTTACATTTTCAATTGAAAAGTTAAGTGTTTTAAAAAGATCAAGTGAACATCAGTTTAGTGAATATAATAATATATTATAAAACAGATTAATTTTGTGAAAATGATACATGTTCATGTGTTCCTAACAAAACTGCTGATATCAAATTACACAATTTAGAATTGTATTGGGTCATCAGTTCCTTCATCTAGCATTATTTTCAATCACAGCTATAATTATGGTGACGTTTTAAATTTAGCATGGCAAACAGTATAGGGCTAGGCCCGGCTGCATATCCAACAATCTGTGCAGTCAGTCTAAGTACTGTTGGTACAGGTACAATCATGTATGATACTTATACAGTACCTCAATTTTTTACCCTGAAATTGAAATCCTAGGCTGCTGCAAATTCATACCAGGCAAAATCTGGTTTATACAAATTTGCTGGTTAAAGATGGTTACTCATACTGATACTCTCTAGAGTACTAAGATACCAGATCAAGGGGCCTGTATGGATGAGTGGTAAGGGTAACTTATGCCCACTACAAATGACTGTTGATTTAGGTCCACTCATGTCTGGAAACTATTTGGCTACATTTACGTACATTTGTAGCTTATTATGAATATAAGGCTTGCAATGGAGGGACACCTAAAGGTCCACCCCTTTAATCAAAGCTTAAAATCATCAAATGTAGCAATGTTTGAGTGATATTAAACCCAACTCAAAAAGGCAAAAGAAAAGAATAGGTAATAAGCTGGTCTAGTTAATTTAGATTTCTATTTTGATTCTAGTTATGTTTTTGGGGAAAGTTAGGAGAGAAAGTTATTGTTTGTAGATAAGTGTCCTGATAATGCTGGTTACATCTGTTACAATGCTTGCCAGATCATTCTGCTCTCTATCAGAAACCTGTCAAATAAACTAATGAAAACTATTACATAATGATGTATTGCTCTGGGAAATGTACAGAGTCATAAGATAAGATGAACACTGAATGAAATTGGTGCTTTATGGTTGAAGTTTTTTGCAACGCTTTTCTGTGTTGTAGAAGATCAATGACAGCATAATTTTATTTGAAATTTCTGTGCTTTCTGGGTTTCAATCTTTCCTTAATGGTTGATTAAATCTTGTTCTAAGCCAAAACCATTATTGATTGGTCACTATTAACCCTTTTACTTAATATAAACTAATTAATTAGTCTTTGCCACCAGTATAGAGCCAGGCCAGCCTGCACATCCATGCAGTCTATCCAAGAATAGGGTGGAGTGGGGGGGGAGGGGGTGCAACAGAGTTTTTAAGCAGCATGTCTCCAGATTCATATGTTACTTTTCATGAAAAGTTTTAAAATATATTGAAAAATAAAACATTTAATATTAAACAAAGAAAGTAATTAACAGGTTGCAAACAGCACTTACAAGGTCAAAATATGCAAAAATGCCCTTGCCGTGTTAGTCACGCAGTAGAAATATGGCGATAAATACTGCAAAATCAGTCATTAACAGCACATAACATGAAAATTATTACTTGACCCTTGAACCTTTTTACTTTTCTTAAAATCTAAGTAAATTTTCCTCAAATATGATTTTCTTGAAATGTTTTGTCTCATCCATGGAGCATGCAGCTTTAAAGTACCTTGCCATGGTTTTGTTCATGTTAGTTAATATTCTTACAACATGTGCACTGCTTATATGAATGTGTAGTTAATATATTTTTATAGGATTCAACAAAGAATTTATACCTCCAACCAGCAAATAGTACATTTTATTGTTTATCTAAATTTTATGTTATGATTATGTTAAGTGTGTAAGGTAAGTCATCATATCCTACATGCCTGTATATCCTGGTTACTGTACAAAGATCAGGTGAGTGACGACAAATATTAACCTTGTCCTAGTACGTCAGATATTTTAACACTGTATTATATAGTGAGACATTTCTCCAGTTATGCCCCTACCACATTAGAATGTTGCTCTTCATATAGACAGTTTGACTGCTTCACCCACATCACTGTTGCTAGAATTTAAATTCCAATCCTCTCCTGGCATTTCTTGTAATACAGGTGATGAGATCAGAAAATTTGCGACCAGACCATCAATATACCTTTAACATTTTTTGTAGATGTGATAAAAAAATAAGTAATTCTGCACCAGTTGTATGTATGTATAATAGGAGTTTTTAAATTTTGTTGAAATTAACAATTAACAAGTATCTAAATTAATTTATTATTAACCTGAAAGGCAAAGATTTATAAGCATAAAAGGCAAAGAACTATTAGCCCAAAAGGAAGAGATTTATTAGCCTGAATTACCAGTATATTATAATTTTATAACTTAAAACTCTAAAACTTTTCAGGTGAGTGATACTGACCAAAATAATTCTTGTAGTTTTTCAATTGGGGTAACTTGGCAACCTTTCATAATCATGATAATGAGCTTAATTATATAATTTTTCTTCACAATTTCCTTGCTAATGCCATGCATGCTTGTAAAAATAAAAATTGTTATTCAAGATAATGTTCAGGTAAATACCAGAGAGATGGGAAAGTGGATTCCAAGCTTGCTTGGGGTGATTTTATGTTTTTGTAGAAGCACTTTCCTGACTGATAAACCAATTACGGTCAATTAACTGGCAACTTTCCTAGTTATAACAACTGTCTGTGTTTACAAAATACCATACATCTATTTGTGTATGTCCTGTATCATGAAATGCCTTCTTTATGTTGTACATTGTATACCTCTGTAGGTATTTCATTTGAAACTGATGTAAGGAATTTGTTCTCACATGTTTCTGTTGTAAAGGTATTTTAGTTGTTAATTAAACATTGTACATCTATAATAGTAGCAATCAGTCTTGTAACTGTTCTTAAATTTGTTTAGGTTCTTGACTGTTGGGCCATGGCTAAAATGTGTAAGGTCACTGGCTCAGAATCACTCCCCCCATGATCATGTGGGTTGAAATCCCACAAGGGATTTCTTCCTGTGCAGAAATTATGCAGCAACTTAAGGAAATGTGGGTGTTTTTTGTGACTTTACTAAAATTATGTAGTCTTCCAACAGTAAAGCTAGAAAGGTTTTCATAGTGTTAGTTTTAGTATGTATGGTTAGAACAATAGGGTAGACTATAATTATAATCACTCTACACATATGTTTTACAATACAGGTTTAGTGGTATTAACAATTATATAAGCAGTCTGCTGTGTATAATACTTAAGGTATATGGGGCGTCCGTGGCTGTGTGGTTAAGGTCGTTGACTTCAAACCACTTGCCCCTCACCGCTGTGGGTTCGAATCCCTACAGGGACTTTGGATTCTTTCTTGTGAGGAAGCTATCCAGCTAGCTTACGGAACATCGATAATTCTACTCAGGTGCCCGTTTGTGCCTGAAATAATGCACGGAAGGGCACCTGAGGTTTTCCTCCACCAGTAAAACTAGAACGTCGCGATATGACCTATACTGTGTCGATGTGACGTAAAACCCAAACAAACAAACAAACAAAACTTAAGGTATGCTCATAATGCCCATTGCTACTGGGCTAAGCTTGTACATGTCCATCTAATTTAACTGAGCTCTTTACTGCTAGGTGCTCAATTTTAGTAAATCACCTTATGATACAACAGTATACAATATGTACAGTTTCAGACTCTAAGGATAAGCCCATTTACACGAATGCAGTTTCAGACCTCAAGGATAAGCCCATTTACACAAAATGAGTGACAGATGCAGTTTCAGACTCCAAGGATAAGCCAGTTTACACAAATACAGTTTCAGACTCCAAGGTTAAGCCCATTACACAAATACAGTTTCAGACTCCAAGGATAAGCCCATTTACACAAATACAGTTTCAGACTCGAAGGTTAAGACCATTTACACAAATACAGTTTCAGACTCCAAGGATAAGCCCATTTACACAAATACAGTTTCAGACTCCAAGGATAAGCCCATTTACACAAATACAGTTTCAGACTCCAAGGATAAGCCCATTTACACAAATACAGTTTCAGACTCCAAGGATAAGCCCATTTACACAAATACTGTTTCAGACTCTAAGGATAAGCCCATTTACACAAATACAGTTTCAGACTCCAATGTTAAGACCATTTACACAAATACAGTTTCAGACTCCAAGGTTAAGCCCATTTACACAAATGCAGTTTCAGACTCCAAGGATAAGCCCATTTACACAAATACTGTGGAATACATGTTTATGTTCAGATGAGCATTATTAAGTTTTATAGTAGATATAATCAATTAATTGTCATATTTTTTTTGAGTTTTATTGATATTTTTAATATTTAAAACAAAAACACCAGAATGACAATGCTTTATGATAAAACTGTGATAAATTTGAGTAAAGCGTCACTTTTACAGTATCATTTGATGCATTTATTTGTCTCTTGAGGGAAATAGCCTATTATAGTATCATATCATATGCTATTAAATCATCAATTTCATGCTAGAAATTTGTATCTGTCTCATAGTTGATCTGCAGTTATGTTACTTTTACACTATTGTGACAAATAATGAAATTGAAAGCTATTGCAAACTAAGCAATTCATGACAGAATTTCAACACCAGACTTTCCATATTTCATTAAATTTTCATGTTGGAATGTAGGAATTTTGTACAATTGAGCAGTCATGTTCACAGTTATATTTCATACAATATACCGACTGTAACCACAATGGAATTGCCTGTATCACATTGAAATAGGACCCGTCCAGTTTGTTTGTGAAATAGGACCCGTCCAGTTTGTTTGTGAAATAGGACCTGTCCAGTTTGTTTGCTAGCTTTTTAAGCCGGGAGTGGAATGGGGGGGGGGGGGGGTTAACGCATTTGGTCATAACTTTGCGGATGGTCTACTTAACAAGCTTTTCTGGAACCTACCCAATCTGTATTTATCTATTTCTCAGCAAGTGTCACATAATTTCTGAATCATCAATGAGAGACAAATGACCACAGGACTCAATGTCCTAGATCAATTGTCACATTGAAATTTCATCTCCCTCGAGGGTCTAGCGAGGACCTGTCCGAATATTTAAAGAAAATCAACAAGAAACTCGAAATCAAAATAAATTTAAAGCTATGTGTGGTCTTTGTTGATGGTTGCTTTTGTTTAATAGAAAAAAAGCCTCAGAAGAAAAGGAAAATTGAAATAATAAAGGCCTAAATGTGTGACACAGTTCTGTTTATATGGCCTTTATTTGGTTTAACTGTAAATACTTGAATTGCAGCCAGTATATAGCAGATTCTTAAAATGTGAAGAAACACTGCCTAGCAAAATACTGGGGGACATAGATATTCAATGAGTCATATGAAAATGTTACTCATAGGAAAAAAAACAACATTATAATTTATTTTTTCTTTATTCAGATATAAACAAATCAAAACATTAAACTTCAAATAAACATCAAAATTGATAGATATTATGCATGTAAGCTAGGCTTTAACCAAAATTAAAAGACAGAATATTTATAGATTTGTTTGTAAGGGGTTAATAAAAAAAACATTTTCAACAAGTTTTAAAACACTCCAGTAGGGCTACAGGAACAATATGTTAATCATCTCTTTTATTAGTTTATTACAAAATTACATTGAGGTATTTCTGAGGTATTTCTATACATTATGCTTAATTGCTGATGATAGTTCATTTAATGTTTGAAGATTGATAGTGAAAATAATATGTTTGAAGATTCAAACCTTTTCAAAAAATAAAAAATCGAGACAAATCCAAATTCTCAGTGGCCTTAAAATTTTCACAAAGGAAAATGTAACGCTAAAACCAATCTGAATTTGGATGATGTTGAGTTTGGAATTGACAATTAGATGAGGGGAATTCATTCATCAAATTACTTGAAAGTACTGATAGAAGGTTATTTTTTCAATTTAAAAAAAAATTATGCATGATAATCTATATAGTTTGCACTTTAGGGGGGACAAATTCAGGTACGAATGAAGTCATCCAATAAAGCATTTTGACCTAAAGGTAGTTTTCGTATAAGGGTTATGAATAATTTGCTATGCATTTTAGATGTTAATAAGTTTGATAGACAAGGGATTTCTATGTGTTTGAAACAATTATAAGTATTATTGGATTATTTTCCCATAAGACACACTCAAATTGTTGTTTTATTTTCCATGAAACTGTATTGAAGAGATCTATAACATTATGCATCCCGGTATTTGGTTTTGGATTACTTAAATGGCATTGAACTACATAAATTGTTAGTTTAGGCCATGGTGCAATTGGAAATGAGGACATAGGAAGGCGAGATGTCAATTAGTAGGAAGGCTGTTATGCTTGATTCTTTACTATTGGCATACTTAATTATTGTAGCGTGTTTGTCACTGCCTTTTCATTAAAAGGACCAAACATGTCTTATCATCAAGTCTGCCTTTTATATACAGTAAAATGTCAAAATCCAGAGGCCATTCTTGAAGCTTTACCAAAATCATTGTCTTTCCTATTTATATATTTTGATACTTTACTCATTTATCAGAGTATGTTTAGAAAACACTCATGAAAATAATCAACAAACAGAAGCCATTAAACAGGTAAATGCCCTCATTCTTCATTGTCAGAGAAACCTGGTTCTGTTAAATACATAACACCATCCCCCCAATCACCCTTTCATCATATTATGAAATAGTTAGCTTAGAAATAACTACATGAATTATGGCAGCACAGACTTAATTTCTACCTATTTTCTCTCTGTACTTGAAGGTTCATAGAAAATCTGGAATGTTACAATAATAAACAGCTCATCTCTCTTGGAATTTGTAAATAATCTCCCTTATGTTTATGTTAAATTGCTATACAAAATCCATGGTTTTCTCTGAAACTATACTACCAAATATAATACAACACTGTTATTGTGTACTTTGGTGTCATCACTTGTTATTAGGTTTCATAGTTATAAGTATTGTTAGCAAAATTAAATTGGTTATCAGTTTCTTTTCTTTTTCCAGTTCAATCATTGTAACATTTCTAATATGAATCAAGCTTTTTTCACATCTGTCTCATTATTACTATGATTTATGTTATTTAACATGACCCTTGATTTAAAGAACTTAAAATTATTCTAGAAAGACAAGAAATAATAGCTAAAATTGCTAATTGGGAAAACTGCATGATTTTAAGAAAATAACAATTGGGAGGAGGCCTTTTATAGGCCTCTGTTGTTTTAATAAGGCGAAAAATCACTGACTTAAGATTAATGCTAAAATGATAAGGGTTCATAGCCAGTTCTAAGAATGGAGCTTTTGTAATGAGATGTTGACAGTAACTGTTGTAAATTGTCATTTCCATCTGTTGTTATTAATCATTAGGCTCCACTCTACAAAAGTTATATAAATAGATTCAGTTTAATGCAAAAGTAGCTAGCCGCATGAGCTTAAAATTATATACTGTAAAGATGAAATCTTTAAAAGTTATCTTCTTAAAAATTACAATGCCAAGAGTTTAAGATATTTGGCATGTATATGCAGCAGCATGACCTCAGGCAGTCCACAAAAGTTAAATACGTTATGGCCCCTTATGGTCAAATGGGCCACCCCCTGGGCATAATTTTTACATAAATTATGTGGGAAAACACAATTATATCTACCAGTGACTAAAAGAGCTTTCAGGTGAGCACCTAGGTATGATCATGGCTCTCTTGTTATTCAGAAACTTTCAATTACTTTAATTTTTTTCTGTGTTGAATTCATTTACTTTGGCATCAAATTCCATGAAATCTATTCTTGTAGATGTTCACATCAAAAAAGTTGGGCAAAATTTCAGCTCTGAAGTGATTGATTACAGAGAGGAAAAAAGAGGTTGTAGTTCATGAAACTTCTAGACATAATGTTGAACAAGGGCAAGCTTTAACATCAATAGGTTTTTTTACACCAATAGGGTTTTCAGCTTGTTTTTTGTAGGTTTTTTAGCGGAATGGGGGAGGAGAGGATTTATTTTGGAAAGAATTGTATTAAAATAAACATGATGAAGAAAAGCTAGGTTTTTAATTGTGAAAAGTGTCAGAGACTGTTGACATTCGTTATTTGTACCATTGTAGGATCCCACAGTACACATTTTGTATATATACAACATTTCATATTAACTGTTACTGAGGATGTATTTGTATATGTTGAGGAGAAGAATGAAAGTCATCCTTGTGATCTCTATCTAAATGGAATTTTGGATGAAACACTTGTCATGAAGAAGTAGTTAGTTTTTAAAAGGGGTATAGTGACACACCATTGATGTTCGACCCGAGTTTGCACCTTAGTAGAAAAAACTTACCATACATAAGCTTTGTACACTTTTTAAGCTTTTTAAGACTCATCATAATATTGATTTTTTTAATTGATAAAGCTATTTTTGTTATTACAGGTGATGATGATCACACGGATGTTAGTGACGACGAGGCATATGCTTCTGAACAACAGGTAAGTTACATCCGTTCTGGGCTTCCATTTCTAAAAAGCCGAGGCTTGCTAATCTATTTAGGTTGTGTTTGAGTGTTTCTTTTTTCTAAGCCCTGTTTATTTGTGTGATATTTGGATGAAAAGGCATGAAAGTGAAAAACATTCAATTATTATGTAAAAGAAATGAAAATATTTTTTGTTTTATAAATTTTCATTAAGCAAGGCATATACACTACCCTTAAGAGTTTTGAAAGTGTTTCCAAAGTTTGTTCTTTTGTACAAATGTAGTTCTGTTTTTTTTCTTCTTTTTTTCTTTTTGCTGTCTTTTAAAGTTATAATTTACAGTCTTAAGAACATGTTAAAATTTGTTCTAGTTAATAGCTTTGCCAATTTTAACCAATTTGTTTCCTACATTGTAAGATCTTTATCTGCAGGTTTTCATGCTGTAAATATTATTTTGAAATTGGACCCAGCTTTAATAACATTAGTCTTCCTTATTATGCCCCCATTTCGAAGAAAAGGGGGTATATTGCTTTGCACTTGTCGGTCCGTCGGTCCGTCGGTCCGTAGACCAAATGGTTTCCGAGTGATAACTAAAGAACCCTTAGGCCTAGGAACTTCAAACTTGGTATGGTGATTGGTCATGACCAGTAGATGACCCCTATTGATTTTGGGGTCAAGGGTTCAAAGGTCAAGGTCACATTGACCTTGAAAGCAAAAACGGTTTCCGATCAATAACTAAAGAACCTTAAGGCCTAGGAACTTCAAACTTGGTATGGTGATTGGTCATGACCAGTAGATGACCCCTATTGATTTTGGGGTCAAGGGGTCAAAGGTCAAGGTCACATTGACCTTGAAAGTAGAAACGGTTTCCGATCAATAACTAAAGAACCTTAAGGCCTAGGAACTTCAAACTTGGTATGGTGATTGGTCATGATCAGTAGATGACCCCTATTGATTTTGGGGTCAAGGGGCAAAGGTCAAGGTCACATTGACCTTGTAAGCAAAAACGGTTTCCGATCAATAACTAAAGAACCTTAAGGCCTAGGAACTTCAAACTTGGTATGGTGATTGGTCATGATCAGTAGATGACCCCTATTGATTTTGGGGTCAAGGGGTCAAAGGTCAAGGTCACATTGACCTTGAAAGCAAAAACGGTTTCCGATCAATAACTAAAGAACCTTAAGGCCTAGGAACTTCAAACTTGGTATGGTGATTGGTCATGACCAGTAGATGACCCCTATTGATTTTGGGGTCAAGGGGCCAAAGTTCAAGGTCACATTGACCTTAAAAGCAAAAACGGTTTCCGATCAATAACTAAAGAACCTTAAGGCGTAGGAACTTCAAACTTGGTATGGTGATTGGTCATGATCAGTAGATGGCCCCTATTGATTTTTGGGGTCAAGGGGTCAAAGGTCAAGGTCACATTGACCTTTTAAGCAAAAAACGGTTTCCCATCAATAACTAAAGAACCTAAAGGCCTAGGAACTTCAAACTTGGTAATGGTGATTGGTCATGATCAGTAGATGACCCTATTGATTTTGGGGTCAAGGGTCAAAGGTCAAGGTCACATTGACCTTGTAGGTAAAAACGGTTTCCAATCAATAACTGAAGAACCTTAAGGCCTAGGAACTTCAAACTTGGTATGGTGATTGGTTATGACCAATCAGATGACCCCCTATTGATTTTGGGGTTAAGGGGTCAAAGGTCAAGGTCACATTGACCTTGTAGGTAAAAACGGTTTCCGATCAATAATGAAAGAACCCTTAGGCCTAGGGACTTCAGACTTGAGATGGTGATTGGTCATGATCAGTAGATGACCCCTATGGATTTTGGGGTCAAAGGGTCAAAGGTCAAGGTCACATTGACCTCTTAGGTAAAAAACGGTTTCCGATCAATAACTAAAGAACCCTTAGGCCTAGGAACTTCAAACTTGGTATGGTGATTGGTCATGACCAGCAGATGACCCCTATTGATTTTGGGGTGTTAAGGGGTTAAAGGGCAAGGTCACATTGACCTTGTAGGTAAAAATGCTTTCCGATCAATAACTTAAGAACCCTTTGCCTAGGAACTTCAAACTTGGTATGGTGATTGGTCATGACCAGCAGATGACCTATTGATTTTGGGGTCAAGGGGTCAAAGGTCAAGGTCACATTGACCTTGTAGGTAAAAACGGTTTCCGATCAATTTACTAAAAACGCTTAGGCCTAGAACTTCAACCTTTGTGTGATGATTGGTCATGACCAGCAGATGACCCCTATTGAGTTTTAGGTGAAGGGTCAAAGGTCAAGGTCACATTGACCTTGTAAGTAAAAACGGTTTCTGATCAATAACTCAAGAACACTTAGGCCTAGGAACTTCAAACTTGGTTATGGTGATTTGTCATGACCAGCAGATTACTCCTATTGATTTTGGGATTAAGGGGTCAAAGGTCAAGGTCACAATGACCTTGTAAGTAAAAACGGTTTCTGATCAATAACTAAAGAACGCTTCGGCCTAGGAACTTCAAACTTGGCATGGTGATTGGTCATGACCAGCAGATGACCCCTATTGATTTTGGGTCAAAGGTCAAGGTCACATTGACCTTGTATGTTAAAACGGTTTCCGATCAATAATAAGAGAACCCTTAGGCCTAGGAACTTCAACCTAGGCATGGTGATTGGTCATGACCAGCAGATGACCCCTATTGATTTTGGGGTCAAGGGGTCAAGGTCACATTGACCTTGTAGGTAAAAACGGTTTCTGATCAATTTACTAAAAACGCCTAGGCCTAGGAACTTCAAACTTTGTATGATGATTGGTCGTGACCAGCAGATGACCCCTATTGAGTTTTGGGTCAAGGGGTCAAAGTCATGACCAGTAGATACTTTATAACCCTTATTAATTGTTTGATCACTGGGTCAGAAGTCATGCATAATACCTTATCACATGACTAATTGGCTGCTGATAGGGGGCATACATGTTTTACAAACATATCTTGTTTTCACTGTTCTTACAAGAAAAAAAAGTCTAGAAATCATTAGAATTCTTCTGGGTAAATTTATTGATGTTTTCTTCAGGTTAGACATAATTTTGTATACATGAATACTTAAATCATCTTAATGCAATATTTAGCTCGCAGGTTAAACATATTTGTATGCATGAATACTTAAATGCAATTTTTAGCTCGCTTACTTTAAGTACAAAGTTACAGAAGTAACTAGAATTGGGAACATTATTGTAATGATTATTGTTTCTCTTAAAGCTCATCATCTATTTCCCTCTAGCAATTTCCATAACTAATTAACGGTACATTAATGAAGACATTAAAGTATTGACTGTAGTCATACAATATTTGAAGGTTTTTGTACTTTTCATTGTAATGTAGGAAATGCTGTATTCAAAATATCAAGTAAATTCTGTTTCAGTTTATTATTACAACATTATACTTGAAGAAATGAGATTATTATTACATGTGCCCTAGGTATTACATAATAATTATGTTGTACAACATATAAAATTTGATTTTTCAAATTTCAAAAATTGATACTTGTTTTAGCTCACCTGAACACAAAATGAATTATTCAGAGGTGATCATAAGAGTGATGGCCAGTCTTAGTAATACCTTGTTATCCACAAGTTCTTCAGACAACATTTTCCCTTGTAGCTGAGGGGTTGCCTTAAGGCATCAGAATTGTAGCCACTGTTTATCCCTGCGTGATAGTGAGAGAGACTAAATGGATTCGAATTACTGGAGTCCATGCATCTCTTAGCTCCAGCAGGTGATGTGGATTTGACCCCTGGTGTTGCTTTAAGTTTGTAACTCCAGAGGTTAGCCAAAATCATCTTTCCTGTTTCAATGCCTAAATTGTGTTAATGTGTCTTTAAAATCAAAAGAACAAAATGAAAACTGACATCTCCTTTTGAGATTTTGAGAATCTTCTCTTGCAGAAACTATATTTGGCATGTTGCAGGTACCTTGTTTGTCCTTCACAAAGTATCATTTCCTGGCCCTAGTGTGACCCAATCACTTATTTCTGCTTTGAGGTCTCACTTTTAATGATCTAAGTTGAGCAATTTTTGCATCATCATTGCCCATTTGGGTTTTTGTGGGGATTTTTGTGGAAAAAAAACCCTGAAAAAATGTACATGTTTGTATTAGTTGGTAATACATAATTATATATATGATGTTCTTCAGATCAAAGGTTTTCTTTTTTACAGCAATTATTTCAGACAAATATTTACTGTGAATAAATTTTTCAAGCGGCGCACATTAACATTTCAAGTTCTGATCTTAAAGTTTGCATGTAATTTTAGATATGTTTTTATTACACCAGAACTTTATTGGGTATCTTCTTTTGTTTGGGGCTTTTATTGCTCTTTGAAGTTGGTTTCTTGTTGACTCAAGATTTCATACATGAACACCATAATAATATATATTTCTATTAATTTAATATTGGCTTCAGAGCTTTCTATATTTCTTTGGTAATGACACATTTTGATAAATGAATCATAAACAGACATAGAAGGCATCGTTTACGTAACTGGCAGTAACTGGTAGTAAATACGAGATTGGGGTTAACAATTACTTAATTAAATTCTAAACTTTGTTCTATTAAAAACAAGATTTCATTTCCAAGAACTGTACTCATGTATGAGGTCTTGTCATTTTATTTTTTCATCTGCTGTTATTCATGGGTTAGCCCAAACTGTTCTCTTAAATTCAAATGTTAGGGATCTTCTCTTTATTTTGAATGTTAGGGAAACTTTTTATACCCCCAAAAACGAAGTTTGGGGGGGTATATAGGAGTCACCCGGTGGTCGGTCGGTCGGTCGGTTGGTCGGTCGGACGGTCGGTCGGTCCAGACGTCCGTTGCATTTTCCTTGTCCGGAGCATAACTTGAAAACTAATGGTTAGAATTCAATATAACTACATACAATGGTCAAGCACATTGAGAGGAAGTGCAGTGCACAAGAACCATAACTCTATCTTGACTAATTACAGAGTTATTGCCCTTTGTTACTTTTCCTTGTCCGGGGCATAACTTGAAAACTACTGGTTGGAATTCTATACAACTTCATACAATTGTCAAACACAATAAGGGGAAGTGCAGTGCACAAGAACCATAACTCTATCTAAAGTAATTACAGAGTTATTGCCCTTTGTTGCTTTTCCATTGCTTTTTTTTTTGTCCGTTGCATTTTCCTTGTCCGGAGCATAACTTAAAGACTAATGGTTGGAATTCAATATAACTACATACATTGGTCAAGCACATTGAGAGGAAGTGCAGTGCGTAAGAAACATAACTCTATCTTGACTAATTACAGAGTTATTGCCCTTTGTTACTTTTCCTTGTCCGTGGCATAACTTGAAAACAACTGGTTGGAATTCAAAACAACTTCATACAATTGTCAAACACAATAAGGGGAAGTGCAGTGCACAAGAACCATAACTCTATCTAAAGTAATTACAGAGTTATTGCCCTTTGTTGCTTTTCAATTGCCTTCTTTTTTTTGTCCGGAGAATAACTTGAAGACTAATGGTTGGAATTCAATTTATATACATACAATGGTCAAGCACATTGAGAGGAAGTGCAGTGCATAAGAACCATAACTCTATCTAAAGTAATTACAGAGTTATTGCCCTTTATTACTTTTCCATTGCTTTCTTTTGTCGGGACCATAACTTGAAGACGAAATGTTGGAATTCATTATAACTTAATACAATGGTCCAGCACATTGAGAGGAAGTGCATTGCACAAGAACCATAACTCCATTTTGACTTATTACAGAGTTACTGCCCTTTGTTTCTTTTCCTTGTCCAGAGCATGACTTTAACACTACTGGTTGGAATTCAAAACATCTTCATACAATGGTCAAGCACAATAAGGGGAAGTGCAGTGCACAAGAACCATAACTCCATATTGACTAATTACAGAGTTATTGCCCTTTGTTACTTTTCCATTGCTTTCTTTTGTCCGGACCATAACTTGAAGACTTATTGTTGGAATTCATTATAACTTCATACAATGGTCAAGCACATTGAGAGGAAGTGCAGTGCATAAGAACCATAACTCCATCTTGACTAATTACAGAGTTACTGCCCTTTGTTACTTTTCCTTGTCCAGAGCATGACTTGAAAACTACTGTTTGGAATTCTAAACAACTTCATACAATGGTCAAGCACAATAAGGGGAAGTGCAGTGCACAAGAACCATAACTCCATCTTGACTAATTACAGAGTTATTACCCTTTGTTACTTTTCCTTGTCCAGAGCATAACTTGAAAACTACTGTTTGAAATTCAGTACAACTTCATACAGTTGTCAAGGACATTCAAAGGAAGTGCAGTGCACAAGAGCCATAACTCCATTTTGACAAAATACAGAGTTACTGCCCTTTGATACTTTTCCTTGTCCGGAGCATAACTTAAAACATACTGGTTGGAATTCAAAACAACTTCATACAATAGTCAAGCATAATAAGAGGAAGTGCAGTGCACAAGAACTATAACTCTATCTTCAGTATTTATAGAGTTATTGCCCTTTGTTCTTTTTCTTTGTCTTTCTGGACTTATTACAGAGTAATTCAATTAAACTTCATCAATGGCCAACCACATTGAAAGGAAATGCAACATACATGAACCACAATTATCTTTAATTGCCCACAACCATAACTCTATGTTTCAATTCTTTTACAAGGTATTCCGTTACTAGTAACATCCTCATTTCCGAAGCAGACTTGTGGGGGTATTAATCACATTTAGTGATAGTTCTAGTTTTAAATGAACGTTTTTACAGAAAGAGGTAAAATATATAATTTTCAAGTTTGTAAATATTTTTATTAAAGAAAAAGAAAAGCTTACGAAAAGTTGATGTTTCAACTAAAGTACATGTACCTGCTAGTCCTTTGTGCATGTAATGCGGTTTTCATTCATCAATAGAGTCGCTGTTTTACCTTTACAGTGTTGTTGTGACGTAAAATCAACAAAAAAATGACTAAAGAGAACAGTTTGAGCATATCTTGTTATTATTCTTTCATTACATTTTTTGCATGCGTTCTGCTTGATTTATTGTATGTTTTGCTATACTTTCATGGCATGCTTGTTTATTCTTTATGTTGCAGTTTCGTTCATCTAGTCCGACTGCCTCGAATGTCTCTTTGAAATCCTTTTCTACCATAAATAGTTCATCATTACGTACAAAATCGGTATGTTACTTTTTATCATCAGTCACTATATAATATTTATCTTTATTTTTTCTTCACTATAGTCTGTTCTGGTGTGACCTATTGGATAAAGGTGATCATAGTTACGCTTTCTCTATGTCTTCAACTTCAATTCATGAAATATTCTTTATTGAATGTAAGTTTCCTTCAACTGAAATGTTGCTGTCAACTGACATTCTTTTTGTCAGGCTGTTACTGGGCAGTGTGACTCTTCGATCCTCAGTAATTGTTATTTATTAACATTTATATGATAGTAAATTTTTGGGAACTTAATTTATTCCGCAATGAAATTGTAAATTTATGAGAAATAAATTACAACACAATGAAATTAAATACAGTAATCTTTGTTTGAATAAGTCACATTGGCACAGACTAATCTCTCATTACAGATTCTGGTATTTAATTAGAACTTTTATCATATACTGTACACCTGTTGATGAAAAGAATTTCCCATGCACAACATGAAAGACAATCAATTATATTGTTTCATATTTAGTTGCCAGAAAATAAATAAATACCAAATTGTCCTAATTGTCTTGATGAAAAAGCAATGACTTAGAAACTATCAGTGTTACAAGCTGAAACCAAATGAAAATAAATGGGTATGAACACTATGATAGTTGAAACTTGAGTGACTATATTTCCTCGTTCAGTCATTGACACTGCAGTACTGGAATGTCAATGAAGCATTCTTGGAGAGATTGAACTCTTTTATAAGCTCATGGCTTTCATAAAAGACCAAGATAAAATATATGAGCATTAAACGAATTTTACATATCAGTTAAAATTTTGCTTGAAATCAAGAAGTATATAATTATGGCAGAAAGAAAGATTATATACTGATACATAAAACCATTTGATCACACATTTATGATTGACGCCTCACCACTTCTCAGGGTAATTAAATGAATCAAAATCATCTCTTTTTATGTTCCTGCTCTTGTTTAATGAATGAAAATTTTGTATCATTTTTATCATGTTATTAATTATGCTTCAAATGAATGAAGTTTTATAAATATCAGCACGCAGACAGCTGAAAATATTTTTGATTTTGAAGCTCATCTAGTTGCAAAACTATGCTATGTGTAGTAATGTAGGAGTTATAATGATGCATTTATATATATTTCTTTTATGTACCAACTTAAATTGTTGAGATTTAAGCTCTTTGTAAATTATTATTTTGATTGATGTTGTTGTTTCGACAAGAGTTCATAATATGTTGTTTTGTTGTTTCCCCCCCCCCCCCATCATTTTTGCCTGATTGGAGAACAATTTTGAAGGCATTGTTTGTTTGTTTGTGTGTAGGTCTGTTTGACTTGTTTGTATGTCCTTGTATTGTTACATGCCTGAATCTTAATGTAATCTAAAAATAAGTTTTGGAAAAATTGGGATACATTATATTTGCTTTTTAACCAGGTTTTTAATGAAAACTGGTTATTGTTATGCTGAAGTTTGTGGGCAGGCAAGCATCAACTTTTGGTATCTACTCAATAACTTGTGTTTGCTTTGGCCTATTGACACCAAACTATGTGTGTTGGTAGCTTATATCAAGAGGCAGCTTAGGAATGCTACCCAGGTGTCTGTGATCAAGTTCAAGGCCACTGTTGCTTAGAATAGAAATTCAGTTTCTGCTCTACAACTTAAGTTTGCTTTGGCCTATTGACACTAAACTTGGTGTATTGGTAGCTAATATCAAGAGGCAGCTTGGTATTGCTACCCGGGTGTCTGTGATCAAGGTCAAGGTCACTGTTGCTGAAAATAAAATTTCAGTTTCTGCTTTATAACTTTAGTTTGTATAGGCCTATTGACACCAAACTTGGTGTATGGGTAGCTTATATCAAGACCCTACTCGAGATTGCTACCCAGGTGTCTGATCAAGGTCAATGCTGCTAAAAATAGAAATTCTGTTTCCGCTCAGAGTTTGCTTTGTCCTATTGACGCTAAACTGGGTGTATCAGTCAAGGGCAAGGTCACTGTTGCTAAAATTATGAATAAGGTTTTTGCTCAATAACTTCAGTTTGCTTTGACCTATTTACACCAAACTTAGTGTGTGGGTAGCTTATATCAAGACGCTACTCGGGATTACTACCCAGGTGTCTATGATTAAGGTCAAGGTCACTGTTGCTAAAAATAGAAATTCAGTTTCAACTTAATAACTTAAGTTTGCTTTGACCTATTGACAACAAACTTGCTGTGTGGGTAGCTTATATAAAGACACAGCTTGGGATTGCTTCTTACATATCTGGAAGCAAGGTCATGGTCACTTCCTTACAAATAGAATTTTCAGCTTCTACTCAATTACTTCATTACACATTGACCTATTGATTATGATTATTAACTTAGCAATTGTGTGTAGCTTACATGAAAATACAGACTGGCATTGCTACTCAGGTATCTGGTATATTTCTATTTTAAACTATTGAAACCAACTTTCTTTTGGTACAAATAATTATAACAGCATCATTTTGGTCATTAAAAACCTGGTTTTCGTTGCATTGTGGCGCTTCTTGTTTTTGTTGTTTTCTTCATAATATGTTTGCAAATTTTGTCATATATGTCTTTAGCTCATATTTATAATAATAGTGCTTTTTATTTCAATTTCTCCCATTTTATATTCAAGTTTGTTTATTTAAAGTACAACATCAATAAAATTGTAAAATTGTTACGCTTTATAATGATGAGTCAAATATAATGTTTATGTGCTATACATGTGTATAATATATTTTAATTTGTATATTCACAGATTGTGAATGTAAATAATGCTTACAATTAATACTTCATTATATGTACTTACAAGTGTATGATTATAAAATTTCTTTTTAAATATCATTTTAAAGGTAAAGATAATTGATGCAGTTTGTTAATATTGTAACAGTAGTGTTTTAATGTAGTGGAAAAATATAAATTATAATGTGTCTGTGTTGCACAAACAGTGTATTAAAATAATGTATTAGATGCATTAAAGCGGCATGCCTGACCAGATTTATGCTTATTTTCATAAAAAATTTGAAATTGTATTTAAAAAGTAAAATATTGTGAAGTGAACATTAAAGAAAGTAGTTTAAAGATTTGCAAATGGCACTTATAATCCACATAAAATACCAAAAAGAGGTTAAAATATGCAAAAATAGCCCTTTGTTAGTCATGCAGTATAATGAATACAACAAAATTCAGTTATTAATCGTATTTAACATGTAATTTATTACTTTAATCTTGTTACTTTTCTTAAAATCTTAGTACATTGTTCTGAAGTTTGATTGTCTTGAAATATTTTGGCTCATCTGGAGGTATGCAGCTTTAAATTTGAAATGAAGTTGTAAAATCCATGGTCTATTGAAATGTGTTTGCTTTATTTTATTGCTCAGGTAAACAAATTCAAATTGATTTCCATATATCAATTGCAGTGATCTATGTAAAAAGCATTTAATGCTTGAAAATATAATTAACTGAATTTTTAGGTGGTTTTGAAAAAAATGCTCCAACAAGATGTTATTGTTGATAAAGAATAGTAAATAACTAAGGGGTTTTTCAATTAATATATTATAGTAACATATATAAAATGTAAATGTTGACACAATATACTTGTACTTGAGTTAACTAGATCATTGCTGATTTTAATACACCAGTGCCTGATGAATGCCACAATCCTAAAATAGCCTGTCTGTGTTCCTTTGTGGTCAAGAGTCTTTGCTGGCCATGTCTTTCTGTGCTAGATGTAACTTTATAAATTAGCCACATATGTTGCATTCATTCGACTCCCTAAATAAAAAGTGCAAGAAAGTTCTGTTTGACCATTAAAGTGACATTGATATTTTATTGATTCCATCTGTTGCTTTCCTTTATTCTGTTGATCATAGAAATATTTGTGAAACTATTCATTTGTCAGTTTCTTATTTGTTCAGTTTTTAACCCCTGACTCATAATGTGGAAGGGGCTATACTTAAATCTCTTTACTGCAATGGTCTATCGGCCAGTGGGTCAGTGCATCCATTCGTCTGTCTCCATTTATAACTCCTATACCCCTTGATGGATTTTCTTAAATCTTGGCTCAGATGTTCACCTAAACAAGATGATTTGCAGAAACCCGTGCCATTGCTGTGCCAGGTCAAGGTCAAATATCAGACAACTTAGTATTTGCTCTATAAATCCTATACCCTTTGAAGGATTTTCTTCAATCTTGGCTTAAAAGCAATGTGAATAACTTTTGTCACCACTGCACCATTCATGTTAAATGATTTAGGTTCAAAATTAAATTATTATTTTCTATAAGTTCAGACATTTTGGAATTGTTAATTACAGTCAAACCTGTTGAGCAAATTTTTTTAAACTATACATTACTGTGCTAAATGTATTTAACATACTTGTCAATTAGTGCTTGAGGCTATACTACCATCAGTAAAGGACCATGCAGGCCAGATGGACTCTGTAACCAGACAGGGAGACTGACCCTGTTCTTTCAGTTGCTGAAATTCAGTATATTGTTTTATATTGAAATATATCTTAATAACAACAATGGAGGGTTGTTAAAACAAAACATGTCTATTATACAGACATTATTTAACATTGTAAAAGATACTATTCCATTGATAGATTGTGCATTAAACTGCAGTGACCCTATAGCCATATATGAAAAGTTACACGATTAAACCATATTTACAAAAGTGTTTTTGCTGAAGTTCAGGAAATAACTATTTTTTTGCATTTTAACCCTTTACCACATATATACGCGAAACAACGCACTTTCGACCCCCCCCCCTTTTTTAGCTCTCAAATAGTAAAAAAATGTCCTATTTGGGCCCCAAACATAAGTTTTCGTTTGAGAAATGTTGCTAAAAAAATTGAGCACTTTTTCGGCGCCGCCCCCCATCCAAAAGATACATCAGGGGGTTGCCAGAAGGGGGATGTGCCCCCTTCTGTTAAGGGGGTTTGAAGGGGGGCGGAGTCCCCCTCATCGCCAAGAAAATTTTGGACTTGTGAGAGGC